GTGTCATGTTATCACATTCTCATTGAATTCTCATCTGATGCGATCCCTTTTTATTTTTAAAAGAAAAAAAAAATTCAAAGTTTAGTTTTGTTCCCAGTTCTTTTGGTTCCATCATCTATTATTATCTGGTGTGGCTAGAGCACACCAACACACACACACACACACATTGGATCGATTAATCATCTGAAGTATATACTACACTTATGTTTAAAGAAAGAATAAAGAATTTTTCATTTTCATTCCTGTGTGTGTGTGTATGTGTATGTCTTTGCTTTAAGGAACAATGTTTCTTATTTGAAATACGGCTGTTGTGTGTTTTTTTCTGGTTTGAAAATGAAAAAAAAATGACAAAATGCAGAAGCTAATAGAAGAATGAATGGATGGATGACAATGGAAAAGAAATAAATTTTTGAAATGTTTTCTGGTTTTTTTTTGCATTTCTGTTTCTGCAAAATGTTTTGATTCACATTCACAGATCAATTTGTTGCTACTGTTGTTGTTGCTCAAATTCTATTTAATTAGTTTGTAAAGGTTTTTGTCTCTACAAACGAGAAACAACAACAACAACAACAAGACAAGAAAACAAAAATTGATATCCCATCTGGATTCACTTTTTGTTTGTTTGTTATTTTTATTCTATTGAGCCTTCTGGCTTGTTTTTTTTTTCATACTCTCCATATGAATGTCGCACAAACACACACTGAAAAAAGTTTTGTCGATGAAACAAGACGAAAAATTCTTGTCTACACATGAAAATTTGTTTCTCATTAAGGAATTATTACGATAAATGAATGAATGAATGAAATGAAATGAATTTACTATTTTATATTCACAATGATGACAATTTTGTTTTTGTGGTTGATCAGAAAAACAGACAGAGAGAGAGAGAGAGAGAGAGAGAGAGAGAGAGAGAGAGAGAGAGCCCTATGGCTTTCACCACCATTATTACATTGTATTTCCAACAAAATCATGTCATGTGGTTTTTTTTGTTTGGTTCGTTTAGTAAAAAACATTACAATTTAGATAATTATTGTCTTTCATCTTTATTCAATCTTATATTTTGTTGTCTGATGTTTCTTTTTTTTTTGTTTGTTTGAATGATGGTTTACATGCCACAAATCAAACAAAGTTTTTTTTTTTTTTTGTTGTTGTTGTTGATGGCCTCAAGTGATTCATTATTATTATTTGCATTTCATTTTTTTTTCTTGACTTTGAAACTTGGCATATGGTGAAGTGAAAAGAAAACATTTTCTTCTTTGTGTGTTAATTGAATTCATTCATACAGATTGGAAAAAAACAAGCAAATTATCGAGAGAGAAAAGAGTGAGAGAGAGATAATGGAAAATAATTGAGTCGAAAGTTGAAAATTGATTAAAAACCTTATCGTATGCATATTGAAGATGATTTCATTTAGCTTCCTGAAAACAGAGACGAAAAAAAACAATAACTAAAAATTGTATTGCGTTATAGTTGAATTAAAGATTGAATTGAATTTGTCTTTATGTAAGATTTTTTTTTCTCACGAAAAAATGATTCTTGTGACCGTTATTCAATTGGATAAATAGTTCCATTATTATATACCAACAATCACAATAACTTGAAGTGTTTGTTTCGTTTCGTTTTTCACCATTTTTTTCCTTCTCGGTTATACCGCGTATAAATATATAAATAATACATGGTCGATTAATTTTCGATGTTAACTTTTATTCTTTTCGTTTCGTTGTTCGAGAATATTGTTATCGTTTTTTTTCCATTGTTAAATTATAGTAAATCTTGTCCATTTTTGTTGTTGTTGACCAGAAAAAAAAGCTTTTTCGGGTCAAACCTTATTGACTATTCTCTTTCTCTCTCTTCATCTCTCTAGCGGACTTAATTACCAGAATGATAGGCGAGAAATTTTTCATTTAATAGACTTTGAAAACAAAACAAAACAAAAAAAAAACAAATTTGAAAATTCAAACAATATATTTTTCTCATGACTTTTATTTTGTGTTCATTTTGATTTAATAACATGGCGTCGGTAATTATATGCGATTATGAAATTACTTTTTACAAGCAAAAAAAAAAAAAAAAAAATCCACGAAAAAAAATTTAAATTCATTTTAAATAATTCATTCCGTTGTGCTCTATGCTCTATGATTTTTGTCATTGAAAAGAAGAAAAAAAATTTTTATATAAATTGAATTTTAAATTTGAGATAAATCTCTCCTTTTTTTTCTCTCTCTCTTTTTTTTTTATTCATTCATTTGATTCCATTTTGCGGTCATAATCATAAACTTTTCGTCTTCTCTTCTCTCCATCATCATCATCATTATTATTATCATCATCTTCATCATTGAGAACTTTATATCCATAAAGTTTTTTTTTTGACTATTAAAAAACAAAAACAGTAACCGTAAGGAATTTTGATGGAGTTTTCGTTCCATTTCATCGTTTGTTTTTTTTTTTCATTTTTTTTTTGATGATCGATTCTCTCGACATTCATTTTCGAATTGATTCGATTCAATTCAATTCAATTCAATTCAATTCGATTCGATTCGATTCGATTCGATTGATTTTTTTTTCTTCGCTTGTGGTTATACATTTTTTCTATTCCAATAATGGTTTTTTCTATTTCGCTTTTTTTTTGATTGGTTGGTTGGTTGGTTTGTCGGTAATGTTTCGTTCATGATCGTTTCTCATTCATGTTTGTTCGTTGTCTAAATGTATTTGATGATGATGAAATCGATGAAAATTTGTACATAACATACATCATTTGGTCGCCAAAAAAAAAACATCACTAGCCCGTTCAGTGAATACCGAATATCGATCCAATTTCATTATTGTTGCGGTCATTTCTATATTTTTGTCTATGTTTTGCTTGTTGTTTGAATTTGTAATATTTTTTTTTTATTACAAGAAAAAAATGATTCATAAATAAATAATTGTATTTTCCACCACACACACACATACAGCGTATCATTGCATTGAAATTTCTTGTTTTTTTTCCAGCATTTTGATTGAATGTTGTAACGAATTATTTTATTTCTGAATATTTCGTATTCATTTGAATTTGAATTTTTCCATTTTTCTTGCATAAAAAATAGGAAAAAAATTCATGATGATGATGATTCATAATGACCTGTGTGAATGATATATATATTCACATTTTAGTCATCAGTCTTCATCATCATCATCATCATCATCATCAAAAATGAATTTGTAAAATTGAAATAAAAAAAAACTAAAATTCTGATTTTTGATCATAGGTGGCGCTGCAGAATCGTTTGATCGATGAAAAAAAAAAACGAAATCAAACAACATGTAATGGACAACTACTAAACAACGATAATAATCAAGAGACACTGACAACTGGCTATAACGAGTGTGAAAAAAAAAATTTCTTTTCACACATTGTGTCTGATGTGTATGTTGGTTGATGACCACCAAACAACCATCGACAACAAAAATATGGCAAGTTTTTCTCTGGTTATAATAATTTTATTCACTAAAAATGCTCCGAAATGATTCGTTTTTATTTGATTTTTAATTTTTTTTTTCGTTTTGTCTCGTTTTTTTTGTTCAGAATCAAATCATCATTGATCCATACTGAATACACACACACAGGCACACACAGTGCCAAATACGATTATGAACAAAATTTGCATAATTGCTAATTGATTACAATTAATATATGCAACAATAATGCGAATAATGAAAATCTATCTATCTCTCATGAAAAACCAAAATTGAAATTATGACAATAGAATTCGTACAACGGCAACGACCATGATTATGATTGTGATGATGATGATGATGATGATGATGGAAAAACAAATGACTTTTTCATTGTCAAGGAATTATGATTATTTGGTTATTGTTGAACAAACAATAACAGCAACAACAATAAAAATAACAACAACAAAGATGATGGTGGTGGTGATAATAAAAACGACTATATGTAATGATAATAATAATAATAATAATAATAAAAACAAAAATAATGAAAATGATGCAATGATGATGAATAATAATGAGATAAATATTAACAATAAAAACAACAACAACAACAACAACAACAACGACGACGACAATAACGTTGGCAAAATTAATATTTACATGATAAACAACGACGACAAAATAATTGAAAAAATCGATGACAAAACCTTTATCATTATCATCAACTTTTTCATCAATGATGATGATGATGATAATCAATTTATCGATATTGTTAATCATCTTGATCAAATGATCATCATCATCGTTGTTGTTGTTGTTGGCTGCCAGATGTTGTTTATATATTGGTGGTGGAATCATCATCATATGAATTTAAACGACGATGACCGATATTATGTTGATGATGATGATGATGATAGAAACATTAATGTTGTTCCAGCAGTAATATTATTAATAACCGAATTATTAACAACAAAACAACAACAACAACATTGATAACGATTCCATTACTCAATCATAATAATGATGACGATGATGATTACCAGTACCAGTTTCATCGTCATCATAAACGAATAATTTTCAATGATACTAAATATTCTGATGATAATGGCGAAAAAGAATTCGCAACTCATTGGTCCAGATCCTCATCATCATCATCATCATCATCATTGGAACAGTCATTTCATTACTGTTATGGTTCCGATATTATAACAGCAATAGAAACTGAAAAAATGGATACATTTTTAATTTTGTCAACAAAAATGCCATCATTATCATCATTATCATCATTATCATCGTTATCAGCGTTATTATTTTTATTTATTTTATTTTATTTTCAAACTTTTCGTTATTATTCAATAAACGATCGACCGACAATAAAACGACAACGTCGACGACAAAGACTACGACAACAATGGTCATCATTATTATCAGAGAAATTTTCATCATCTTCTTTATCGACAACAATTGATTTGGAATCAAATTTATTCAATTTTCATCATCAACAACGAACAAGATCTTTATTATTATCATCATCATCATCAATGGCGACAATATCGATTGTATCGATATTGAAATTTTATCTTTTATTATTACCACCATTATTATTTCAAATATTCATCATCATCATCATTATTAATATGCTTATTCCTTTATTATATTCTTTTGCCTCGGCGGCCATCGCTTCAATCACCGAAAAAGCCTATTCAATTCTTTTGTCAACAATTTCATCCCCATCATCATCATCATCATCATCATTAAATCATTATCGACTTCATCGACATCGGTATTCAAATATGATTTATACAACAACATCATCAGCATCAGCATCATCATCATCATCATGTTTATTTTTATTATTTATAATAATGATTTCCACATTTACATTTGTAAATTCATTGCCCAGTTCTATCAATGTCGGTAAGGTTTTTTTTTATATTATAAAACCGCTACCAATACTTCCATCTATCGTCGATGATTTTTATGATTTTTGCAATTTTCTAATTCTAAAATTAGGTGCCGTATTCACACATGATCGTCTGGATCAAGAGATTGCCTTCAAATTGGCCATTAAACGTATCAATTCGGATCGTATAATTTTACCGCATACAAAATTGATACCGAAAATTGAACATATACAAAAACATGATAGTTTTCATGCTGATAAAAAAGTTTGTGGCCTATTGCATACAGGGGTTGTGGCCATATTTGATCCACTTGATGGTTACATATCTCGTCATTTACAATCAATTTGTGATGCATTAGATATACCGCATTTAGAAACACGTTGGGATTTTACAACCAAACGTGATGATCTGTCGGTGAATTTGTATCCAAAGCCAAATGTTTTGGCTAGAGCATATGTTGATATAGTAAAAGCATGGAATTGGAATCAATTTGCCATTGTTTATGAAGATAATGAAGGACTGATACGTTTACAGGATTTCTTCAAAGAAGCTGAATCCTTGAATTGGCGTATTAAACTACATCAATTTAAACCAGGTAAACCATATCGTGAAACATTTTGGAAAGTTAAAAATGATGGTGAAAAAAACATTATATTGGATGTGAAAAATGAGAATATTTTTCGAGCTTTAAAACATGTAAGTTTCAATCGAATCGAATTTGAGTTTGTAAAATTTATTGAAAAATTATCACTTTTTTCACAAAAAAAAACTACAGGCACAACAAGTTGGCCTGATAACCGAATCGCATAGTTATCTGATAACACAATTAGATTTACATACAATTGATTTAGAGGATTTTAAATTTGGTAAAACAAAAATAACCGCATTCAAGATAATTGATGATTCAAATGAAGAGCTCAAATTATTACGCGAAGATTGGCGTTCCGAATTTCCAAAATATTATTCACCAGAAATTTCGGTAAGTTGAAAAATTATTAATTAAAATCATTTGGTCAATTTTTTTTTCTCTCTTGGCAATTCTAATAGACTGAATCGGCATTGATTTATGATGCTGTTAAATTATTGGCAACCGCCATACGTGAATTAGATCATGGACAATCAATCGAAATACAACAAGTTAGCTGCGAAAGTAGTGTACCATGGTCACATGGTAGTTCCTTAATAAATTATATGCGTCCGGTATGTGTTTTTGTAATGAATTTTTTTGATTTTTTGTTTAATTTTACTCCTTTTCACCACAAAGATTGAATTTCGTGGCATAACCGGTTTAGTTGGCTTCAATGATCTTGGTTTCCGTTCATCAATAACATTATCAGTGGTAACGGTATCACCACAAGGTTTGGAAGAAATCGGTACATGGTCTGAAGACGTGGAACAAGAACGTCGTTTAAATATATCGCGTGATTGGACCATACATTATTCATCATCAGCATTAGAGAATAAAACATTGATCATTACAACGATTTTGAATGATCCATACACGATGATTAAAGATTCATCATTTAAACGTATTGGTAATGATCAATTTGAAGGCTATGCAATTGATTTGATATCGGAATTATCGAAACTTTTACATTTCAATTATGAGTTTCGATTGGTAAAAGATGGTGCATACGGTCGGCCGGATAAAGAAGGTAATTGGAATGGTATGATGGGCGAATTAATACGTGGTGAAGCTGATCTGGCCGTTGCTGACCTGACCATTACGTCGAAACGTGAAGATGCTGTTGATTTTACACATCCATTTATGAATACTGGGATTAGTATTCTTTACAAGAAACCAACGAAAAAAATTACATCATTATTCTCATTTCTATCACCATTTTCAAATGTTGTTTGGATCTATGTCGTCTGTGCTTATATCGGGGTTTCGTCAATGTTATTCATCGTTGGACGTATTTCACCATATGAATGGGAAAATCCACATCCTTGTCGACAGAATGAACAAGTTCTTGAGAATGCATTCAGTTTATCAAATAGTTTTTGGTTCACAATCGGATCACTGATGCAACAAGCATCGGATTTAACTCCCAAGTAAGTTTTCGAATTCGCATTCAATATTTATATTCATTGTGTGGTGGCGTGATAACCTCATTAATGATGAACCACAATTCGAACAGATGAGTTTAGTGTAAATGTGTTTTTGGGCCATTATACAATTAATTTTGTTTTCTATTTTCAAAGAGCAATGTCCACCAGAACAATTGCATCGATTTGGTATTTTTTTACATTGATTATGATTGCATCATATACGGCTAATTTGGCTGCATTTTTAACTGTCGAGAAAATTGTTTATCCAATTGAAAATGCTGAAGGATTAGCGACACAAGAGAAAATTAAATATGGTTGCCTTGGGTCTGGATCGACTGCATCATTTTTTGCTGAATCTAATATAACAACATATAAGAAAATGTGGGATTTTATGAGCAAACATTCAGATGTTTTCATGAAATCCAATGAAGAAGGTCGAAAAACTGTCGAGAAAGCCGATGGAATGTATGCCTATCTGATGGAATCAGCATCGATTGAATATATTATCGAAAGAAATTGTAATCTAACACAGATTGGTGGCCTTTTAGATTCTAAAGGATATGGTGTCGCAACACGAAAAGGTGAACAATGTTGTTTTTTACCTGTTTAAATCTGAAAATTTTTTTTTCTCTTTTCAAAACTGATATTTATATAGATTCACCATATCGTACACCATTATCGCAAGCAATATTAAAACTACAAGAAAGTGGTGCATTATTAACATTGAAAGAACGATGGTGGAAACAGAAAAAAGGTGGTGGCCAATGTATTGATGATCCAAAAAAAAGTTCTGGTTCAGTAACGCCATTAAAAATTGATAATGTTGGCGGTGTATTTGTTGTATTATTGGGTGGCTTAAGTTTTTCATTATTTGTCGTGATACTAGAATTTGTTTGGAAATCACGTTATGAACAACCATCGCAACAAAATAATGATCAGGTAATAATGATCAATTTTGTTCGAAATATTTTGATAAATAATAAATCGAAATCAAATTACGTTGATAATTAGATTAGATTAGACCTCACTCTCCATTAGAGATGATTCATTTTCATTTTGAAATTGTCAAATCTCAATCATTATATTTGTCAACGATAAAAGCTGTAATTAGATTTTTGAAAAAAAAATTGAAAAAGTTCAATTTCCCACGATCGATAGATTCAGGAAATGATTCAAGTTGGATATGAAGAGAAAAAACAGTAAACAAATTACAAATTTCAAATTAATTTACTTTTTTCTTCTGTTAATTATTCATCCAATTATCAGGAATTTTAATTTTTTTTTCTCGTTTTCTTTCTCTCCAAAATAAAAAAAATTAGAATGAAACAATTTGTGAAGAAATGATGAATGATTTAAAATTTGCGCTAATGTGTCAATCATCATCAAAATTGGTATCAATTTCATCGATTGATGGTCATCATCATCATCATCATCAACATCATCGTAATCACAATCATCGTCGTTATAGTCAATCAAATATAATAGCATCATCGATGATGACAACGACTACGCCATCAAAATCAATTATTGTACCAAAAGTGTCTTCAACACCATTATTATTTAGTGATTATCATCATCAACATCAGCATGCGTATTCTCATCAACCACAACATCAGGTTCAACAAACAACAAGGTTATCAACAATATGATTATGAACCACAAAGACGTCTAATAGCTGGCGGTGGTGGTGGCACTGGTATTGGTAATCAATATTGTCAATATCATCCTCATGATGGTGATGACATTGATGGTAATGGTCAAATTAATCAATCATCAAATAACAATAAATCATCATCATATCTAATACGAAATTCAACAGCAACAACAACACGTTCATTACCACAATCAATCATGAATCGTACAAATAAAATATCATCATTATCGATGTCAACAAATTATAATACTGGTGATTCATCAAATTTATTGATACAGAAACCACCATCAACAGCGAAACAATCATCAAGATCGTTATTATATCATTCTGATAATTGTAAATTAAATCGTGATTTAGAATCATTACAATCATCAAATAATAATCCTATAAAAATGAATCAGAATATTCTGAGTGGTGGTAGTACGGCAACAACATGGCATCGTACAGCATCATCAAAATCATCAACTAATCAACAACAGCAGCAATTTATTATTGCAAAAAATTTGGTTCCAAGACCACGTTCAGGTTTGGATAGCCATCATCAACAACAATCGCAGCAGCAGCAGCAGCAGCAGCAGCAACCACAGAAACAATATCGTAATACAACACAACAACAAGCTCAATGTATAAATAGTAATAGTTTATCCAATCTGCCAACAATCAATGTAACAGATGATCATGATAATAACAATGTACAGCCATCAACAACAACAACAACATTGACAAAAAGTGGTAGTATAGGACGTTTAGTTTTAACCGATAATAATGCAAATTTAATTTCACATAAACGTTATAATATTCCATTGATTAATGCATCAATACTTGATTGATTGATTAATATATCGATTTTAATTTGATACAAAACAAAACAAAAAAAAAACAAAAACAAAAACAAAACAAACTAGTCCGTATTGATTATGATTGAAAAAACATTTATATAATTAAATAAGCTCAATATTTTAGACAAGACGCAAACAAGCAAACACAAATAAACGTTGAAAAAAATTTGGTTGATGAAAACGAAATTCTCAACCAATTTTGCTGCTGTTTTTTTCTCTCTCTCTCTCTCTCTCTCTCTCTCTTTGCTAAACTGACAAACATTTTTTTCTTCTTCTTTTTTGTCTTATTTATTTGAAATTCAATCTATTTAATTCAATAAAATTTTTAAATAATTTTACCGAAAATCCGGTATTTTTATCATTAAAATCTACATTGTAAATGAAATATTTGAAATGTGAATATATTAATCACTTATAATAAAAATTCCAATTGCCCACGCGTTATCGATATTATTATTATTATCAGCTTAATAATCGATAATGATGATTGCAGCATCGTTTGTTGTTGTTTGGATGTGGATGAATTTTTCTGAAAATTTTCTGAAATTTTCCATTGCTGAATTGTTTGTTGCGAAGCAATGATGGATGATGACCACTGGTTTGAACATTGATTCAAATGTGTATAAGTAAGACAATGTTGCATTAACAGTGAATCACTTATTTCTGTTGAATATTGTAAAAAATTTGATTGAACCATCATCATGATGATGATTTATATAGCAATCATTTAAAATTGAACGATGTTGACATTCAATTGAGGATTTATAAATGCAACAAAATTGTTGAATATCATTATCGTCGTTATTGGTGGTGGATAATTGTCGAAATTGATTCAAAATTTGCCAACAATTTTTGACGGTCGTACGTTTAAAACACGATGCATATCGTAGATAATCTAGTGTGAATGATATAAAAAAAAATTTATTTTAATTTTTTTTCAAACTTTTGAAAATTTTTTGTTTGTTTCAAAACTACCATTTTGTATAGTTAAATTATGACATATTAATTGTAAAACATTTCTAGTGCCATTAATTATGTTCCATATCATTTTATTCATTGATCGTGGCATACATTTATCCAAATAATTCTGTGTACAATGATCACCATATTCTAATAATTGACATGTACGTTGTAATTCCGGATATGTTATCGGAAATGATAACCGAGAATTATTCGTCACACTTATTATATATTGAAGACATTGGTCCAGTTTTTTATGCTTACAATTCGATATTGATTCTCGTTGTTTGTTCATTGATGCATCCACATTTGAATGATTATAAATTATCAAAATTATTATCAATGATGATGCTGCTATTATGCTTGCTGATAATGGCGACATTATGATATGATCATGACAAACTATTCAAATGAAATGAAATCGTCATTGTCTATCGTCACAATCATTTTTTTTTGTCGAACCATATGGATTACCATGAATCGAACTGAAATTCTAAAAAAAAACCCAAAATTCAAAAAAATTTTGATCACGTTGCATGCATGTGTGTTTGTTTATGCAAAAAAAAAAAAAAAAAAAAAAAAGTTTTTCGAATTTTTCTTATTCAAACACACAAAAAATTCATTTCATCTGTTTTTTAGCATCAGAATTTTTTTTAATTCAATTTAAATTCTATTCGTAGAAACAAAGATAGAAAGCAAAAGTTTTACTTTCTTTTTTTTTCTCAAGAAGACACAGGTTCTTTTGAATATAGATCGTGATGTGACAACCTGAGGGCAGCATAATTTATCCATTTGCCAAGAGTTAACTTATTTTCCACAGAAAAAATTTGAATGAATTTTTTTCTCCATTTAATCCGGATGCAAAATTGATTCCATCAATTCAAGTTGCAATCAATTCTTTTTTCTAAAAGGATAAAAAATAAAAATCTCACTCAGCTATGCAACAATTAGTTACATAGCAAGCATGCACACACACACACACATACAACTGGCGTAGTAAGTTACTACGCTAGCTACGATTTATTATATATTTACGACGAAGAAGATGATGATGATGACAAAAAGATAATAATGTGACACTACCTTCCACTTATATTATTTTGATGATGATTTGGTAATCGCTATCTCTGTATTGTTATTATCCCACGCTCTCTCTATCTCTCTAAGATGAAAAAAGATGTCGACCATATATCCGTGTGATATCTTCTATCTATCTATCTATCTATTATTCTATATTTATAGCTCGTGCAGCAGCATTACGTGTAGCAGTAGTACACACGTAGTATTTACCACTTGATGATGTAATGTTGTTGTGTGTGTGGAGGGTAGTGATTTTTTTTTTTGGTTGTCAATTGTGCATATACTTATTATTATTATTATCATCATCATCTACTTGAAAAAAATAAGGGAAAATAAGAGAATTAATGTAGAGATGAAGACCAGAAACAAAAACAACAGCAACAAAAAAAAAACAGAAGCCGGAATATAATTTTTTTTTTTTGGTTCTCACGGTACGGACCTAACTAGCGCGTTTCGCTTCATCGTTTTTGTTTCATTTCATACGCTCGACCGAATTAGCTACATAGTCACTATTTTTCTTCATCGCTTTATTATTTGTATACAGGACAAAATCTGCAATAATCATCACATTCATGATGATGATGACAATTTTGAGTTGAAATTAAGAATGAATTTAATTATATCTATCTAGAATCCAAGATGATGATGGTCAAGCCATTTCGAAAAATGCAAAACCAAGACGATGAAAAAAGTTTTACCTATTGATCCAAATTGATACCATTGAATTTCGTTCCAGAAACTCATACATACACGGGAAATATGTCTGTTTTTCTTGGTCTGTTTTGGGTTTATTCATTTTTAACATTTTCCATACACGCATTGAAATTAAAGCAGATGTTTTTTCTCTCTTTCTCTTTCCAAAATATTCAACAATAGTCATCGGTGGGTAAATAAACCATTTCAAATCCGAATGTGTGTCCCTCTCTCTCTCTTCTCTTTTCCATCAAGTTTTGACAATCAATGTTGACCGGGGACCTATCCTTAAAAAAAAATTTGCTGAGCAAGCTAGGTCGATTTGGGTAAATATTGCCGTCGTCATTTTTTTTATTATTATTATCACTACCAACAACAACAATATCCGCACTAAATAACCAAAAGAAAAAAAAATTTTAACTTCAAGCCCTCAATTTTTTTTTCGGAAATGTTTTTCATTCTAAAACCAAGCGAATGAACGAACGAACGAACGAACGAACGAGAGAGCAAGAAGAGAAGCAATGAAATAAAATAGCACTGGAATCAAAATGAAAAAAAAAATCTAATACACTTTCCTTCTCCTAAGAAACGGTCAAAGGTCAGTGCATATCTGTGTACTTTGAGTGTTGTTGATTTTTTTTTATTTCACATATCTTTTTTTGACCTTCCTATTACCTATTGCTATTGCCACTGCTACTACTACTATCATTATTATGACTTGACACATAACCAACAGAAAAAAAACAAGAAAAATATGCAACAAATGATATTTTGACCAAATGATCTAGAAGTAAAAATTTTTTTAAAAAAAGGAAAGTAGAGTGAGAGAGAAAAACATCTGCTCAATTATAAAACGATCAATAAATGGTGAATTCAAAAACACATTCGATACGAACCACAAAAATTCCAATGTTTTTAGTTATCCGTTTACCATATGTGTTGGATGTTTCCGTATCCGGAGATTCAATTCAATCATCAATTGAATGGGAGGTGCTGTAATGTAAAGAAATTCAAAACAAAACAAAACAAAAAAATAAATTATCGATTAAATGGTGATTGATTAAGAGATTAAAACTGATTGGTAGGAAAAATTTTCTTTTCATTCCAATTATCAGCCATTATCATCATCATCATTGGATGTGAGCCAAACTATAATGACATTGTCCTCGAAACAAAAACGAAACAAACGAAAAAAAAAATTTACAAATTCAGCTAGCTTTAAGCTAAATAATAAAAAAAAGATCTGACAATGATCCACCACCTTAATGACATCATTAATTTGTTTTATTTTATTGTGAAATGAACGAACGAACAAAAAAAATTGAATTTCAATCTCATCTTAATGCATCATCATTCAATTTTTTTTTCTGGGAGGAGAGAGGAAGCTTGAAAAATTTTAATGGATAAAAACAAAATTTGACTTTTTTTTCGTTTCTTGTGTTGGTTTCACACTCGTTCGTTTTATTATTTCACATTTTCAATTTCAATGTGTTTGCCCCCGCAACACACAGGACAAACAATTCACACATTTTGTTTTTCTTCTGAAATTTAGCTAGGTTGTTGTTTGCTTCAACAACAGTTTTTTTTTGTCTTCGTCTTTTTTTTTTTTATTTTATTGATGAAGAACACATTGAGAGCAGCTTTTTTTCTATCATCATCATCATCATCGTCGTCGTAGTCGTCGTCGTCGTCGTTGTCGTTGTTGTTAAAAGACGGCCAAGTCGTTTTTTTAAAAAATTTTTTGTGTGTGTGCCCGCAAGCTACTTCTCACGCTTTTTTTCCTTTTCAATCTTCAAGTTTGTTGTTCTGGGGTTCTTCTTGTATCACAACAACGATTTCAATGTCCAATTCTCCAATCGTCTACGAGTTTGTTTATTTTCGTTAAGTCGTGGTCGTCATTGCTTTTTTTTTGGTTGTATTTTTTTTCGTACGATCAAATCTCCTCTTTATGATGATAATGATAATTTTTTTTTTGTTTTGAAAATTTTTTCTTAAAAATAAAAAAAAATCATCGCTCATCATTTGTCGCCATTGATATTGGCCTTTGGCCATCATCATTATTACCATCGTTTGTTGTTGTCGGTTTTCATTACATATTATTGGCTTGACTATAAGTGGACAATTGGTCATTTTTGGGATGGCCAGTTGAAATTTATTCGGTTTGATGAATGAATGAAATTCTTGTTTATATACCATATTAACACACACACACAAAAAAATGAATTGCATGTTTTGCCGCTTTTTAAATTTTCTTTTGTCAGTGATTGTTGTTGGTATTCTCACGAAAAAAAACAACAAACGACAAATAAATTCTTTTCAAAGAATAAAAATTTTTTTTTTCATTTCTGGCTATGATAATCATTCGATAAAAAATCAATGATGGTCGTTGAATGATTTTTTACTATATGGTTGATTGAGTTTTTCATTCATTCATTCATTCTTTTTCATTCAATTCGTAAAGAATCGAGGCCAAATTGAATTCTGTTTGAAATTCATCATCGTCCAATCAAAATCACATATTTTTCATTGTTAAAAACACATACACAGAAGGCAACTTTTTTTGGTTTTTTATTTCAAAAAAAATGTTTTGCTGAACAGAAGAACCAGACTATCACAAGCAAATCAAGCAAGCTTTGAAAGCAAGTAAGCAAGTTAGCGCTTACTAAAAAGAAAGGAAGGAGGGAACTACTACAACAAGCACTAGAGCACCAAAGCACACACAATACTACTCAGCTAGCTTTTGTTCAATCATTTTCATTTCAAACATTCAGTCCATTCTATTCATCGACACATAGTCAGTCAGTCAGTCATATCATTCAGTCGATGGTTGGCAGCCATTCCATATTATCATCATAATTTGCTACCTGATTTTTTTTGTGTAAAAAACATCCACATTGATCTCGATTCATCAACAACATCAACATCAGGAATTTGAAAATTTTTAAATTTTTTTTCTCTAAAATTCGATCATCTGGTCATTTTCAGTGCCTTTTTTTTTTTTTTTTCTTTTTGCTTCTCTATATCCTGTAATTGTTTTTTTATTTCATCAATCAATCAATCAATCAATAATCGCGACAACAAGTTCAAAAAATTCATTGGAAATAATTGTGATTAATTTGAATTTTTTTTCAATCGATAATTCCAAGTGTTTGTGGTACGGTTTGCCTGATATTTTATCAAAATCATTTTTTCGCCGTTATTTTGAATGATGACGACAAACATAATAATGATGATAATTAGTCAATCAATCAATCAAACAATAAACAACAACAGTAACGATGATAACTGAATAAAAAAATTGTCATCAAATCAATGAAACATCATTCATTCATTTAATTATTAATCATTATTTCTTCTTCGAATCAATCACGTTGGATTTCTATTTAATATTTAAATCAATAATCAATAATTATCATCGATTTATATCAAAATATTTCAACAACAAAATCATAAGAAAGAAAGAAAGAAAAAAAAAAAAACATCACTGGATTGCCACGTTCGTGAAACATGATAAAGTACAAAGAACAAGAAGCTCTGGATAAAATAAAATCATCACCATCATCATTTGAATGAAATGTGTCACCAATTTTGTTTTTTTCTTCGTTTGCATGTTATGTATGTGACATGTGTTTGAATGATGAATTTGTTGTGCTGAATATGATTATGAATTTTTTTTTACTCGATAAAAAAAAAATTTCAACTTTATTTGTGTTTTTTGTGTGTTTGTGCATCATTCATAAAAATTTTTTTTTATTCAAATCAATCAATCGATTGATCAATTATTACCAATTTTTTTTTATTTTTAATCGTGTTTCGTCACTGTGTGTGTGCGTGTGTATTTTTTTTTTTTTTTTTTTTTTTTGAGAATTTTCGAATCGAATTATTATTTTTTCTCTCACTTTTGTTTTCTTGAATTTTTATTTACCAGGCGCGCTAAAAGCGCCATTCATCACATCAGCTGATCTCGTTTCCATTTTTTTTTCTTCTGTTTCATCGAAAAACAAAATGGCTGCCATACAACGATTCTCATTACTATTTATCAACATTTGTCTGATATTAATTGTCAATCAATCCAAATTATCATCATCATCGTCATCATTTTATCCATATTCGATCTCGAATTCTACATGTAAGTGTGTTTGTTTTGTTTTTTTTCAACTGAAAAAAAAAAAAAAATCCGTTTCTATATTGAGCATCATTCATTCTTTGATTTTAATCATCATCACTTCACACACGAAATTATGAAGATCCGTTTTCTCATCATCTGAGAATCGGATATATTTGACGCGAAGAATGAATTGTGTGTAATGTAAATCCATTTTTTTATTTTGTCAAGTGTTGTTGTTAGTGTGGTGTTGGCTAAAAATTTCCGGTCATTATTCACAAGTGAATTTTGTTTTTCTTTTTATTTTTTTTCTTCTTCTTCTGATTGAGATTTCCTTTTTCGATAAAATATTTGTTTGTGGAATTTCATTCAGTCTGCTTGAATGATTTAGTTGTTGTTTTTTGTAAAAATTCAATGTTTTTGTAGGCAAATTATCATTGTGTTTTTTTTTTGCATGTTGCATAATGAGATTATGAAAATGAATTCACAAGATTCATCGTTGTCCCCAGGAGGGTAAAATAATTGTTTTTGCTCTTTTGGTTCTATAATTGGTAGTTCTTGACAATCAGTCTTAGTGTCAGTGTTTGTATCACTACTACTGGACGACACTCACACGGACATTTTCTGTCATTTTAAAACCATGAAAAATTGTAAATTTTTCTCTTTTGGTTTGACAGAATTTTTGTTGCAAGTTGCAAAAATATGAATTTTCAAGTGAAAAGAAAAAAAAACGCGTGGCCACCACCACCACCACCACAACAAACTCTCTCATCTCAGTACACCGATTCCAAAACAAATCAATTAACCATTATCGATATGGTAAAAATTGATTTACCACACACACACACACACACGAAATGTGAAAAAATAGTAATTATTTTCAACTCGCACTGACAGAACTCATACACACACACACACTACAATTCTCAATCTCAATTTTTATCTATAGTGCACCAACAACAACAACAAAAAAAGTTAATGAGCCAATCCTTTTCAATTTTTGGTTGTTGTTCCCTTTCTTCTTTTTTTTCGTACAAATAAAAATGTCATAATTACAATATATCTGTTTGTCTCATTCTATCATGCTGCGTGTGTTTGTGTGTATGTAATATTTTCATTTTCATTTTTTTGTGAAAATGAAAAAACAGCAGCAGCAGCAGATTTTCATATTCTCAGTATACGTGGATATGAATTTTTTTTTAGAATTTATCCCAAGAGAATGAGTGTGAATGTGGTCACATAGTTTTCCTTTTTTTCTGATTGATGATTATTCTTTCTCCACATTGATTGACCATTAGCCCTTTTTTTCACTTGAAAAATTTGTTGATTAATTTTGAATGATTACTTGTGTTTATGTTCGTTCTGTTTACACAATCAAAAATCAACTGTGCTACTTTTGTTGTTGTTCCAAACAATAACACGCGTTATTCTCTGCCTGGGATTCCTGGTTTCGTTTGTTTGTTTTTATTTGATTTTGGTCTGACGACCTTATCCTAGTATCCTGTATGTGTCTGTATCCTGGTGACATTTAAAAGAAAAAAAGCTTGCTGAATAATACACACACACACACACGCATGCAAACACCAGAAAAAAAATGAACAGATGTTCATCTGTCTGTTCATGGGAAAACCTGGTTGCGCTAGCTCTAACCAAAAAAAGCTATATTAAAAGTCATAATTATCATCAATTGTTGTTGTTGAACCTTCTCCCGCACCAACAACAACACCACCACCACACCTAGACCCATACAAAAATTTTTACCTTGTTGCATGCATGCAACACATACACACACACACATACATCCACCACCACCCCCCTCCATTGCATTTGGATTTTTCTCATACATCCAATATCACAGACAGTGATTGCGGTAGTAGTGGTGGTGGTGGTAGTTGTGGAGAGATTCAGAGGGGAAAAAGTTAATACCACCACCAACAACACTGTTGCTGAATTATATCAATCACATTTAATGAATGAAATGAAATGAAATAAAAAAAAAAAAACCGACAAAAATCCTGTCGACGACCGTTGAAATTTCCTCATTCTTCTGTTCGTTGGATCCATTGGAAAATTTTTTCTGTTTTGTTTTGTCATTTGATTTCTGGTAGTCTGAGTTAAATTTGTTTGTCGATCGTTTTTTGCATTTCCATTTCCATTTGAAATTTTTCTGTCTTGGTGATACTTATAGAATCAAAATGATTTGAATTGATGCTCAAAAACATGAATCATTTCATTGGATTTAGATTTAAATTTTTTTTATTGTTTTTATCATTCATATTTTCATTTAATAATCGAAATTGTTTTATTATCTCTTCAACAAATTCTTCTTCTTCTTCTTCTACTACTTTATCAACATTGCCAAATGATTCAAATTTATTATCAACGCTCGATTATAATGTTTTGGATGATTATCATTTTGTCACTGCCACTATCATCGATGATGATGTTGATGATAATGATACAACAACATTGAATCCGTTATCAACAAAATCAGTGAACGGAAACAATAATAGACATGCATCCGTGTCATCATCATATTATAATCGGAATTCATTTCAATCTGCATCATCATTATCATCAGCATCGATACCATATCGTCCGGGACGTTGTTATCTGAATAACTGTCTTAATGATGGTCAATGTATTTTGAATCCAAATACGCTGAAATCTTATTGTCGGTAAGTTTTTTGCTATAAATCGATGAAACTTTTTTTTCGTAATTTTTCAAAACATTTATTTTGCTTGAAAATCAAATTTTTCATTTTTTAAAAAAAATTTTAGCTGTCAACCAAAATATGTTGGTTCAAGTTGTGAATATCAGAATCCTTGTTTTGGTATGAATCGTTGTTTCAATGGTGGAACATGTCAACCAATTATTGCAACAGATGCGCCACCATCATTCAAATGTTTGTGTCCGTTAGGTTTTTCCGCCAGTATGTGTGAAGTGGAAACACCAAATATTTGTCAACGTGAACATCCATGCCGTAATGGTGGCCGCTGTATACTACATACAGATCTGGAACATTATCAATGTAATTGTCTTTCTGGTTGGCGTGGTGAACTTTGTGAAGAACGTGATAATTGTGCATCAAGTCCATGTAAAAATGGTGCCCGTTGTTTATCACATTCAAATGGTACCGGTTTCACGTGTGAATGTTCGAATGGTTTCCGTGGTAAAACATGTTCTGAAGATATTAACGAATGTCTTGAACTTGGCGATGATTTGGCTTGTAATCAAAAAGGAACTTGCATAAATGTTCCTGGATCATATGTCTGCAATTGTGAAGCTGGTTATACTGGACAACGTTGTGAAACGGTTTATATTCCATGTAAAACGGATAATCCATGTCAAAATGGTGGTGATTGTATTGCGGATCATCTTTCGAAAACATATCATTGTAATTGTCCAGCTGGATTTACTGGACGTGATTGTGAAATAAATATCGATGATTGTGGTGGTAATCTATGCCAAAATGGTGGTACCTGTATTGATGGTATCAATACTTATACCTGTTTGTGTCCATCGAATTTTACCGGTTCATATTGTTCACAAGATGTTGATGAATGTTCGCTGCAACCACAACCATGCCAGAATAGTGCAACATGTGCTAATACGATTGGTGGATTTAATTGCATCTGTGTCAATGGTTGGACTGGACCAACTTGTGCTGAAAACATTAATGATTGTGCGAATGCACCTTGTTTTAATGGTGCTACTTGCCATGATCGTGTTGGATCATATTATTGTCAATGTCCACCTGGTAAAACGGGATTATTATGTCATCTGGATGATGCTTGTGCATCAAATCCATGTCATAGTAAGTGGTTTTTTTTTATTTTCCAATTATTTATCCGAAAACAAAACGAAATCCCAAACTAATGAATAGCCGACAACAACAACAATAATAATAACAACACTAATCAACTAAACAAAAAACCAATTCAAGCGAGAAAAAAAACAATGATTATATCTGATGATTTGATTGATTGGTCAAAATCGATTAAGCTAAATCGTTAATTAGGCTTTTTTTCCCTGCTGATTATTACTATGTTGGCTCCCACAACAACAAAAAAAAAATATTCCTAATAGCAAAAATGAAATCAAAATAATTATTTTGTGAAGAAACCAATCAATGTTGTTCACATAATCATCACACACACACACACACTCAAACAAAGGGAGACAAATCAATCGATCGATCAAAATTAACCGTCTTTTAAATATGTACATAATAATATAGTTTAGATATATAAATTATTCAATCGCCAAAAATTACAATCGATAATCGATTGTAATTTTTTTTCTCGTCAAAACATAGGTGCATGTCATCATTACAATAGAGTTTAGCGTGGCTTGGTATATTTGTAACGCCTTTTTTTCGCCATTTATGTTCGTGTGGTTGTGACAATTTTTTTTTCATTTTTTGTTGTCAATTCAATCTATATAAAATGTTTATGATGCACAAGCACAAACAAAAACGCTTACTTGATAAGAGCATCATCAACATTTTTTTTTCTTATGAAGCTTAACCGAGAAAAAATACAACTACAACAACAAAGAAAAACGACATCATCATCATCTTTATATATGTGATTCTCACGAATCTTAAGTTTCGATGTATGAACAAGAATGACAACAACAACAGAAGAAGAAGAAAAAGAAAAATTTTTAAATTTACGAATCATTTTTTTTAGAGAATTTAAAGTTGAAAAAAACACAAATCTTTTTCGTTTGGGTATTCACACAGAAAAAAAACTTGAAAATCAACTTGAAAATTTTTTTAATCATTTTTTTTCTTGTTTTTCATATGGATTCTTGAATTCAGTTGGTGCTAATAATAATCACAGATTATTTTCGGTGGTTTTTTTTCTAGTGTTTAGAATAGAAATAGAAAAATGAAATAAAAATTGAAACTTGAACATTTGTTCATAACCTCAATATTTGTAATTTGATCATTGTCATCGCCATTGATTTTTTTTTTTGGTAGCCAGAAGCTAGAATTTTTTTTTTTTTTTTCGCAGATTTATCAGAATCAGAATCAAATTGAAAAATTAGAGAGAGACAGACAGAAAAAACAAAACGAAACAAAACCTATTTTTAGGTTTTCAAAAAAAAATCAACAATTTCCGATACTCAATAGCAACAACAACAACAACAAAAAAAACGGTACGCGATTGAGGTTTTTTTTGTCTCCATCATCATCATTTATCATTTACCGGGTGATTGTTTTGTGTGTGTGTGTGTGAAAAAACACATACTCTGATGATGAACAGATGTGTGTGTATGTGTGGTGAATGAAATGAATATTTTTATTATTTGTCATTCGTTTGATCGCTGTTTGTCTCTATCGGGAATTCATTCACCCGTACAAACAAACAAACAAACACACACACAGTAGAAACCCAAATATATGTATTTTTTTTCGTTTCTCGGTCAATGATACCCGATTCTTTTTATTTCTCAGTATAAATCTAATATAAAACATAAATGTAGCTCATTTCTCTCTCTCTCTCTCTTTGGTCTCTATTTTAAGGATGTTTTGTTGTTGATGAGGATTAAATATTCATTATAACAATTTGTTTTGGGGCCAATTGATTGTGTGTGTGTGTGTGTGTCTGTGCTATTTTTTTTTTTTACAAATTTCATTTTTCTATTCTATTGTTCGTTCATAATCAAGTGGGTCTCTCTCTCTCTTCTTTCCATTTTTTTCAAGGTGCACACAAAACACTTGACTTTAACACCCTATAGAGGCCTATTTTTGGAATTTATCACAGCGATTCAATAAACTTGGGTTATTAATTACATTTTATTATTGCTGTTTTAGTTGCACAGATGTGTGTGTGTGTGAGTGAGTGTTTGTAGGGTACATCACTTGGGTATTTTATGATTACTGATCTAAAAAAAAATCTAATTAGCTCAATTTCATTCACACACACACAGAGAAAGAGAATTTGATTTGTTTGTTCTGTTGATTATTGTGTTGTATTATGCTATTTATGGGGATTCTATTCAGTGATTTTATTCCATTTTTTTTATTGATTAATATTTTACATTCACTTTTTTTCCCATCATCATCAACCTAAACAGCTGGCGCAATTTGTGATACAAGTCCAGTGGATGGTACCTATGTTTGTAGCTGTCCGGCCGGTTATAAAGGAACTGATTGTATGCAAGATATTGATGAATGTCATGATAGTGGTTCACCTTGTGAACATGGCGGTACTTGTGTCAATACACCTGGATCATATCGTTGTGATTGTGCCATTGGTTTTGCTGGTGCCCGATGTGAAGTTAATATTAATGAATGTGATTCAAATCCATGCCAAAATGAAGGCACTTGTCTTGACGAACGTGGATCATATCGTTGTGTCTGCATGCCTGGTAAGTGTTTTGACTTTTTTTTTATCCTGTTCTAATCAATATTCAAATGGCAAGAAAGATATAGAAATGAAACAAGAAAAAATGACAAATTTTGAAAATCAACTGAATATTTTTTTTTCTCATATGAAAATCATCATCATCATCATTATAATTGGATATCTGATATCGAATTAGCCATGATGATTAATTGATTTGTTTATGTGCGTGTGTGTATGTGTGGACAGATTTTAACATTAGATCAATTTTTTGGATTCAGACAATCTTTGAATCTTGAGCGGAAAAAAAATTTGCCATTTTTTTCTTTTCATTTCGTTTCTTTATTTTACATTCCATTTCGTTTCTTTTTTTTACAAACCTTTGACCTTTTTTCTTTTTCAATCATCAACAATTTCAATCATTTGCCATATGGTATATTAAGTTTTTTTTTCTCCACACCAATTCTTCACCGTGATGATGATGGTGATGGTGGTGGTAGTGGTCACCCTTGGCCTTTTTTCTGTCCGATGATGGTTTGGAGTATATTTTGTTATTTTTTTATAATAATAATTGCTAATGATGATTCTTCATAACCATCATAAATAAATGAATGAATGAAATGAAATGATGGAATTTCTCTTTCAGCCATTTAGCTAGCTGGCGAGAAAAAAAATCACCATATCAATATATGATGATTATTGGGCTGGTTTTTTTTCTGATCATCATCATCATCATCATCGTAAAATAGCCACACGGTGTGTGTGTTTGTGTGAGTGAATGAAAGAAACCGGAGCAATAATAATAATAGATAGATATATGGATGGATAATGTGACTAGTCGAACAACAACCGACCAACAACCTACCCATCAATTTTGAAATTTCTTTTCTTCTCATGTGTATGTCGTGCACGAAAGATTTCGATTTGAATTGAAAAAAAAATTTTTTTTTCTTCAAAATTGGAAAATACTTTTACTTGTTCATCAGTGAATGCTGCTGTATGTATGTGATATGATAATGATCGCGGTCATTGAGAAAGTTTATGTTCGTGTGTGTGTGTGTGTGTGATACGAGTTAGAGAGAGAGAAAAAAAAAGGTCACAAGAACCTCTGACCCAGCAGCAGTAGCAAAAGAAAATTTTTTTTTGTATTTTCTTTCGTTTCTTTAAGTTGTTTTTTAGTTGTTATTCACGTACCACGAAAAAAAACCAAATTAGACATCTGGTCCACATTGTTGGGTTGTTGGCTTGTCGTTTTGGTGTGTCAAGATATTTGACCTTGTGTTTTTTTTTTCGTTTTGCTTTTTCCATACACATGCACACGCACAATATCAGCGTACATACATTTGATCTAGATTTATTTCTCGTCGTTTCTCTCTCTCTCTTTCCTGTGTTGTATGCACGTTGGTTTGTTTCTGGATCTTGATAAACCGTTTTTTCAGTTGGATAGGTCGATCGAGTTTTTGATCACACACACACACACACAATGACAATAGTGACACATTCCAGAAGATTTTTTATGATCTCTCGGGTCTTTTTTTCATTCTTTTTTTCCGTTTTGTTTGACGAAAAAAAAAACGTTTGGTACCCACCAACCAACAACAAAAACCTGACGTGAGAATCAGAAACATTGGCCTAGTTTGTTGTTGTTGTTGTTGTTGTATTTTTCTGAATACATACCACTCAGATTATGATGACAATGACATTTTTTTTTTTCCGATTTTTACTGGTGATTGGTCCCAGTAATGATGATGATGAACTATGAAAACAAGTGGTGGAAAAAAATACATGTCTGACTAGCTTAAAATGACCATTATAGACAATATGAAAAAAAAATTTACAATTTAAATTGATCAACAAATAATGAGAGTGAAAATGAAATTTCAATCATTTCAAAATTATTTTCTTAAATTTTTTTTTATGAATAATCAAACTCAAAAAAACAGCATGAAATCACCGAATAAATTTTTTTTTTTTTTTTTTTTTTTGATGCGGTTCATGGCCACTCACACATATATACAGCCTCTTGAAAAATGAACCATAACCAGTTCTTATAAAACATGAGGATGTTGTTGTTGTTGAATAATTCTTAACTTCAGTGTAAATGTCAATATTTCTATCCATCCACATTAAAGGTGGGAAAAGACAAAGTTGATGGCAATCAGATTCTGCATATATGCAGATTTTATAAATGAAATTGACCTAAGCCACACACACACACACACACACACAACACAAACAAAAAGAAATGGTTTTTCTTTCACCTTTATCAATCGTCATTTTTTCTGTGTGTGTGTGTTTCTTTGCTCTTTCTTACCTAGGATGACGATGAGGTTGATGTTTGTTTGTTTGTTTGTTTAACCATCATCATCATAAGCTCCTTGAACTTTTAGGCATTTATTTCATCTTCGTTTTTTTCTCTGGATGTAAAAACTTGATTTTCTATGTGTGGCTACAGAAAGCAACAACATTCTACGAATTGATTCGTAAAATAATTTGTGTTTGTATTCAGGTGGTGGTTGTGGTTGCGATGTGTACATGTGCATGTGTATTTTGTTTGCTGTGTTTTCACCAAATAAAAAAAAAAATTTTTTTTTTTTTCTTTACTGAAACAAAAAAAAATTTGCTGCTTAACAAATTGAACTTTGTTGTTTTCGGCAAAATGAACATATATCTTCATATCATCAATCGATTATAATGACGATGATGATTTAAAATTTGAACTTTGAGCCAGAGAAAACCACAATTAATCCTAGAATTTTTTTTTTTTCATTTTCATTTTCCACTCACTACCATCACATATTTAGCATTTGATCTTTGATCTTCTTTTGAATATAAACCACAACAAATCAAACAAAAAACAAAACAAAACAAAGCCTTTTTTATAATAGTCATAACAAAATTATTCCAAATCAGAATCAAAACAAAATAACAAAAACAAACCAGAAAACAAGATGAAAAAAAACGGTCAAATCAATCCAGACCATTGACCTGATAATGATGATGATAATGTCTTTTATTTTATTTCTCATTATCCAAATCAAATCAAAATAGAAATTAATTCATCCTTTCGATGAACGCGATTATCGATAAAACATTTATTCATTCATTCAATAATGATCAACAACAATTGGTTCGTTGGCCATCAATGATGATTGTATGTTGATGATCGTTGTTGGTTGGTTAGCCTGTCTTTCTAATAAATTTTCATTCAAATTTTTGATTATTGTCGCCAATTATTGTTGTTGTTGTTGTTGCATCGATTATGACAAATGACAACAACAACAACGATGATGATGATGATGATGATGATGAAAAAAAGTCTTGATCGATGTATGTATGTGTGTAAAGTGTATTTGGAGATCGTGGGAAAGACGACAATCATCAGAAGAAAAAACACAGTGTGTGTGTGTGTGTGTTTGTGTGTTTGCAGTATTCATTTATTCATTCACATTTGTCCGTTTTAAGTATTTTTTTTCCTCTTTGTATGTGTCACCATAGAACATACATGTTTGTGTGTGTATAATAATGATGATGATGATGACGATGATTATCATCATTCGGGGTCATATATATATATTTTATATAGAGCTACAAATATTTATTTAAGGAAAAAAAAAAAAAAAAAAAAAATCTGAACTAAACACTGATTAACATGACTTGACTGATGAATTCAACGATGATGATGATTCATCCTAATGAACCTAATAAATATCGAGTGATTGAATTTGTTGATCAAAATGACTTTTTTTTTCATTCATAAATTTCAAATTTCCGGATTTGTTTAATGATTAACGGATGATGATTATCATCAAAATATTTGTGTGTGTGTGTGTGGTGTAATTCAATACTTTCGTATTTATTTATTTTTTTTTTGCGCGATGATTTCATAATATTTATTCGTCGTCTTCGATGATATTTAGATAAATAAACGGATTTATATTATTGTCAATCTATCATTTTCAATTGATAAATCTAATAACCACTATGTATGTGTGTGTGTGTTGTCGTTGAATCATCATCATCATTGCAATTTTTTTCCCATAACCTAAATGGCGCCAAATATACAAAAAAAATCATTTCATTCAATTGAAATCTTTGGATTGACACTGGCCAGTTTATTTATATTAGGTTTTTGTGATCCGTTTTTTTTTTTTTGGTTTTGGTTTTGTTCTGTTTATTTATCTATTTATACTATCTATTTGTATTGAATCGGTTTGATTCCCACGATTTATAATTTTTTTTTTTTTTTATTTTTCATTTTTGCATTACACAAACATATTTATTTCTCGCAATCAATCAAAATTTGATTCATCATCATCATCATCATTATTCAGGCTATTCGTTGTAATTTGTTGTTGATGATGATGAAAACGATATCATACAAACAGACCAAAATAAAACTTTTGAATAAATGACACTAGTGTCATCTATTGGGCATTGTCTATCATCAACTGTTTTTTGTTGTTGTTGATTTACCGAAATTGAAATTTTAGAAATCGGATAATCATCATCATGCTGTGATTGTGTGAGAATGGTAAATATTTGTTCAAAAAAAAAAATTGACAATAATCAAAATGATGATGATACCCAGTTGATGATGTTTACACTTATGTTTGTGAGAAATTTTTTTTTTTTTTCATTTCATGTTTATGATGGTTTTTTTTGTCTTCTTGTTTTCTTCCTTTTCACATACACACAGGCTACACCGGTATACATTGTGAATCAAATATTAATGAATGTCAATCAGATCCATGTCAGAATAAAGCCGTATGTACCGATCTAATCAATGGCTATCGTTGTCTTTGTTTCGATGGTTTTGATGGTGTAAATTGTGAAAAAATCAATGGTCAATGTACGAAAAATCCATGCCGTAATAATGGTACTTGTCATAATGAAATACAGATACCGAATCGTCAGGAAACATCTGTGTGTACTTGTTTGGATGGTTTCAGTGGCCGTTATTGTGAATATAATATCAATGATTGTGAATCCAATCCATGTTTCCATGGTAAATGTATCGATATGATTAATTCGTTTAAATGTATCTGTAATCCTGGTTATACTGGTATGTTTTTCTTTGAAATTTTTTTTCTGGTGATTTGATTTCATTTTTTCTTCGTTAGGAATGTTGTGTCAAACACAAATCAATGAATGTTTATCAAATCCATGTTCAAATGGCGGAACGTGTGTAGATGAAATATCCAATTATCGTTGTGAATGTCCAAATGGTACATATGGTTTCAATTGTCAATTTCAAGAAAACGAATGCTGGTCTAATCCTTGTATGCATGGTGGTACATGTCATGATATGATGGGAAAATATCGTTGTCAATGTGCGGCTGGTTTTCGTGGTGAACAATGTGAAATTGTTATTGATCAATGTCAATCAAATCCATGTGCCAATGGCGGTACATGTTATACAACAGATTTGGCAATCACTGGTTCGCCATATAAATGCCGATGCCCAAAAGGATTCTATGGTCCACGTTGTTTATCCGATTTGGATGAATGTGATCCAAATCCATGTCTAAATGGTGGCATATGTAAAGATGATGTTAATAAATTTCATTGTCATTGCATGCCCGGCTATACTGGTTATCGTTGTGAAACATCATTGAATCCATGTTCACAAATTTATTGTCAAAATGGTGGTACCTGTATTAATCATCAATCACCATTTGGACAATATTCATGGACATCACCATTCCATTGTCAATGTCGTCAACAATATTCGGGCATCTATTGTGAAATTGATAATAGTAAAAATTCATTAATGGATCAAAAACGTCGTCAAGCATGGCAAAGATGTCCAAAAGCTGATTTTTGTTATGAACATTTCTCCGATAATATCTGTAATGAAGATTGTAATAATCGGGATTGTTTATTTGATGGTTTTGATTGTCGATCAGCCATAACGGATCAATCAGATCAATCATCTTCACCGGGTAATGGCCATAATCATCATCCTCATAATCATCAACAACAACAAAACAATAATCCACAAATGGTTAATAATCATTCAACATTTCATTTTGATCTTTGTAATCGTGATTATAATCCATATTGTGAAGACAATTATGCAAATGGACATTGTGATCATGGTTGTGACATTGCAGAATGTGCATGGGATGGTCTGGATTGTGAAACCGATCCATCATCCACCGATTATCTTCGCGGTGAATTGATTATCGATATTAATTTTCCATATAGCCAAATGAATGGCACGAATGTTGCACAGATTCCATTACCAGTAAAACGTATGATAAGAATGGTATCAATACTGATTGGTTCAGTGTTACGAATACGTGATATACGGGAAAACAATCCACATGGTACAACTAAATTAATAATGGGTATTGATAATCGAAAATGTCGTCAAACTGGACAATGTTTCGAGAATAGTCAAGATGTTGCATCATTTTTATCCGTTTCACAGAATAGACAAGCATCACCAGTGAAACAATTTCTACGGAAATCTGGTATCCAGATGCATTTCGATGCCAATGATGATGTTCGTGATCGTTCACCAATGGATAATGCTAAAGATGCACAGAATCTAACATTCATCGTCATATCATTGTTATTATTGCTTTGTATCGGAATATTACTTGGTGCATTAGTATCGAACAATCGAAAGAAAGTTGCTCGTGGTATTACCTGGTTTCCAGAAGGATTTTTCACAAATCAAATGCCCATCTCACGTAGTGCACGTCATCATTCAAATACAAATTCAACGGCTGCTGCTGCTTGTGGTGATTTCAGCAGATCACGTGGCCGTCGTGAATCAAATCTTCTTTCACATTCAAATTCAATTCGATCCGGTTGTCCGGATGGACAAGAAATGCGTCAATTTAAATCACCACGTGATGATTTGATGGTGGATGAGAAAAGTCAATGTGCGGCTGTCATCTATGAAGAACCATCGGAATGTCGTTCATGGTCCTCGGCACATTATGAGGCATTTCAACCACATGATTCCATGACACCACCATTACCAACACCATCGATTGATTCAATTGGTCCGAATGGAATGACACCATTAATGGTTGCATCAGCATTTCCAATGAACCTGATGAATGTTGATAATCCCGATATATTATGCGATAGTAATAATGCCGTACATGATCTACTGATGAATGGAGCCAATGTATCATTGACATGTGAAAAAACACATGAAACATGTTTACATCTAGCTGCACGTTATGCACGTGCTGATGCTGCTAAACGTCTAATTGAAGCTGGTGCCGATTGTAATGCACAAGATGCAACGGGACGCACACCATTACATTCTGCCATTGCTGCTGATGCACGTGGTGTTTTCGAGATTCTTTTACGTAATCGTACTGTTGATCTGAATGCCAGAACTAGTGACGGAACAACACCATTGATACTGGCTGCACGTATGGCAAATGAAGGAATGTTGGAACAATTAGTATTACATAATTGTGAATTAAATATTGCTGATGATTCTGGGAAAACTGCATTACATTGGGCATCATCAGTTAACAATGTGGAAGCTGTACGTGTTTTACTTCAACATGGTGCTGATCGTGATGCTCGAAATATACGTGAAGAAACACCATTATTTCTTGCAGCACGTGAAGGTGCATATCAATGTGCGAAATTATTGCTTGATTATCATGCTAATCGTGATATAACCGATAATATGGATCAATTACCAAGAGACGTGGCATTAGCACGAATGCATACAGATATCGTAGAATTATTAGATAAACATGAACCATCAACATTACCGCCACCAATTCAAGCTATTAATAATAACAATAATTCCGGTAATAGTAGCAACAATGGTAGTGGAGGTGGTGGTGGTGGTGGTGGTATAACATCACCAAATCCAAATCGTATGATGATGGTTACATCACCAATTCCGGTACAACAATGGGGTACATTGGGTAGAAATACGGCACCCAGACGTAATAAACAACAACAACAACAACAACACAATCATCATATGGCAAGTGGTCAACATCAACATCAATCAAATCTTAATCTTGCCACTAGTATTGGCAACAAAAACAACAACAATAGCAATGCATCATCATCGATATTAAGTCCAACTGGTACATTGAAAGGAACCAAATCATCATCATCTTCATCAAAAAATGATTCATCATCATCGACAACGAAGAATGGAAATCAATCAAATGTGCCACCGCCACCACCACCACCAAGAAATTGTGTTGCACTTTATAATGGATTACATCATTCATCGAATCCATTGCAGCAACCAATTTTATTGTTAGGCTCTGGTGCACCATCAACAACAACATCGGCAACATCGACAACATCACCAACGACACCACCATCAACCACAACAACAATGGGTACTAATTATGAAATTCTAACATCATCATCTACAGCTGCAAATGACAATTATTCACAACATCATCAACAACAGCAAACATATTCAAGCTCAATAAATTCTTCTTCTCATCAACATCAGGCATCATTTTCATTAAATGGATCTCAACAACAACCTCAAACCTCAACAAATCATCATGATGATGATTCAATAATGACCAACACTGGTTTTATTGGTCATCATCATCAACATCAAATAAGTAATATGAGTACAGCAACAGCAATGACAAATTTAACATCACCCACATCCACTGCATCATCATCATATTATGGTCATCATCATAATCATCAAACATCACAAATATCAAATCATCATCAAGATTATAATAGTATACAACAGCAGCAGCAGCAACAACAACAACAACAACAATTGATGGCTATACAATCATCAGCAATGATATCACCACCATTAATGATAAATGGTCAAACAACAACAACAATAAATAATGGATCAAGACCACCACCAGCATATAATGAATGTTTTCATTTGAAACAATTATCAACAGCATCGTCAATGTCTAATCATCATCATAATCAATATAATCAACAACAGCAGCAGAATATTCACCATAATCATCATTTGCAACCAATAGCTGTTGCACCACGACAACAATTATTACAGCAACAATTACAACAACAATGTGGTATTGTAAATGGTGGTTGTCAACAACAGCAGCCACCAACACCAACAGCAACAATAGCACCGGCATCATTATTATCATCACCAACATCATCGAATACCACAATGATGGCATATCATCATCAAAATAATAATCAGACTATATCAAGAATACAACAACAACAGCCATCTAATAATCAACAGGTAAACTCGACAACAACAACAACAACAACTTTAATCCAGAATCAACAACAATCTCAACAACCACGGCCATTAGATTCATACCCAACACCATCACCAGATTCATGGGCATCATTATCAACATCATCACCATTATCGGTAATGAATGATTGGACATCAGCTTCAAGTGGTGGTGGTACAACGACAACATCAACTGCAGCATCATCTGTATCTTCTTCATCATTATCTGGATCATCAGTGACAACTGTTATAAATGGAACGGAACAACCACCACCAAATAGTAGTAGTAATCTATTATTATTAAATACAAATGGACCACAACCAGGACAGACAGCATTATCAACTGTTACCGGCAATGGTAATATTGGACAAATGTTATCAATGGGTATGATTATGTTATCACCGACGAATGCAACATCATATCAATCAGCAATGAATATTCCAAATAATAATCAATCATCTACAGCCACAACAACAACAACTGGCCGTCAACAACAACAACAGCAGCCACAACAATCACAAACCGGTGCAAATATTTTGGCCACTACTGCTGCTGCCACCACCACCACCACCATGACTGCCACCGATAATTCATCAAATAATAACTCATCATCCATTTATCATCATCATACACATCATCAGCCAAGATTTCAACCATCATCAACACAGCAAGCTGTTTTTATCTGATATTTTCAAACAAACTAATTTCTAATCAATCAATATTTGCTCATTAGATTTTCATTTTTTTTTCAAATCACTCACTTTTATCCACATTTCTTTCTCCACTACAATAACTCTTTGTATACATTTTATTTTTTTTTATATATATAAATGAATGTCTCATTTTTTTGAAATAAAATTTTTTAAATTTTAAATTTCACATTGAAATTGTGTTGCAAATTAAATTATCAATGTGACCACCATCATCATCATCGTCAAAATGAGCATTAGTGATGGAAAAATTTCATTTCCATTCGATTGCATTGGTGCATAGATTTTTCTTGAACCCAATTCCTGTATGTGACGATAATAACCAAAAGTTTCATCATTATCCTCATCATCAGAATTTTCATCGTCCGAATCGTCGTCATCATCATTTTCATTTTCATTTTCATTTTCATTTTCATGTTCATGTTCATGTTCATTTTTCTTATTGTGAATTTTTTTTCGTATTTTTTTCAAACGATGTTGACGATGATGTAAATGATGGTTTAAATGTTTTTGTTCTTGTGAATTTGAATCTTCTGATTCATGATGATGATGATGATGATGATGGTGGTGGTGATTATGATGATGATTGTGATGATGATTATGTGTGGAATTGAATAATAATTCACGAAATTTATTCATCTGTTCCGATGTAATATCTAATGGTTTTGGATAAATGATCCATGTAACAATCTCTTGACAATCCGGTGTTGTGTATGAACCATAATAACGAAGAAAATCCGTTTGTTTATCATCCGGTAATAGATCACTTAATCGCAGCGGCTGTTCCAATGGATATTCACTGTCAACATTGATAATTTTATCCAAATGATGAATTATTGGATCCAAATATTTATTATGACGATCAGTTTCCTATTATACATGCATGTATTTCTATTTCAAAATCAAATTCCATTGATATTTACATTGAAAAATACAGCTATCACGGTAAATAAATCGCCAGCCAGAATACGATTCAAAATTGCTTCATTTTCATCATAACGAACATTTTGATGAACGATATGCATCTATTTTTGATTGATAAACATGAATTTGTTTTGAATTTGGAAAAAAATTGGAACGAACAAACAAAACAGACAAACCTCCATTGTAAATTTATTGCCATTGATTGCATGTTCTGAACCACTTGAATGTGAATTACGCCAATGAAAATGAAATTGTACAAAACGATAAATGTCATTATTCAATGCCGTACCGGTAACAAAACAGCCAAGTCTATCATCATGATCATCATTCATATCAGGTGGTTGATGTAATTTTACTTTATTTATTTTTTTGTTTAAATAGATTTTTAAAATCAATTTTTAAAAAAAATCCTACTACTTACCACCATGGCCATTATTAGCCATACGCATGGAAAAAAGATAATGATCATAATTGATGAATGATAATTGTAAATTTGGTACATAAACAATACGATCCATTTCAATATTTATCGGTGATTGATAATGTCCTTTACAATATTTATATTGTTTATCCCAATATTGTTCACCGGTTGGACCACGATAATCCCATAATTTTTTTGTTATATGATCAATATTTGATTGTAATTCACGATTATTATGGTTATTGTGGCCAAAATTTATTGATTCGATGATTATGATCATTTGTAATGACCACCATATTGATAATATGGTCAAACATTTCATTTCCATAGCCGTTATTATCATCAGCAACAACAATTTTTTTTTTGTTTTGTTGGAAAACCAGAAAAAATAAAAAGTTTTCGCATACCACAACGACACAATTAACGATGATGATTACAATTCTTCATTCCTTTAAGGTTCCATTTTTTTTTTTTTTTTTTTTTTTTTGGCCGCACCATTCCTAGTGACTAATGATGATTATAATGATGATTGGTGGTTGCCAAGTAAATTTTCATTTTTACCTTAGCAAAGGGAAAAAAATCGATTCCTTTTTTTTAAATTTTCAAATGAATTTCTTTTTCTCTGTACATTTTTTTTGTTTTCTTTCAACTACTTGGCAGTAGATTGTATTGTTTTGACATTTTTTTTTTGCTGATGATCAAATAGTTTGTCTTCCTACATAATTTATTGGTGGTATGAAAAGTGCTCTCTCTCTTTTTTCGGTTATTTTTTTTGGTGGAAATAAATTTCAAAAACCGAGTGTCATTAATTTTTTAGGTAAATTAATTACCGGAGAGATTTTCAGGTTTTTTTTCTCGTTTTCTTTGTTTAGAATTTCTTTTTTTTTTTGACAATTAAAAAAAACGAATCGTTATTTTTACTGTGATTTGAAAAAAAACTAAAATTAATCGATTTTTGTGTGTGTGTTTGTTCATAAAGGACGTAACGTGATTGCTTTTTGTTACAATTGGAAAAAATGAGTCAATGATGATGACACGCCAACCAAGCGACGAAAAACTACAACGTTTTTTTCGCATGTGTTGTGTGTGTCTGTGTGTGTGGCATGTTCATTTTTTACTCTATTTTCACATCTAATCGAAAAAAATTTTCATTTGTAAAAAAATCCACGTTGATTATCCTGATCAATCAGATTGCGAAATAATTCGTGAGACATTTTCTTTTAAATTTTTGGAACTGAAAACAAAAATCACTCATCATCAACATGGCACCACCAAGAAGTAAAAGTATGTAATCTGTTGGTTTTTTTTCTACAAGAAACTTATCAATTCCATTTTTTTTTCTACAGCTAGCCATAAAGGTAAACGACGTCATTTTTCATCACCTGAAGAAATACAACAACAAATGAGCCGATTAAATATGAAAGATAATGATGATGATGATGATGATATTAAAGAAGAAGATGAAGACACTGATGGATCATCACATTCCAGTGATGATGATTCTTCTGATGAACAAAAAATTAGCAAACCAAAAGGCGTTTCTGGTCTGATTGAAATTGAAAATCCAAATCGTAATCCAAGTCGTGCTCCTACGACAGGTATGTGCGTGGTATTTTTTTTTCTTTTAAATCTAATCAATTTTTTTTATTGCGAAAATAGATCAAGTACAATTAACACGTCGTGAACGTGAAGAGATTGAAAAACAGCAAGCAAAAGAAAAATATCAAAAATTACATGCTGAAGGTAAAACTGATCAAGCAAAAGCAGATCTGGCACGTTTAGAATTGATACGTAAACAACGTGAAGAAGCAAATCAAAAACGTGAAATGGAACGAATGATAAAACAAAAACAATCAGGTAAAGCAACAAATAATTCTTCTACTTCTACTGCTGCTGCTACATCATTATTACCGACATCTGGACAACAGCGATTAACCTCGGCACAAAAACAATCGCAAGTTCGTGCAAAAAAATCTCAACAGCAACAGACTAAATGATGATAAGACCAAAAATTCATTTTTGTTTAGGGCTTTTTTTTGTGTAAAACAAAACAAAATTTTTCAGCATGAAAAAAATTTTATTCAAAAAATCTCTTTTTTTGTAACAAAAAAACAAATCACACAGTGTGTGTGAAGAGGAAGATATAGAAAAATTTACATTTAACAAATAAAACAGAAAAACAAAGTATACATATTTGAAATTAAAAATTTTTTTTCACCCGTTCGTTTGTTCGTTTTTGCTTTTTTAATCTCTGTCTGCATGTTTTTTCAATCACATGATTTGACATATTTTGCTATTTCGATCATTTTGCTGATGTGAAATTGATTCTCTTGAATTGGTCACCAAATCGATCGTTTGATTCATTTCTGATGATTCATGTCTGACTAATGGTGATATTTGTCGCTGCTGTTTTGAATCATTTTCACCATTGTTATCATCGACATCGCCACCATTCATAATGATTAGATTTGATTCTAATGAATGTGATTTATAAAGATGATGTCCACTACCATCACCACCATGATCACCATTGCCATTTTCAGATTTTTTAACATTTTTCATCACTCGTATTCGGTTCGTATTTTCATTTTGATTATTTGGATTCACTATTAATGTCATCATTGTGCCATTATTGCGTATTTCTTGCATACTTGTACTTTGCATCAGGTTATTACGTAAGCGCATACCTTCCATGTAGATTTTGCGTTCATAAGCACCGGCATTTAATTGACCGACACGATCTGACCATTGTCGTTGATTATTAGCCATTATTATTGATGATGATGATGATGACGATGAATTTGCTGATGATTCATTTATGCCGCCACCTATGCCGCTATCCATTATATCTAGATTATCCATATGATGATTATTAGTCAATTTAGATTTAGATTTTTTAAACACGTGACGATCAACTAGACGGCGAAAATGATTTGTTTTTGTTATTGACTGTTGTTGTTGATCCGATAGCAAATCAGATGATGATTGTTCCGATTGCTGTTGCTGATCGGTTGTTTTTGCATTATTATTATTATTGTGTTTTTCAGCCAATCGTTTCAAATACATTTCATCCACTAATTGACTCAAACGTTTTCGTTGGCCACAACCAGAATCTAATCGTACTTCAAACAGACCATAAACTGGTTTATGATCAGAACTGATTATATTTGATATTGAATTATAATAGATACATTTAATTAAATTGTTATCATTCGATTCTATTTGTTGATGATTTGTTGATTTTGTTTGATATAAAATACGATCCGTATATGATGGTACACGTCCAGATTCATAATTATAATTATTTACAATTTTATCACCATTAATATTATCATTTGTTTTGGTTGATGATGAAGAAGAATTTGCTGATTTTTTTGTTGAATTGTCATCAACATCACCGTTATTCAATTTATATGATAATTTCATTGAAATTGATGATGACGACGACGACGATGATGACGTTGATGTTGATGTTGACGTTATTGATGTTGTGGTTTTGGTTGATGGATTTAATGATGATGATTGTATTATGGTTGTATTGATATGATGATCAATTGGATCATTGGTAGCTAAACCACCGGTGATTGGATGATTAATTTTACATTTATACGTGGGTAAAAATGGTGGTGGCCATCGTGCTTCTTCGAAACCATTGAATATAATACCTCTATTCATTAGATTACTAAGCTGATCTGATCGCATCATTTTACGTAGATAGGTATCTTTGGTTTCTGGATTGTTTGTATTCGTAATGCGACGTATAGCATCCAGAACAATATCTACCGGTAATTCTAGACGAAAATTCAGATCACCAAACCAGAATATAAATTCTGAATTATGATCACGAATATTATTATTGGCGCTGTTGTTGTTCGTTGTTGTTAAATTCATTTCGAATTTGATTTTGATGGATATTTTAGATTTAAAATTTGTTGCACTTTATCCAATTGATTCATACGTGATCGAAGATTAATTTCATGTGCCGTAAGATGTGTATTAATAAATAGAAATGATGTTCCGAACAACGTGAATGATAATGTGATTGCACCTTTGTACGGATACGATTTGCGGCCATTGGACGCATATGTACTGGTACCATATCCACTGTGGTACATGACCATAATAATTCACGACGAATCCATATTGAACAATGTAATACACCCACTGAAGACCAACGCAATAGACAATAATTTGGTCCCAACGATGATTGTATACCGACTTTTAAACTGTTGACAATCATCTCAGAATTTGGTGTTTCTTGTAAACCGATCACAAACATTTCCGGTAAATTTAATTGTCCATATTGTAGTGGTTGAAATGGTTTCAGATGTAATAATTCCTGCAATGATTGATTATAATCATTCGGTGGTTTGGAGCCCATATTCCATGTAATGATCGATAAACGTATTTTATGATCAGGAAAAAAACGTTCCAATTCATTTTGGCTGAAAAATGATTCCTATTCAAGGAAGAGAAAACAATGTCTGAAATTTGAACTATAGTGAAACTACAATGAAAAAAAAACATACACAAAATATATTGGAATCATGATAAATGAAACGATTCCTTTGTATCTGGTCATATGTAACCGGTGGCAATACTTTTTGTTGTTGTTTATTCATTGATAATATCGACGATGTTATTGACAATGAAGATGAATCTGATGATGAAGATGGTGATGATGATGATGATGATGATGTTGAAGATTTTTTTGCTGTTTTTGGCGATAAACATTTCGTTTTTGTTGTTGTTGTTGTTATATTTGCCAATGACTCTGGTTGTAAAAGTTGATCATCATCATCATCATTATTATGACCATTAATCAATCGACCACTTATATCAATCGGCTGATTATCATTATTAATACAATTGTTTGAACATTGTTTTTGCTGCTGTTGTTGTTGATCATTATTATGATTTGAAAATATTGTTTGATTACTACTATTGCTGCTGCTGCTTATGTCATCCAAAGATGATGACGATGATGATGATGATGAATTTGTTGCTGTTTTTTCCATTTTGCTATTCATTTGCTAATACAGAACAATAAAAATATTTATATTCATAATTGATCATCATCATCATCATCATCAACAAATTAAAATCAATCATTCACAATACAAATGGCGTTGGTGTTGGTGGTCAATAGAACATTGTGGACAAAAAAAGACAGAAAACGACCTGGGGATTGATCAAAAATAGGAGTATATTTCCTTTTTGGAACAACAACAACAACAACAATAACAATAACAATAACAGATCCTTTATCCCTGAATGAGAAATAAATTATCATTTTTTTTTTTTCCTGGTGTTTTATAAATGCATAGCATTCAAAATAAATCCATTTATCTATTTACATATATTACATTTATATAGAATAATAAATGTAGTCGTCGTCGTCGTGGTGGTGGTGGTGGTTTTTTTCTTTGCCCAAAATGAAATAGAGAGAGAGAGAGAGAGAAACATTAACAACATTGATTCTTCTTCTTATTTGTTTTCATTTTGATTCCAATCATTTTTATATGAATTTATTTTCTCTTTGTGGTTTCTAGGTTACCTTGTTGTTGTTGTTGTTTTCTTTTCTATTCTGTTTCTTTTTTTTTTACATGGCATACACGCGCTTTGTCAATGACAAACGTTCCAGTATCAAAAAAAAAGGAACTAAGGTTTTTTTTTCTTGAATTTCGAGATACAAAAACTAACCAAATAAACGAACGACCACAGCACACACACACAGGTAGATTTATTTATTATTTGTTGATTTAGATAGATTTTTCATCATGATGATTTAGTTTATTGTACACATTTACAAAATACCAAAAAAAAAACAAAACAAATTACAAAATTTGAATGAAAAATGAAGAAAAGAAAATGAGAAAAAAGTTAACCATCATTAACCAGAAAGAATATTGAACGATAATTCATGTTTTTTTTTGTGTTACTGTTTGACAAGAATCATTTTTTTTTAGTTTTTGTATTTAGACTGCGAAATGAAAGAAATTTTTCTCTCATTTTTTTTTCGTTTGGTTCTGCGAATTTTCGTTTCTAGTCTTGGCCAATAATCGATCAATCAATTTATTCGATTTTGAATGATTAAATTATGAAATTCACTCGCATACACACACACACCCGAAATGTAAACAGAGCAAAAAAAAAATAAAACCGAAAAATGGAAAAATAAAAATGATAATCGTGGAAAAAATTACATTTTCATATATCTGGACAAATTCAGTTTAAAACAAAATTTTTAAAGAAAATTTAAATTGAAACAAAAAGTTGATAGAAACCTATCTAACTATCAGTAAGAAATTTTTAATTTTAAATGCCTAAACAATAGTAATTTTCTTGCTGTTCGTAGTGGATAAAAACCGAAAATGTTTTTCAAAGTGTGGGATTAAGTCATCATCAACGATGTTAATGATGATGATGATGATGACATACCACACACACACACACACAATTCTTTTGGGTGGATCAAACAATTTTCGTTCATTCTGGACAATGGTAAAGTGAGAGAGAGAAACATTAATTGATTGTCCATTTTTTTATTTGTCTATTTGTTTTCTTTTACTCGTTCAATCGACAATAATTAATTTTTTCAAAATGTTGTTGTTGTTGTTGTTGTTGTTTTCGTTTTTTTGAAAACTTTAACCTTCTTATTTTGCAACGATAAATTGGGCAGAACGTTTATTTTATTCTATTTATCCGAAAAACAAAAACAACAAAAAAATGATCCATCCATCCATCCATCTCTTGTTTCGATTCGAGCTTTGAATTCATGATCATTTCGAGATCGAGATCATTTTGAATTCAGTTGTTTATCCGATTCGATACAGGAATAAAAATTGATGATGATTCAGTATAAAATGAAAAATTTATTGATAATTCTGATAATTTTATTGAAAATTTTACAAATCCTATCGATTAATAATAATGCTATTATTTCCACCAATAACAATAGCGATGGCAATGGCGATGATGACGATGGCCATGGAATTGATCAATTTAAAGATGCATTTCATCTTCATAAAAAACATCAAGAATTCAATAATTGTCCAAATCAATCATCACAATTTTCACGTGAATGGATTAGAATTCGTAATCAAAATCATATTGATCAATCATCCACTGATTTCGTGTTGAATAATAATCGTCCTTATTATTATAATCAGACGAATCCATTTCCCGTTAGAATTGTCGGCATATTTGTTACTGATTCTGAATTGCCGTATACACTGGAATTGGCTAAACCATCGATTAATATAGCGATTGAAAAAGCAAAACGTTTATATCCATCAATACGATGGGAAAATGCCGTATTTCGTAATGGTTCCAATCGTTGTACTTCGAATTTTGCCGGTGTTTTTGCTGCTGAAGAATTCTATCTACGACGTGTTACGGTTTTTATTGGACCATCATGGTATGTTTTTTTCCCTTAAAGTGAAAATCAATCAATCAATGAATTTTTTGTTCAAATTCATCAGTGGATTAGCATTAGATCCAGTGGCAAGAATGGCATCACATTGGCGTATACCTGTCATTAGTTCTGGTGGTCCACAATCTCAATTTTCAAATAAAGAAATATTTAGCACTTTAACACGATTGTCATTTTCATTGACAAATCTTGGTTCATTCGTCATTCAGATATTTCAACAATTTCATTGGAAACATATGGCAATCATTTTGCAGGATAAAACATCATCATCATTAATACCATTGATTAAAGAGGCAATAATCGACATGTTTGATACGAAAACCGATATTGAAGTTGAATCACATGAAATTAGTCGTTCGTTAGCGAAAACCAATCTTAAAAATCTACTCATTGATTGTGCAAAAGAATCACGAGGTAAACAACAATGATATTTTTATACACCACTTTTTAACGATTTTTCCATCATTTTTTTTTTTACAGTAATATTAATATTGACAACCGGTGAAACATTGCGGCAAATTTTATTAGCTGCACATGATCTAAATATGGGCAATGGTGGCTATGTTTTCTTGACCGTAGAACTGTTTAAACATGCAAATTCATTTGGCAATTTTGATTGGTTCATCAATGGTGATTCACGTAATGAGGTATGTATGATGATTGTGTGTGTGTGTGTTGTTTGCCTTATTTTTATGAATTTTATTTTCAAACAAAGGATGTAAAACACATGTATGAATCATTATTCATACTGACCGTACATGTACCGATGATTGAGATATATCAAAAATTTGCCAATGATGTGATAAAGAAATCACGTAATGAATTCAATACATCATTCACAATGAAAGATGTTAATGTTATATTGGCTGGATTTCATGATTCAGTTGTTATGTATGGTGAAGCGGTTACGGAAACTATACAGGATGGTTTTGATCCACATGATGGTATGGAAGTTACAAAACGTTTATGGAATCGTACATTTTCAAATTATTTAAGTGGTGATATCTATATCAATGCTAATGGCGATAAAGAGACTGATTATACATTAGAGGATTTTGATCCACGTTCATTACGTATGAAACCGGTATTTATTTATTCCTGGTAGAGATGATAAAATTATCTGGTCCAATTCGACGGCAATTCATTGGCCAAATAATCAGATACAATTGTCGGATCCAAATATTTGTGATGATCATCTACCCGATTTACATTGTAATCAATCTAGTGAGTGTGAAATCATCATTTTTGAATGTTGTTGATTTACTTTTTTTCTTTGCAAAAAAAAGATTCACAATTTCTAGGCAATGCATGGCCAATATTGGATATATTAGCCGTTATCGGTATCGTTGTCATATTCATTTTGATGGCCATATTTTTCATTTACAGGTAAAGATCTAAAACTTGAAAAGTTTTTTTTAAAAATTAATTTTTCTGTTTATTTTTAACGTGAAGAAAAATGCGTCTAGAATCTGAATTGACAAGTTTATGGTGGAAAATACGTTGGAATGAAATCATTTTCATACATAATCAAAGCGATCGATCATTAGATACATCGAAACCATTGTTTTCGACATTTGTTTCATCACCTTCATCATCATCATCTGAACAACAACAAACGGAAATGACAAAAAATCCAACAACAACAACAACGACAACAACAACAACAACAACGACTACGACAACGACGACAACTTCGAAGCCACATATCCGCATTAATGATTATTTTACTATACCAAATTATTTTCAACAGCTAAGTTCATGTTCATCATCATCATCTGGTCGTCAACGAACAGTTTCAAATTCGACAAATAATAATAACAATAATCTTGATGTGAATCGTTCATCAACAAAAACACCGGTAACATTATCGGTAAATATCAAAAACAACAGCGGCAGCAGCAACAGAACTACTACTACTAATAATAATAATAACCGGCAAGCACAATTGAATAAACATACAGCAACAGCAATTGGATACAATGATTCATTCACCAAAACGGCACCATTACCAAATAAAGGAATCTATAAAGGATCGAAAGTATTTATTAAACATATGAATATCAAACACGTATCGATTAATCGTGATATATTGATTGAATTGAAACAATTGAAAGATTTAGCACATGAAAATCTCATACGTTTTGTTGGTATCTGTGCTGAAGATCAACATATTTCAATATTGACCGAGTATTGTGAAAAAGGAAATCTTCGGGCAAGTTGTTTTTGTGGAAATTTTAATTTTTAACTCTTTTTTTCATTCTTTCTTCTACTACTTACCAGGATCTATTGGATAATGAAGCCATACGTATTGATTGGCCATTTCGTTATTCATTGATCAATGATATTATTGAAGGTTTATTATTCATACACGAATCATCATTGGGTTATCATGGAACGTTGAAATCACCGAATTGTGTTATCGATTCACGTTTGGCTGTTAAACTGACCGATATTGGTTTGCGTACATTACGTGATCTATCCAAACAAAATTCTGGTCTACCAAATTATAGTGAGTAATCCATTTATTTATTATTTCCGAAAGAAAAGAAAAATGAAAATATTCCACAATTATTGATGATTTATTAACATTCGTTTATTTATTCGATCGATCGATCGATCGATAGAATCGTTATTATGGACAGCCCCTGAACATTTACGTCAACGACGTCCAGATCTACATGGTTCACCAAAAGGTGATATTTATAGTTTTAGCATTGTATTACAAGAAATTATTACACGTAGTGGTCCATTTGAAACGGTTAAAGTAATCGGTGGTGATGGAAAATATTCCGTTGTGTCGTTGGATCCACAATTCATCATACAACAATTGAAATTGGGTGGTGCCACACCATATCGGCCAAATGTTGATCAACGTGAATGTGCACCAGAATTGATTGAATTGCTGCAACAATGTTGGGATGAAAATCCACAGAATAGGCCAACAATTTCGACAATACGTACACAGATTAGGAAATTGTCCAAGTAAGTCCAATTAATTTGACAATTTTTTTTCACTTTCTTTTTCTTTTGATTTCAGAGATTACATTGGTGGAAGTGGAAATAGTTTTCTTGAAAATTTGCTATTACGTTTGGAACAATATGCAAATGATTTGGAAATATTAGTTGAACAGAAAACATCAGCATTTTTCGAAGAGAAACGTAAATGTGAAGAATTATTGTATGAATTATTGCCAAAAACTGTTGCCGATCAATTGAAACGAGAGAATCAAGTGAAACCAGAATCATTTCAATGTGTAACCATATTCTTTTCGGATATCGTCCAATTCACACAGATTGCTGCGGCTAGTACACCGATAGAAATTGTTGATTTTTTGAATGATTTATATACATTATTTGATTCAATCATTGCAAGTTATGACGTTTATAAAGTGGAAACCGTTGGTGATGCTTATATGGTTGTTAGTGGCCTACCGATTCGTAATGGTAATGAACATGCTCGGCAAATTGCACGTATGTCTTTGGAACTGTTGGATCAGATCAAGAAATTTCGTATTAAACATTTACCGAATCAAGATGTACGATTACGTATTGGTATACATTCTGGACCATGTGCAGCAGGTGTTATCGGTCTGAAAATGCCAAGATATTGCTTGTTTGGTGATACGGTCAACACTGCATCGCGTATGGAATCACACGGTGAACGTGAGTCTGTCTGTGTGTTTTATTGTTGATTTTTTTTCGAATTTTTTTTCTCTCTCTTTATTTCAGCAAACAAAATACATACAAGTGGATCTAGTAAACAGATATTGGATCGTTTTGGTTCATTCAATCTAACATTACGTGGTGATATCTATTTGAAAGGCAAAGGAATCGTACAAACATATTGGCTTGATAATGAAAATAATCGTTTATTTGTGGATCGTTTTAAATTTTTAAATAAAATTGAAACATTATCTACATCTAATAGATCAACATTTACTACTACAACAGCATTTCAACAACAACAACAACAATCATCAGCTGGAATATCATCAACAACAGCAACAACAAATCAACAAACAACAATATTAATGAAACAACGTAAATGTGAATCATTAGATTTTATTGATAAACAAGAATTTTCAATTATCGATAACATGATGATTCAATCTGGTAGTAATATCACAGGTGGTGCACTTCAACAGCAACAAATGGAACATTCACAACAACAACAACAAACAGAACAATTAAAATCATCATCATTGAATAGTATACCAATTGTTGGTGTTAGTGGAAGTGATGGTTTGAATACAAGATATCCAGCAAAAACTATTGATTATATTCAATCATTAAATCAGCAGAAAAAAACAATTGAATGAATGATTTGGTGGGTCGGTGGTTGATTGATTGATTGGTTGGTTTCAAAATTGATTAATTTATTTATTTTTCCAAGAAAAAAAAACACAAAAACAAGCCCAACAACATATATTCCATTATGCAAACTTTATTATTTTCCATAGAAAATACACATACACGAATGCAGAATAATATACGAATTCACATGAATAAAATCCCTGAACTAATGAAAATTAACGAAAAAAGAATGTAAATAATTTTTGTTTGGATCACAAATTTTGCTATTTTTTTGGGGAGGTGGATGAGAAACATGATTGGAATAATTCATTTGCTAAAAAATTGATTTTTTTTCAAAAACCCAATGATTTTCGTACAATTTCTTCGGCTTTATCCAAAAATGTTTGACGATCTTGTCGCCACATTTTTGCCGCATCAACATTGGCACCGGATTCATCATTCGGTTCGGCTAACATTGATACAACGGAAAGTAAAACTTTTTCCACCGATTGTACTGGTGACCAACGTTCCGAAATTGATTCATAACCAAGAGGATCTTCACCTGGAGCATGCAATATTGATATACAAACACGGCCATCTGGATAAACATTTGGATGAAACATTTCACATGTAAATTGCATTTTAGGCGGTGATAATGGATAATCTGTTGGAAATGTTATACGTGCCGAGAAAACACCATCTTCATAACATGTTGAATCGGGTCCTAAATTTTTTTTTAATAATAAAAAAACCGTTTTTATTAATTGTTCAATTCCAATAAAAAAAATCGAGACAATTATTACCAGTAACATAGGCTTCCCATTCGAAAAAATTATCTTCATTCACGGGACCGGCTAATATTCCTTCAGGTGGATTCAATGTAAGCTGTTTATATTCGGTCATCAAACGACGTACAGCCGATAATGCCATTATTTTTTATTTAATTGATAAACAAGAAAAGAACAAACAAAACAAAATATCAAAATAACATAAAAAAAAGGTTTAAAAACTTGAATAAAATCAAATCATCATCGTCCATTCAAGAGTAAAACAAAAAAAAATTGAGCTCTGAAAATAAAAATAAAAACAAAAAACAAAAAAACAAATTCAACTTCAACAATCTCAATCGGTTAAAATAGTGGCCGATGAATGTTCCTTTTTTTCAATTTTCTATTTATTTATATCAGGATTTAGAAAAATAGAAATACAGAAAACGAAAATGAAAATGAACAAACGAGAAATGAAAAAGGTGGAAATTTTGAAAATATTTTTTTCTTTGTTGAGATCACAAAAAAAGAAGAAAGAAAGAAACCAAAAATCAAATTCAATCTTCAAATAGATGACTATATTCTTGATATTTATAGCTGTAATTGCCATTGGAATGTTCCAAATTATAATTATTGCTGCTGTTGATGTTGTCGTTGTCGTAGGGAATAATAATTTTGTTGATTCTGATAATAAAAATCGGTATTAGCAGCTGTAAAATCGGCTGTATTCATGCCATATTGTTGATGATTATGATAATAATAATCTTGTTGTTGTTGTTGATGATAATTTTCATCAAAATTTATTGGCCAATCTGTCGATTGATGTGAATCAATAAAATTTTCATCAAATTGATAATAGTGTTGTTGTCCGGACTGTTCTGTTGCCATATTATAGTCATTATTGATGACATTGTTTGATTCAAACAATGATGATGATGAATCAGAAGTTTCCGTTGATAATGAATTATTAATTTGAAATATTTCAGACAACTGTTCCGATATGGTTTGTGATGGCTGTTGTGATTCAGGCTTTGAAAATGTATCGTTATAATCCATGGTGAAAGATATTTCTTCTTCACTAGCTTTGATTGTTTGTATTATTTCATTAGGTTCCGTTTCAACATTATTAATTACATTGCCAATTATACCATTATCATCATCATCATCATTATTATTGTCTTTATCAACTCTGGCGATTGTAGTGGTCAATTTTTCCTCACTGTTGTTTGTAATGTGGATTGTCTGATCGGTAGTGGTGGTGGTGGTGGTGGTAGTGGTTTCCGATTCAGCAAGATTATTACATCCGGATTGTTGTTCGTCATTAATATTTTCATCAGAATCGATATGTATAACCGGAATATTATTATCGGAACATTTATTTTTCACGTCATCATTGCGAGGTAATGGGAATGGTGTTTCAATCACTGTGGTATGTGTAGCATGAAAACGTCCATCATCAACAAATGTAATTGTTCCATGACCGAATGGCAAATCTTTTCGAATGGGTAAATCTACGGATTCTGATGTTTGTTTCGATGTTTCCTGATGATAGAATTGAAAGTAAATCAAATGGAATAAATTTTTAAAATTTTCAATTCACATAAACATACCAATACTGATTGTAGTTGCTGCGGTGGCGCTAGTGCTGGTGCTGGTGTTGGTTCTTGTTCTTGTTCTTCACGCCGATTTCGACGTAACAAAAACATCATCATCTTGCTTAATGGGTAAAATTTTTCGTTTGAAAATTTCAATGCTTTACGAGCGTGACCTAATTTCGAATATTGTTGATCAACAAGAAAACGTTTTGTCCACTCAGGAAATGGTGGAAGAATTATATTTGGTTTATTATTACAAAGACAATCTTTCAATGTTGATGATGCCGATTTCGATTGTGATTGCTTCAATTTCGATGATTTATGATTTGAATTATTATTTATTGATAATGAATATGGATGATATTGATGACGATTATCACCATGACTATTATTATTATTCGAAGTTGATGCCGTTGTTAATTGAACCAAAATCGGTGATACTATTGGTAGCTGCTGCTGCTGTTGCTGCTGTTGTTGTTGTGGTGTTGATGATTTAGATGAATTTTGTTCAGAATTATTATCCATCATCATCAGTGATTGTTTTTATTGGCAAATTCTGATAAATAAACAAAAACTGATTTTTGAAAAAAAAACAAAATTCAATTTCTACTTACAAATACAATGCTCAGTCAATGGCAAAAAACAAGCATGCAGATAAACTCACTGACTCATCAATTGCAACGTCATCAATCGATCAATAAATCAAAGCTGTTATTAGAGCAAAAATCAATGATTTTATCAAAGTTTAAAATTTAAATCATCAAAAATTTTGTCAAAATTCACAACAACAACAATTCTGAATTTTGAAAATTTCTTCATACTAATTTATCAATTGGATCAATTGTTGACAATTTCGATGGACGCGATTTCGGTGGTTTTATTACCAATTTTTTTTCCATATCATTCATAAAATGCGGTAGATTATTAGTTGATGAATATGGACAAGGTTAGGTTAGGCAATGATGCTATTATATATGGATGTTGATGATCCTTGTTCTTCTGCTGCTGCCGCCTTCGTGATGATGATGATGATGATGATGATGATCGATAAATTCTTTTCAGAATTATCGCCCATCATTATCGTAATAATATTCATTTTCTGCAAACATGGACTACAAAACAAAAAACTGAAGAATTTTCAAAATTTAATTTCTCACACATTAAATACTCTGTCATGATGGAAAAATTTTTTTTTTCGGTTGACTCATCAACCAATCAATCAATCAATCAATTAATCATGGCTGATAACACCGAATTTTTTTTTCGTCAAAGTTTAAAATTTGAATAAACCGTTTTTCAAAATTCGCGCAAATTTTTTTTTGTTCTCAATCAGAAAACAACGGCCATGGTAAAAGGCAAAACAAGACATATGAAAACGAAGAGAAAACAAGTTTCTCTAAATCACCATCTGGTGTGTGTGTGTTTGTGTTCAACGAAAAAACTTGTTTTTTTGTTGTTTTCCATTGACTTTCCCACAAAATATTCACATACACACACACACAAACTGAAAATTTCCATAAGAAAAAAAAACAATGTCTTCACCTTACACTTGATGATGAAGATGAATGAGAATGTAAGCAAAGAAAAAGATGACGCAGCTTTGCGTTTCTATGATGATGACGATGATTATTAGATGACCATTTTTGTCCATTAATGTTGTTGTTGTTGTGTGATTGAGTAAACATCTGCTTTTGGCTTGTGTGTGTGACTCGTTTTTGCATCAAATCAATTTTGTTGTGTTTTTCATTGATTTATATATATCATTCTTATTTCCGATTTAATTTTGATCCAATTACTCATCATTCAATGATGGCGACACCAATTAATCATGGTTTGTATTTGTATTTTTTTCTGGTTTCATTTTGATTTGTTTTTTTTCTACTTCAATTTAAAATAGCCATAATGGTATTCATCACCATGGCACTGATTACAGTATGTGAATCGGATTTAATGCGTAAATCAATAGTTTTCGATCCAAAAACACCAAAAGTATTTTATTGTCCACAAGAAAAACCTGTTGATATGACGAAAATGATTGTGAAAGCAATACCATTGGAACGTCTTTGTGAATATGAAGGACAAATGAATATACCGAAAAATGCCCGTTCCGATTGTTATAATGATGTTGATGAATCAGAATATGCATGTGCCGAAAAACAACGTATCGAATTACGTATTAATCCACCAGTAGATATGGCTGAAACGACAACAATAATACCAACACCTGATGCACCGGATCATATCAAAGAAAATACAAAAGAACAATTGATGAAAAAAAAGAAAAGTACAACCAAATTTAATGGGAAAAAATTATAAACAAAAATACAAAATACAAAACACAAAACAAATCATCATCAACATGAATAAACAAACAAAACTACTATATACTAAATGATGGCAGCTACTTGTTACATCGAATGAAATGATAAAAATCTATTTTAACTGTAACTGAAATATTTTTCTTTTTAAAAAAAAAAAATTAATAAAATAAATTTCTTTCTCGTCAAATGTTTTCGGTTACAAAAAATGAAAATGGTAATTCATTATTCGTTGTTGTGGATGAACAACAAGTTGTTGTTGTTGTTGTTGTTGGTTTTGTGCGTGTTTTAGTTGTCGTTGTAGTCGTCAAAGTTGTAGTGGTTGTTGTTGCCACAATAAAATCATTGAAAATAATTAAATCTGGATCATCAATCGATGATGATAATGATGAATAATTATTATCATGATGATGTATTGATGGTTCCGAACGGGAACGATCAAATTTTGGCAATAATTGCATTATATTTTCAATACGTGATAATATCTGTCGAAATAATGGCCGTTTACAATGATCAAATTGTATACAATCATTCAATAATCGTGAGAAACGTTTTGGAATGTTATCACGTATTAATGATAGATCTGGTCTCAAATAACCACGTCCAACCATAAATAATATTTGATCCTTATTGTTTATATGTCGATATGGTAATGTACCCGATGTTAATTCATACAGAACAATACCATAAGAATAAACATCACTTTGAAATGAATATGGATTCGGTTCGATCATTCGAATGATTTCCGGTGCCATCCATAATACTGAACCGGTTGGTTGTTGAAATTTTTGCGAACCTTTCCATTGTGATTTCACAGTAGCCAGGCCAAAATCACCAATTTTTACGGTAAAATCATTATGTAGAAAAATGTCTGCAAAAGAATAAAATAATCAATCAATCAATCAGAATAGATCATTTTATATACTCAACTATTCGATTTAAGATCACGATGAATAATATGTTTGGCGTGTAAATAATCCATTCCTTGTGCTGTTTGCCTGGCAATTTCAATCAATTGAATAATGTCAAAATTTGTTTCAATCACATGCAAATGTTTATACAACGAAGAACCTTCACACCACTGTGTAACTATAGTCAGATGTGGTTTTGATACACAACCCATAAACAGAATGATATTCACATGACGTGTTTTACGCAATACGGTTAATTCATTTTTAAATTCCTGAAACAAAGGAAAAATTTTTTTGGTAAATCAACAAAAGAAGAAAACAAAATCGGAATAATTTTACCTGCAATTGTGTCTGCGTAGGTTCGGCAACTTTCAATTTTTTCAATGCAACTGGTCCATGCCAATGTCCACGATACACTGTACCATATGAACCGGAACCAATACGTGGTCCAACCAGAATTTCATCCTGTGGTATTTCCCAATCTTCAATCGATTCACGATATAAACCATGATTATTATGTTGATTAATTTTAATCTTTTTCACCGATTCATCAGCTGATCTTGCACGTGGTCTACCATTATTATTAATTGTAGAACCGGTAGTAGTGGTGGTGGTGGCGGTGGTGGTGGTGGTAATTATCTTTGTTGAATCATTCGTTTGAATAGGATTTGTTGGCGATGTTGTTGCTGAATGTATTTTGGCTGTTTGTTGCGGTGGTGGATGTTTTGAACCATCATTATCAGCGATTATAATGGCCGTAGAATTAAAACAAACATTTGGTGCTGATGTTGAACGTTCACGTGAATGTTGTTGTTGCGATTGCTGCTGTTGTTGTTGTTGTTGCGTTTGTAAATCTGGTCGTAAAAAATTTGGCGATAATTGATTAACAGCCTCTGATTGATTGATTAATTGATCATTGTCATCATCATCATCGTTAACAGTTTTTATTATTTCAATTTTATTCAGTTGTCGTTGTTGTTGTTTAATTGAAGAAGTTTGATTTGGATGAAACGTATTTTTACATTTTTGTTGATGAAGATGATGATGATTATTAACCGATGATGAATGATAAAAACTACCATCACGTGTTACCATATTACCACCAGTTGGATATTGATGATTAGCATTCATTGCCAATAAATGACGATAATAATTATCAATGCGTAATGGTTGACATAAACTTGGTACTTGTAATGCACAACGTGTATGAAAACGAATACCGCAAGTTTGACAACGAAAACCATGAAATAGAATACGATTACAGCATTCACAAAATTCCAATGTAAAAAATGTTTTTCTTATATAATTATGTGATATACGTGTTTGGATTGTTTGAAATGGTTCATTGGTTTTAACACGTATTTCAGCACCAGGATACAATAATGATACATCCGTATTCCAATCGATTGGTTCACTACAGAAAAAAAATTGATGTGTCGATTGATTCAATAATTATCGATAAATATGAAAAACTACCACTTACTTTGAATCACAAAGATATACCGTACAAATATCGGATGTTAATTTACGACGATACATTGATTTTTCCAATACATCACGTATAGTTTGTCCCGGTGTAATCGATACAATTGTTCGTTGATCATCTGGTAAATGGGCACGTATTATTTTACCTTGAAATCCATAATCCATAATTATCGATGATGATGATGAACTAACAATTGAATCTTTACGTTCTTCGTTATTATTATTATTATTATTGGGATGATTATGATGATGATCTAAACTAGAATTTGAATTTGAATTTGATGAATTATAATTTTCATCATCATTATTATTCTGTATCGATTCGTTGAAATTTTCTTCATCATTTTGACCATTGCTACTGCATGGACTAGTTGTTGTTGTGGTCATTTTGGTCGTTTTAGATTTTGAATGAAATTTACTGAAATAATTTCTATTTTTACTTGATTTTCGTTGACCATTGTTTTTGTTGTCATTTGTATTACATTTATCATCTGTCATTTGTAACGTCATCGATGGTTGCGGCAAAGTTTTACCTGAATCATTTTTTGTTGTTGGTTTTTTCTGTTGATTATTATTATCACGTTTTTTTCGATTTATATACATCTTTATAGATGATCGTCCACTGTGTTCAGATATTGTTTGGCCGCTATCATTATCATGATTATCGTTTGTTTTGGCGCCAGTCGTCATATTCGATGTTTGACAACCATTTTTTAAATATGAAATAAATTGACTACTTTTAGCATCAGCAAATGATGCCACTGTCAATAGACTATTTGCAAATATTTGCAAATTCGAAACTGATATTGAATGTCGTTTTTTTGTTGTTGTTGTTGTAGATTTTTGTTGTTGTTGTTCATTTTTTGTTGTTGTTGTTGTTGTAGTAGTAGTAGCAGCATTCAAAGGGTTATTCATTTGTTCATCATCATTATCATTATTATTAACACCATTATCGCTAGCATCATTGACAATAATCAATGGTTCAACAAATAAATGTTCCGATAATAATGAACGTTTTTGATATGAACCAATATACGATTCTGCACTTGTACGACGTATTGTATTGATAATTGATGATGATGGATCAATCATTTTTTTTGATTTTTGTTTTTTATTTTCATCATCACCATTACTATTAGTGGAAAATGGATAAAATTCATAATAATCAGATGGCGTTAATGGTTCATCAGCACCACTATTATTAATGCCAATATTTGCCATTGTTGTGATGGTGGTGGTATTGTTCGTGGTGGCTGATTCATCATCCGTACATAAATTATAATGACAACAATTCATTTGATGATTAAAATTCAAAGTTGTGGCTGTTGTTGTTGTTATTGTTGTTTTGGTTGTCATTGAAGTAGACGATAGTTTCGATACAGTCAACGATTGATCTTGTGATATTAATTCATCATTTTCATCCATATCATTAGAATGATGATGGTGATCAATTATTGCCTTTGGCTTCTGTTCCATTTGTTGTTGTTGTTGTTGTTGTTGTTCGATTGATTCAGTTTTTATTTGTTTTTGCTGTCGTAGTTTATGGCTAGATTGTTCTTGTTGTCTTTCATCATCATCATCATTTATAAATACAATCATCTCTTTTTTATTCTGTGTGGGTGTCGTCGTCGCTGTTGTGGCCATTGTTGTTGTTGTTCTTTTTTTTTTGTATTTTATTTTCTATTATCTTTGATTCGATCGAAAATGAGAAAATAAAAAACAGAAATCATCATCAACATTGTTATTTTTGGGAATGTATCGGATGTGGTGGTGGTGATTGTGGTTGTGGTGGTTTACAATGGAAAAATCAAAATGAAACAAAAAAAAACCAAAACCAAAACCAAACAAAAAATAAATCCCAGGATTATTATCAATGTCGTGCTTGTGTGTGTGTGTGTGTGTGCATTCTGTGTGCATGTGTATTTTAACCGTGGCCATAACCATCAAAATGGATCGGATCAACAGAGAAGCTAATGGTGTGTGTGATTGGTGGCCAAAAAAAAAGGCAAGGGGAAAAAAATTTTCAATATTTTATCGAAACACGAATGATAATAATAATAATAATAAAAAAATTGTAAATCGGATTATAAACGAAAATTTTTTTTCTTTTTACGCAACACACACACACACACAGAGAGAGAGAGATTGAAATCCAACATTATCGTTGGTTTTTATTCATCATCATTCATTTATTTTGATTATATGGGATTTTAATGAGAAAAAAAAATTTTTTTTTCTTTGTTCATCACAAATTAATCGATTAGAAAAAAAATCTGTGATTAAATTTTGGATAAAATTACGAAACCAAGTAAAATTTTTCAATTTTGTCTTTTTTTTTTGGTAAAAATAGCAACACTCGTAATCATTCATTTGAAGCAATTAAAAGTAGAGAGAGAAAGAAAAAAAATGTTCATTTCATCATCAATTTTTATGATTATTTGGCTTCTCATTGTAATAACAATATAATAATAATGAAGAATAAAGAATTTGATGGAAATTTCTAGCAAAAAAAACACAGAAACACACACACACACACGGACACACCTATTTTAGAGATCCATTTGGAACGAATGGAAGAATGAATGAATGAATGAAAGTGTTGTTTTCAATTTGCTTGTTTTTTTTTGTTTGTGTGTCAGTACGATAATAAAAGAGAAAGAAAGAAATAGTGAATCCTCATGAGAGTGAAAGAAAATCAAACTAAATCGGGTAACAATAACAACAACAACAACAACAGCAACAACAACAACAACAACATTGACGACGATAAAAAAAATGTTTGATGGTTATTTAGGGAATGAGAAAAAAAAATTCTTTTCATTTCATTTATTTCCAATGTACAAATCAAAATGTCTGATTTTAAACATTGATAATCAATCGATTTAACAGAATCTTTATTTTCACAATTAAAATAATGAGATTATATCATCATCAACATCATCATAATGATGTTGAATGTCTCTCGCGGTGGTCAAGATTTTTTTTTCATCATTTTCTCATAATTGATGCGTGTTTGTCGGTGTGTGAGCGAGTGTTTGTTGACCAATTTTTTCCTCTCCATCATCATCATCATCATCAAAATTCTGTTCTCATTTTCTCTTTCTCACAAGATGTGTGTGTGTGTGTGTATAGTCAGACATCAGATATTGGAATTTTTTTTCAGTGAACCAAAAAAAAAAAAAAAAAAATGATGACGATAAGGAATTTTTTCTCTTTATGAATGAAAAAAAAAAAAAATAAAATAATGGCCATATCATTCATTTGTTTTTTTTTCATGTCATTCATATATTTATAATTGAAAATTTCTGGTTTCACACACACACACACACACACACACACTGAGAGAATTCAATTCTATCTGCTGCGTTTTATTATTATTCTTGATGCTGTTGTTGTGTGGGAAGAGAATTTTCTTCTGAAATTTGGATGAAAACAGAATTTTCTTTTTCTTGTCTTCATATATGATGCATAAATAAAGACATTTTCAACCAACAAAATAATAATAAAAAAAAACATGTTAAAAACAGAAAAACGTAGACACACGAACAATGAAAGAAAAAAAAAATATCATTTGGACCAACAACAAAATATCGAAACATTTTTATTTTTTTTTTTTTTTTCAAAATGGTGAAAAAAATCTGTTATCAAAAAACAAAATAGAGGAACAAGAAAAGTATAGAAATGGTTGTCGGTTCACAAAACATCATCAATTTTCCATTGTCATCATCATCATCATCATCATCATCATCATCATCATCATCATCGTCATCAAATCGATTTCATCCAAAAAAAAAAAATTTTGAACCGATCCAAACAGAAAAAAACAACCGCGCCACCCATCATCATCATCATCATCATCGTGATCGAGTTGGCAATATATATATATTTTTTGGCTCCAATTCTTTGGTCTTTTGCCATTTATCTTTCGATACACTTTTTTTTATGGTTCGCGGTTCATTTCATATTAAAAGACTGGAACACACAAACATATGATAATATCCAAACTTTGAGTTAGTGGGAAAAAAAATGTATAAATCATTTCAAAATCTAGCTTTTTAATATCATTTTTCTTTTCTTTTTTGTCACATTTGTCATTTTTCATATATGAAAAAAAGGAAAAAAAAATAAAAAATTTTATCACAAGTAGAACGTAGAACGTAGAACATAGAAAAAAAACCTATCAGATTTACAAGAATTATTTTCCAGTGAAAGATGAAAACGCCAGCAAAATCCGTTGAAATAATAACAATAATTCATCGATTTATGTTTCATAAATATAAACAGTGAAAGTGAAGAAGAAGAAAAAAAATACTTGACATTTTAAATCATAGATGGAAAAAAAACCGATTCAGCCACAAAAAAAAACATTTCAAGTATCATCATCAGCATATAATAATGATAATCGCGAAAAGAAAAACACAAATAATGATGATGATTTGGGCTACTACTACTAGAAGTACGACAAATTTGTCATTAGAATGCTGATGAATATGAAAAAAAAAAAAAATACCAGCAGCAGCTATACTAGTATTATATCACAGGTCAAATATGTCCATATAATATGGATATAGATCAGAAATGAAAATGAAAATGGTGGATGATATAGAAAACTTATAGATTCTGTGGCAACAATTTACTAAATTGGTATATCCATAATAATCATCGGGTTTTGTTTTTTTTGTTCATTTGTAAAGTTGCAATTGTATATATCATGAATTGTGGTGGTGGTGGGTGTGCATTTTTTTCTTCTCTACTCGTATGTCAAATAAATTTGTGTGCAACAGAGAATTATAATTAATAATTTAATGAAAACATCAAAAATGTATGCGGCGAATAATGCGAAAAATTAATTGAGTGGATATAAACTGAGAGAAAAAATCAAAAAAAAAAACCACACCTGGGCACACACACACACACACACACACACGACAATGAAAATGATTATTCTGCAGCCAATGGAAAATAAAATAAAATCCGGTAATTACCACATCAACAAACGAAAAAAAAAATTATCGGCTAAATGTAAATGATATAGTGGGATAATGGTGATTAATATCGGGTATAGAATTTCGATAGCGAGTGAGAGAAATTCTCTTTATTTTTTTTATGCTAAAAAAAAACACTAAATTTTCAATGTTGTCCCATACACACATCATTGAATCATCATGTTGATAATATATGGTTTCAAATTGAAAAATGAAATTATTTCTGCTTGAAAAACTAAAGATATATAAATATTATAGTACAAAACGCAAGAAAAGAAGAAGAAAACAAAATTAAATTAAGATCAATTAATACAACATATGATGATGATGATGATGACGATGTCAATGGGCAACGTGGATGACGACAATATTCACATTTTCTATATTCGTCGATAATTAAATCTCTAAACCACTCGTGTGTGTGTGTTGAATAAGACTCGAACAAAAGAAACAATACATGTAGATAGATGGATAGAATGAGCTTTTGTTTCAGTTATTAATAACAAAAAAAAAAGATAATAAACAAAAACAAATGATAATGATGAAGATGACAATGAAAAAAAAAAAACAAACAACAATGGAACCAATGGATGAATTTGTTTGTTTGTTTTCGTTATTTTTGTTTTTCAAGGACAATTTTCATATTTATTCTTGCATTTTCATCAATAAAAAAAATTTTTATATTCCAGAATCCAGATGAAAATGATGATGATGTGTAATTTTTTTTTTTTTTCATTTGATTCTTTTCCATATTATTATCGTTGGCATAGGAATAATGGAAATAATAATTCAATATAAAATTCATCATTCACATGATGAATTTGTTTTTGTTTTTGTTTCGTTTTGTTTGTCTGTTGTTGGAATAAAAAATGAAATTGATGCTTTTTTCAATTCAACTGATTAGTGTGATTTTGGCATTCGGTACTGGTGATGAAATATTCAGAGAAAAGAGTGAAGTGGTGATGGGCAACTATTTTATTAATTAATAATAGTGGGATTTTTTTCGAACAAATTTCCAAATATTCAATTTTGTCAATGAATCAAATTTGAATGCAAAGAAGAGAGAAAGAACCAAACCACAAGACCAAAAAAAAAAAAAAAAAAATAAAAATAAAGCCCCAAGGTATTTGTGTGCATGACTAATACATGCAGAGTTTTTCCAAAAAAAAAATCCCAAACAAAATCAGAATTTTTATTCCAAAATCAATATATAATTGAAATCACTTGGTTATCATCGACCATTTGACAATTTTTTCATTATTGCACAACCAAATAAATTGAAAAAGAAAGATGAAAAATTCAATCAAACAATCATCGATGGTTGATCATCGATGAATAATCACAAGGAGAAAAATTTATAACAACAATAAAAAAAAAGTGAAATGGAATATTTTTCCATTCAACGTCATCATCGATGATATCTGATCAGATGATGATGAAATTACCGAATTTCTTCTTCTTGAAAGATAATTATTAAGGATCCAATAAGGCTATAATAAATGAAAAGAACATGACAAAGTGTGTGCAAAAACATTCGATGATGGTGATCGAAGACGATAATGAGAGAGAAATTACATGACAAGAATTTCTGTATGTTATTGCTATGATTGAAAAAAGAATGACAAACATACACACATACATAGCGAAAAAATGAATACAAATACAAAACGAATAGAGAGAAAAAAATGTAGGTTTTTTTCTTCCTTATTTCAGAACGAAACAACAACATGAATATTCTCTAGAATTATTATTATTTGTTTTTTTTTGATATTTGTTACATTTTTCATATTTAGCAGTAAGTCATTCAGTCATTTATCAAAGTAAATTTGCAAAATTGTCGATTGATAGGTAATAGAAACAAAAAGTCAGCTTTTATTCTGCATTGCATCAATGATTGTTGTGTTTGGATTCTGTGTGAATTTCAAAGAAAAGTGAAAACAAATTCATCATGCAAATAGTAATAATTCATTCATACATGTATTCAAATTCTAGGCAAAAAAAAAATATTTTCGTTTACAATTGAATGAAATGATGAAATGTAAAAATTTAAATTTAAATTTTTACATTTCATCTGATTTCAACGCAGCATATAAATCGTTTGTTCATGTTTGTTTATGTGTGTTTGTGTGCAATGTGAATAAACAAAAAAAAAACTTAAAAAACACAGAATCACACAGAATTTGTACAACAATGCTCTAAGTATGCAATGCATTGAAATGAAATTTTTGTTTTCTCATCATCTCAATTTGCAGACACTTGAATTTGATGTTCATAAGCGATAGAAGTAAAAGAAGTAAAAGAAACCATGAAATAAATGTGAAAATTTGAATGAATTTTTTTTTTTTTTTTGGTAGAAGAAAATTGAAAATTCAAATTTCAAATGTATGTACATACATGCTAAATGAATTGGTTGAAATTGAGAATGAAAAAGAGAAGAAAAATAAACAAAACAAAACAAAAAAAAACACCATACCTTTATGTTTGTTATTGGAATTTTTTTTTCCCGGTAAAGAAAAAATTTTCAATTTTCTTTTACCCGAGATGATGATGAAAATTGTTTCTCATTTGTGTGTGTGTGTGTGTTTTCGCAGACGATTAATATTTTTTTGTCGGTTATTCTAGGGGAGAAATTTTTTTTTTTTTTGAATTTTGACATTTAATCACAAGTTCATAACGCGCACACACACACACACACACACACACACACATAAAAATGATGATAATGATCCAGAAATTTTTTTTTTTGAAAATTGAACTATTCGATACGATTGGCAATTGCACAAAGAGACGTCTGTTCTGTTTTTCATTAATTGAGAATGAATGGATGAATGAATAAGATTCACAGTTAGCACACAGATATATATATAAATAGCTTTTGATCATCGTAATCGTGACATGCGTCTTTTATTGCTGCTGTTTTTTTTTTTTTTTTTGATATTTTTTTTATGCATAAACATGCGCATACAATACCAAAAGAATACAAAAATCTTTTGTATCCAGCCCAGAGCGATAGAATAATGGAACGAGAGAGTTTTATGATGATCCAGAATCCATGTCTTTTATTTCATCGGATAAATATTCGTCATTCGTGTTCAATGGTCGGTCGTTTGGTTTGTTTGGTTGGTAGATTGTCAAAACGAACGAAAACAATGGAAAGAAAAGAAAATTTTCTTTTTTTTTTGTTTTTGTTTTTGCCTGCTGTTGTTGTTTCAGTCAAGTTTATTTATCCAAAAAAAAACATTGTTGACATTTTATAAAAGCTATTCGGTTTCTTTTGTAATTTGTTTTTTTTGTCTCGGTTTTTCTCGGAATATTTTTCGCGAACAATTTTTTTTTTTGTTTTTTTCATAACAACAGCTGAAGAATTTATTCTTGATTTTGTTTTTGCTGGATTGATTCACGTTCGAAATGAATTTTCATGAATGAAACAAATTATTATGTTGACAATAAGTACGTGTGATGATGATGATTGCCAAACAACCAAAAAAAAAAGATTGATTGGATTTTCGTTTTTTTTTTTTTTGTTTCGTTATCTCTTTGTACATTTTTGTGTTGTGGTTGTTTTTTGTTATTATTAATTGTTTTTTGTCGTGCCCACCCCCTCACCAAATAAAAAAAAAATCTTATTCGAATCAAACAACAAACCGACATATGAAATAGTACATTTCGATAATTTGTTTTCCCACGTTTAGTTTTTTTTTCAATTTGAATTTTGCACATTTGTCTGAAAATTTTTCTTTTTCTATTATACATATGAAAATATGAAAACTAGATACTACTGCTAACAAAAGAGGGCAGCACGCAAATGTTGTGGAGCACGCAAATGTAAATAATAGTATCGATATCGATCGATCGAATTGATTCAAATCACAAATTGTGACCATAAAATAGACAAAAAAAAATTGAAGAATGAAGAAGATAATTTATTTTCTTCTAACCTTTGTTATTTTTTAAATTAATTTGTCATTCATCCATTCGAAGCTATCACTCACATATATCAACAAAAACAAAATGTCAAAGGAAAAAAATTTGTAAATCAAAATATTGGCCAACAAAATACAAACATCTACACTGATACATCAATAATAATCGATACAAATGATGACGATGTTGATAATGATAGTGATGTTGATATTTATGAAAAGATACGTAAACAGGTATGCCCGTATTGTTTGTTTGTTTGTTTTTCTCGATCATGGATTAATAATTTGTCCTTTTTTTATTTTTTATTTTTTGGGTTCACCACCTACAATCATATTGGTTAGATTGGTTTCTATTTTAGTTCATCCAATATTCATTATGATAAATTTATGCAACGTTTAATCGGTATTAGTGGACAAAAATCAAATGATAACCATAATAATATGGAAATGGATGATAATGATAATGATGATGATGAAGATCATCATTATGGTATACGTCCAGTACATTTAAAAGAATTTTTACGTTTCAATAAAATACGTGAACTGACCAATTCATTGGACGATTTATTAAGAGCATTCAATATTGATGATTACCCTGATCTGGTTGATACATTTCTGGCACGACATGATTTAAATTACGACAGTGAAACACAATCATTACAACGTTTGAAACCATATCACATATCAATTGATAATCTTAATAATCGTACAATTTATTTGGAAGGTTTTGATCCACAAATATCCAGAATTGATGACATATTACGTGGTTATCTAGAAATATTGGGACCAATACTATCGATACGTGTGCAGAAACGTTCCAAATTGTTAGGATTTGCTTTCGTTGAATATGAACACGAAAAAGATGCTCGATTATTTTGCAATTGGTTTAATAATAATAATAATAATAATAGATCGGATGAAATGAATACCACCGTAAAAATGGATAAATTACTACAAATTGAGAAAGAATTACAAAATATTAAACAAAATGATAACGAAATTCGTGTATCATCTAAAAGTGAATGGAATCATTATAAAAATCGTTATCTACGAACACAACGACGTTGCCGGATAAAATCAATGAAACGTGAACAAGAAATACAGCAAAGTTTTGAATTGTAAATAAAAAAAATTCGATCCATTCATTCATTCATTATGGCTACCACAAATATTATGATCAGCTTGACATGGTATCGTTTCTTCAGCCGCAAATATTTGTCCATTTGTACACATACAAACCTGATAGGCTAATATTGGTCCATGATCATCATTATTCTCATTATGACGATTATTATGTCCATGACGATTATGATGTTGTTGTTCTCGATGATGATTGTGATGGTGGTGATTTCGATTTAGATTGGCAAATAAAATATTACGACCATTCAATGATAATTGTTCGGTATTGAACCATAAATCATCATAAGATTTTATTTGTATTGGACCATTATTGGATTCCATTTGAATCGATGAATTTGTTGATTTAATCGATAATTGCTCGGTACGTGATTCAATCCTGATTTTCATTGACAAATAATTACAAAATTTTCTATTTCCACAGACAAAGTAAAACCAAAATACTCACCGTAAATCTTGATTTACACAGCCAACAATTGAATCAGTCATCATTTGTGATAATCGTAAACCACCTGGTTGTTGTCTTATATATGCCATAGATGTAGATGAATCCTCAATAATAAGACCGTCATTTTCAATTTGTAATAAACGTCTACTTGGTTTTTCACTTTCAATCACTAGACGATTATTAATTTTAAATTCCAAATTACCAGTAATTGCTGATAAATGCAAACTATTTACATTCATTCCATTACCATCATCATTGGATCTAATTTGTACATCACCAGATGGATTCATTTCGCCAGTTGGATTCGATTGAAATTGTAATCGTAAATGTTGATTATTATTGGTGGATTGTGCCATTTGTGATTTATAATGATTTATATCATTCGTATAAAGAGTACAATTGTTATTACCACCACCACTATAAAGATTACCTTTGATACGTAATTTCGGATCATCATTCTGATTATTATTTGTTGTTATTGATTTTGTTGTTGTAGTACGAATAAATGTCTGAGAATTTTGATGTAAATTCAATGATATTATAATCCATCCAATAAGCATTATATTAATCAAGATGAAAAATATTAATATTGAAATCAGATAATTTATACGTTGATTCAATACTATGCAACCACGATTATTGATTGATGAAATTTGATGATGATCAACAACATTCGATGATGATGGTGATGATGATTGTTTTTTATCATTGGAAACGCATTGTTCCAACAATTGTCGTATCCATCGATTTGTCGATGACGATTGTTGTTGATGATGAATATTCGTATTCATTATTATCGTTGTCGATGATGAATTGATAATCTTTTTGAAAAATCAGAATTTTATCCAGAGAATGAAAAAAAATGATAAATTCAAAACACAATCGATTTATTTTTAAAAACGAAAAGAAAACAAAAAAAAATTTTTTTTGATAAAATTGAAAAAAAATAAATTAAATTATCACTACTATATGTAAGACAATGTCTGATGATTTTTTTTCGTCCAAAAAAAACACAAACTAACAAGCAAGGAAAGAAATAAATAAATAATAATAATAATATATCTGACTAATGATCGATGATGGCGTTGATGAGAAAGAAAAAAAAAAAAAGAGGCGTTGTCCTAAGTGTGTGTTTTACAAAAAATATCGATCCATTTTTCGTTTCTCTGGTTCCAACATTCATCGTAGTACATGCACAATTTTTTTTCAGGCTATATAGGCCGCATCCGATGAGTGAGAAAAAAAAGGAGATGCTGATGTGTCATTGTGTGTGTGTTGATCAAAGTTGTTTTTTGGATGAATTTAAATTTTCTCGATTTTTTTTTTGAAATGAAAATTTGTTCTGAATTAATCGATGATCACAGATGCTTTTTCTGTTTTTTGTATTGTTGATGATTGGCTAGTTTAATATGGTTTTTTTTCGCTCTTCTAATGGACAATGGAAAAGATTAAATGTTGAATGAGTAAATAAATAAATCATTGAATCAATGAATGTATCATATATATTTACCATGTTGATCTACCCAATGATCGTTTCAATTCCAATCGAAAATAATCAATAGTTTTAGCTAGACCATCAATTAATGTTATATTCGGATACCAATGTAATATTTGAAGTGCTAATTTTATATCCGGTCTTCGTCGTCGTGGATCATCTTGTTTAGCCGGTAAATATTCAATATGATGATGATGATGATATGAATATGGCTGCATGAATCGATTATCATCATCTTTATTATGTTGAATTTTTTCATTATCACGATGAACAAGATTCAATACGATATCGGCAAATTTCTGTATAGTGTATTCATCTGGATTACCCAGATTTATTGGTCTGCTATAATTACTTTCCATTAATCGTACTAAACCTTCGATTAGATCGGAAATATATTGAAATGAACGTGTTTGATTTCCATTACCATAAATACTTAATGGTTTCGATTGTATAGCTTGGCTAATGAAATTCGATACCACACGACCATCATTGGCATGCATACGTGGTCCATATGTATTAAAAATACGTGCAACACGTACCGAGAGATTTTCTTGTTTTGCATATGCATATGTTAATGCTTCGGCAACACGTTTACCTTCATCATAACATGACCGTGGACCAATAGGATTTACATTGCCCCAATATGATTCCGATTGTGGATGTACATCGGGGTCACCATAAATTTCCGATGTAGATGCTACAAGAATTCGAGCGCCAACACGTTTTGCTAATCCTAACATATTTATTGTGCCCATTGTGTTCGTTTTGATTGTTTTCACTGCATTCATCATATAATGTGGTGGTGATGCTGGTGATGCCAGATGATAGATTTCATCCACTTCCACATACAATGGATTAACAATATCATGATGTAATAGTTCAAAATTCGGATGACCAAGCCAATGTTCAATATTGGAACGTCGACCTAAAAATGATTGATTGGAAATTAAATACTCTGCATAAAGTAAAAATTTATTATTACCGGTATAAAAATTATCAGCGACAATAACTTCATGGCCATCGGATAATAAACGATCCAATAGATGAGAGCCAACAAAACCGGCACCACCAGTAATTAGAATTCTTTTCTTTTCTGAATATGGTAATAATTTAGTTTTTTGAAAAAATTTTCGATTCGTAACAATTTTTGATGATTGAAAGTTATTTTTTGTCTCAATCTGTTCTAACCGCAGCCGAAGTTGTTCAATTTCATTATGTAATTTTTCAATTGTTCCCATTAATTTTGTATTATTCTGATGACGATTTCCAATATCGTTATCGATGATGTCATTATCAATTTCATTTTTAGATCGATGTTGTTCATGTTGATTATCATCATCGAATCGATGTTTAGATGATAAATTATGATAATTAGTAAAAACTATGGGGAAAAAAATTGGTCAATTTTTTCGAGAAAATTAAAAATGTTAAACAAAACACATACCAATAGTTAATGTAAAAATTACAAATAAAAATAAAACATAAAATACACGAGGTAATGTCATTGTTCTTCTTGACCGTGGAATAACAACAAAACAAAACAATTGGAATTTTGAATTTTTTTTTTTTTTTTTGGATATCAATTGGATCTGATTCGATTGAATAATAAATATATGGCAGCAAATCAATTTCAATTATCGATTTATTATTACGTTATTTGGCATTCATTTGGATTGAATAATAATGATGTAGAATTTTGTTGTGAAATGATATCACCATTTCAATGTCATTTTCTTTTTTTAATATTTGATAATAATGAATAATGATGATGATTATGAATGATAGTTGTTTTTTCAATTAGTCAATTACAACATGCCGGTTCATGATTAATAATACTGCTCGAATGATAATGATGATGATGATGATGACAAATGGAAAAATTGGTCAGTTTTTTTTCTGCTTTTGAATGATATGTCGATGAAATCAGCAAATTATCATCATCATCATAACATCATACATATGCTCATTTTATACAAATGAAACAAGAGATAGGGAGAGAGAGAGAGAGAAATTAGCCCATTTTTTGCAATTTGATTACGATAAGATTTGGTCGTTTTCATTTCATTTCATTTTTTTTTTCATTAGAAAATCAAATACAAAACGAGGACAAGCAGCAACAACAACGTAAACAAAACACACACACACACTGAAAAAAAAAATTCATCATCATTCATAAACAACGTACAATTTTGAAATTCAATAGCATCATCATTGTCAGTAGCAAAAAAAAAAAAAATAACATTTACTAACCAAAATGAATGAATTTGTATTTGATTGATAATAAATGGAAAAAAATTGATTCTCTGGATGATGAAAATGTTTGTCTGATTTTCTGTTTCTTTTCTTCTTCTTTTTTTTATACAAAATGAATTACACATATGAATTTGTATTATATTATAAACACTGGATGTGAAAAAAAACAACAATAAAAACAATTAGACAATCTAATGATGATGTAGATGATGATAAAATGATGCTCGATTTTGGTTTTTTTTTTGTTGTTTTTTGTTTTGTTTAACGATAGAAAAAAAGGGTTTTATATCCATAATAGTAATAATAAAAAAACGATTAACTATCAAATATGCAAATTAATTGTAATCGATCGATAATATTAACGATAATGATGATGATGATGATAGTAATAATAATAATAGCCATGTTGTCGTTGATGATAATGTATATGCTCGTCCACATTGTCGTATTTCTTTTTCCTGTGGATGATAATTATAACAACCAGCCGGACGACGACGATATTTTTCCGTTTTCAGCAATTGACATTGTTTTTCATCATCATATTTAATCTCTATTGGTTCAATTGACAATTTTTTCTTCTGACAATTACAAGTTGGATTATTTACCGATATAATCAACAAAAGATTTGTATGTGGTATATAATGGGCGAGAAAATTTCTATAAAAATTTTTGGAAAATTTCCAGAAAAAAATGATGAAAATTTTTTAATTAATTGAAAAAAAAACATTACCTTGAACATTTAGGATTTTCACCACAAACAATATCTTTGGACTGTCCATCTGTAGAGAAATTGATCATTTCATAAAGATCAAATTCTTTATCACATGGACGTGCTATTGTTTGATTATCATCTAGATCGGTAATCATTGTGTATTCTATGAATTGGTTTAAAGTGAAATTAAAATCAAATTAAATTTTTTTTCACAAATCATCAATCATTTACCAGAACCAAATGGTAATCCCATTTCCATCCAATTATCTTGTCGTACATTATAAGTTTTTTCAGCCATTGACCAGACATCGTTTCCATAAAGAATATTCATGTACAATAATCCTAACCACGTGATGAATGATTTTAACATTTTTACCACTAATGCAAAAATTGAATAAAGATATGGATTCGATGATGGTCCAGACACGATTTCAGCATCCAAACAAATTGCTTGATAATCATAAAGATGTACACGTTGATATATGCCGCTGGTGACCAATTCTTCAAGAATATCACCATCAATTTGTCCAAAAAATTTTCCAACATCATTCGTTTTATGATTACTCAACACAATGAATGCATTATTATCGATCAGATAACAATCAACATCCAAATGTGTACACGGTACATTGAATTTATTCGTCGTATTCAAAAAGAATTCATGTAATGTATCATAACGAAATTGAATGCCAACCACGGCCACTAATTGAATGAAGAATTCAAAATAAAAAAACAAAAAATTTGAAAACATCAGCCACATACCTGGTGAACTATGTTTCAGATTGCCAATAAACAAAGCATGTGTTGCTGTTACCAAAAAATTTGAATCATAACGTGAATGTGTGGCAGCAACACGACGTTCATGTTGTTCGCCAGCATCAAAATCGACAAAATAAACGAATGCATCTTTGTTATTGGTATAAAAATCCACTGTACGTTTGTAATATGTTTCTTCAATTGCCCTGTGTGTGTTTTTTTCGAGAAAAAAAAGTTAAAATAGTCTATCTTTAAATGAAAAAAAAAATACAGACCTATCATGTTTATGATAAAATGGTAGATCATCAAGCATTTTAATCTCATCTTTTGAACGATAATCTTTAAAACGAGTTAGGCCACTACGTGTCGCCACAAATGTCGATACAATACCAAATGTTTTGATTCTTTGTTCACTAAAAATGATGATGAATGAATGAAAAAAAAGCAGATAAAATTAAAGTTTTCGGCAATAAACAAGAGAAAAATTTCCTGCAAAATTTAGAGTGACCAAAAAACAGAAAAAAAAATTTCAATTCATAGTTGTTTTCCCTTTTTGATGAATTCAATTCACAATTGAATGCAATATAAATCCAGGCGCTAATTGAACAGAAAAAAAATTTTTTCAATCATAAAATTTGTTACCTTGGCATCAACGATATGAATATTGTAAGCGGACTTTTTTTTAGTTTTGTTTTAAAATTAAAATAAATTATGAAAAAAATGGGAAAAAACATTGCGTTGCGTTGCATTGCAAATGAAAAAAAAGAAGAAGCAAATGACGACATTTTTCATTATATTAATCCAATAATTTTTTTTTCAGGTAAATAAATCAAAATAAGAAAAAATTTTTCTTTCCAAATGGAATTTTACCAATAATGGATTTCAGTGGGTTTTTATGACACCAATAAAGAAAAAATCTGTTTTGATTAATCAATTTCAACTTACTCTCGATAATTTGGATTCGAACTACAACGTTCGGTCGGTATATCTGTGAGATTGGCATCCAATACCAGACTTTGTATTAGATCTTTATCACCTGGATTTTTTTTTGGTTGGTGATGAGAAAATTGAATCAATTGTTTGGTTGTTTCGTTTGATAATAAAACTTACAAAGAATTGTTTCATAAACTTTTGGCCGTATACTACTTGTACGCCAACGGAAATTTTGTTTCTCCAAATCATTAGTCAGGAATTGTAATATCGATTCTTCTGGTGTTGAAAATGATTGCTGTGGCTGGCCAGTTATCTGATGTGGATTATCGCAATACGCCTATTTCATTCGAAATGGCCATTATTATGTAAATATATGTTTGATATACAGGAATCTTACCCATTCAGGATGTACTCGCCATTGATTGCCACGAAAATAATGGGTGAAATTTTCTTCACGATATTTCATACGTAGATCAACCTGTGAGGTCAACCTATATGAACCATATGGTTCGGGCAATGCAATGGCAAGACTAAATGGTGTATGGCCAATCATACCATGTGTATAATGATTGACGCGTGTTATAACACGTTTCTATGTTAAATTGAAATTTTTTAAATAATAATTTTCACCAATCAATCAATCAATCATACTAACCATTTCATCGATATGTACTTTGACGGCAACTTTTTTCCAACCATGTGTACGATTTATCATATTACCACGTATAGATTCGATATATGGATCAGGTTCCTGAAAAAATGAAGAGAAAATTTTTAAATCCATAAATTCATTTTTACAAATGAAAAATTCACATACTCTTGGACCAAGTGTATTGTTGGCCAATTCAACTTCAGACATATCCACCGAATGATAGAATGGCTTCAGGAAACCATCAAACTAAATGCAAAAAAAATAAAAATGATCAAAATGGTCAATGGAACTAAACAATTTACACAACACATACCAATGGACGTAAATCAGGATGATTTAAAAGATAACCATTATTTGTAATCATAAATGAATAACCATTAACACCGAGCTTGAATGATGGTGTTAATTTTTCAATCTCTTTTATTGGTATATCAACACCGGCAACACCAAGCAGATTTGCAATACGTATTGTTTCGATTTCAGCATCTTGATAAACATTTTTGATCAATATTCTTTTCGTTATATTTGTATAATTTCTTGTATCAAATACTGGTGTTGCTAATGTTGTATAAAGTGATACGGATTTTTTCTTCATATTTTTTTGATTCTGCTGCTGCTGCTGGTGCTGATGCTGATACTGTTGCTGTATACGAAATGGTATCTGTTTATATGGTATCGATACAACATTTCCATCATCATTTTCATTGATTGCTAAATCATCGATTGATTGATGATGACGTTTTCGTTTTCGATTACCATTATTAGTCATTAATGTATCTTCAGATTCTTCTGTATTATCAATTGTTTCATCGATATCGTCATTATCATCATCAGTGTCTGCATTATTTAAACTTTGATCCAATTCTTCATGTGCATATCGTGCCTGTGCACGTAGACGATTGATTTTTTCATAATTTTCTAGATTAAAAAATTTCAAAAATTTAACTTTTCGATTGCCTGGTTTTTTTTGATGACTTACGTTTATTTTTCCATGTGTTTTCATTCAACTCAGTTTCATATGTCGGCGCATAGATTGGTGTCCAACTAAATACACGTTCACCAGACAAAACAATTGGCCGTGACATTACCGGTATATATTTTTGTACTTGTTCATGTACTTCGGCACGATTCATAACATGTGTATAATAACCACGATTATGACATGCCATCCAATATACCTCGCTATGTGATGTAACATCTTGACCGATCAAATAGGTAAAAACACGTACCGGTATGTTGGGCCAATTGAATTGACGAAAAACATCTTCATATGTGCCTGGTGCACCATCCGTTATCAACATTATTGCCTGATTACATTGGGAACCATCACCAGAACGATTAAATCGTTGCAGAATGGTAAATGCTTGCGATAGGGCAGCAGTAAAATCAACCAATTCATTGGTTTTAACATCCGAAAGACCTTGTTTGATTTCTTTGATATTTTTACGATTCGCCTGTACCAATGTATCCAAACATGAATGTATTGGTTGCACGGTTTTCGAAAATTTCAATGCGGCAACATAATCATCATCCGTTAAGGTGTCCAATATATATTCCACAACATTCTGGCCAATACTTTTTCGTACACCAGTCATTGAACCACTTGTATCCAACAGGATGACAATATCTTTTGGTGATGCTGCACCTTTTATATACCATGGACGCATACGACAATCATAGAAATCAATCAATGGTTTGTCCGAATAGCTGTCACGTTCACGCCACGAAGTTGCCGGATACAAGCGAAGAAATCCTTTTGCGGAACCAAAAAATTGCCACGATAAACTGGGATCAAATGCCAGATTATTCTTGAAAAATTGTGTCAAATGTTCTGACCATTTTATATCATTAACAACATCGGGTGATTTATCATAAACATTCACCGGAACATGTATTGCACTATGATCTAAATTGACGTAAGCATTATCAAAATTTGTGTTTCTAGTCAATTTTATTGGCCGTGAACCAGAATCCAATGATCGTAAATAATGGTTATTATCTTTGATTTCCACACCTTTAACATTATAATAATCAATTTCCATATTTTTATCATACGTATGATTCGATGCAATACGTTCACTTTCATTAGCTATACGTTCAACTGAATGTTTTTTCCAATTAAACATATACATAACATCATTACGCATATCGTCCATCATTTTATTGCCATCAAACCATTGTACTTCTTGATTGAAACGTTGAAAATTTTCTTCAATCCTACCTAGACATGTTTGTTCAGTACCAACACTTGACAGTTCACGACCAAATGTTTTGACCATATTACGTATAATTTCTTCATCTAATATAAATTCATCGATTGCACATTTTGTTCCTGAAATCATTATTTGTAATATAATCATAATCATCATCATTATTATGACCGTAATATTCATGTTTATGAAGCTCATCAAATTCGATGATGATGATGATGATTCAATGTGAAAATTGTTGTTGTACTTTTTTCTTGTCATCATTTTTATAATTGATTTATTTGAAATTTTGATATTCATTTTTGTTTGTTTTGTTTTGGTTGCTCAACAATTTTTAGTGATAATTCAGTCGTTTCGTTTTTTTATATGGCTAAGATTTAGCAATAAATTTCAATTGATGATGACAATGATGATGATGATGATGATGATGAGGACAATTTAATCCAATTTTTAGCTGTTGTTGTTGTTGTTGAGGCATTTCTTTGATTTTATTTTCAAGTTTGCTGTGTTGTTGTTGTTGTTGTTGTTGTTTATATTTACATTTTCATCTAAATAGAATCAAAAAAATTTTACTTGTGGAAAGTTTCTTTTTAGCAAAACGAAAAAAAAAAAAATCACTTACCACAATCAATGATAATTTCAATTGTATGCAAATGGATTATTTTTATTGTTGTGATATGCAATTTTAATTCGGAAGCATTGAAATTTTTTTTTTTTATTAAAGTGAAAACAACAAAACAACAGCAGAAATATTGATGTGTAAAATAATGATGAAAAATGTGTGTTTGTCTGTATTGAATTTTTCAGCCATAAAATTCTATGATTATTCTAGATTCTATACACACACACACACACACACACATCATCATCATCATCATCATCAGCACATAGAATTTTTCGTTTTCTCGTTTTTTTTTTTAGATTGATTTCGAGAACCGCTACTACAAAATTTTATTTTATTCATTCATAACATTAGAATTCGAGATACCAGCGCAGCGCCATTTCACAATCTCAAATGGAACAAACGTTGGTCGATACAGATTCTGGTGGTAGTAGTAGTAATTTACGATTCTAGCATTTTTTGTGCTATGTATGTGTGTGTGTGTGTGTGTGATATATGAAAGGTGGGGTTTTTTCCTCCTTTTTACGTTTTTATAGTAGAAAAAATCATTCCGGTCCTGGTTCTGGTTTTTATTCGCTGAACTGCACCACCACCACCACCACCACCACCACATTATTCTCATCATCATCATCATCATCGTGATCATTAAATTGTGAAAGCAAGAAAAAACCGTCAAATATTAACCGGATTTTTTGCACTTTATTATTTTCGAGATAGTCAAGAAAAAAATAGAATAAAAAAATTATTACTTTTTTTCATTGAAATCATTATTATCATGTGTAACAGTGAATTTGATGGATGGGAGTGGCTATAATTGTAGCGGGAGGTGGGTGTATTTGACCACGGTTGTGGTAGTGGTATTTATATATTATTATTATTTATTATTATAATCATCATTATTTTACAGTAAATACCAGATAAAAACATGTCAAAAAGTCAATGAACGATGACTTTTTGATGAAAGAAAAATTCACACATTCCATGCACATACACAAACCATTAACGGTCAAATGTCAGTGTAGTATAAAATTATAACAAAAATTCTGGCATGACAATGGAATTGAATAGAATAACGGCTTGATTTGAAAGAATTTTTTTTATTTAGAAATTTTTTTTTGGACAAAAGTTTGGATCGAACATCATCATCATCAGTCAATCTTTGTTCAGTCGATGTGGAATCAAATTTTTTTTTTCGTTTTGTTTTGTCGTTGTTGTTGTTGTTGTTGTTATTGCACAAAAATATTCAATGTCGTCGTCGATGTGAAAATAGCCTTATACGATGATGACGACGACAACGACGTGAATGATGATCACCGCCATCTTGATTTGTTTGATCATTATTAATTGTTGATAATGAATCATTTTGGCTATTATTACTATTATTGGATTCTCCAGCCGAAATAGATCGATGTATCATTGATGTACCGGATAATGGCTGCTGTTGTGAATGAGCCGGTAATATTCGTACATTTGGCATAACATAGGCTATAGTTTTTGTTGGACGTTTATTGATCATTTGTTTAGATGTTGTTGAAATAGTTGGTCGATTAATATTATTTTTATCATTTGAAAATATTGCCGATGATAATGTTGCTGTTGATATTTGATCATAGGCCATTTTCGATGCCAGATATCCATGATTATCCGATTGATAATAATGATTCGATGGATCTTCAATAACCGTTGACATTGTTGTGGTTCCGGTGCCGGTCATCATCATTGCTTCGGATGATTGATTTAAATGTTGACCGAATTTTGTTTCCAACATGTTTAATTTCAATTGTAATAATTGATTCATATCCGTAATGTATTGAAGACGTTGTTCAACTTTTTTATTCAAATCTTGTTCATCCAGATGTACATCACGTATACAACGTTCTAGTTGTTCATTTAGATCGGAATTTTGATTACATAATTTACGTAATTTACTTTCAATTTGTTCAATACGTTTATTGATTTGATGTTTCAAGTTAACATTTTCATCATTATGATCTTGATGAAATGTCGATGTTGTCGATGTTGGTGATAGATCAAATCGATTGAAATTTGATGATTGCAAGGGAAAACCAATGATCGATGATGGTGATGACGGTGTGGATTCCATACTACTACTACCACCACCACCATAATATTGATTGAATTTTTGTTGTAATTTCAATACCGTACGTTTCAATTGTTCAAAATCATCGTAGATTAATTTAATTTCTTTCATATTTAGCTGTAATTTTTCTTCAATATCCAGGTTTTTCTTTTCCAATTTACGATAATCAGCCGATGATTCTTTTCAACGATTGCTGTAATCGTTGTTGTTTTGCCACTATTGATTTAATATCTTCATTATTTTTCAATACTGTACTTGTTAATAGGAAATTTTCACGTCGAATACAATCCAGATCATCAGTGATTCGTTTCAAATATTCGGGTAATAATCGATTATTATTATTATTATTTGCTGATGCATTTGTTGTTGTATCATTCAATTTAGATAAACTGGTTGTCATCACCATCGATGATGATCGACAAAATCTTGATCGTGATGATGATGATGATAGTGAATTTTGACGTGATTGAAAAAATTGTTGTTGACGTTGAAAATTACTAATTGGAAAGAAAAAGAATATATGTAAATTTTAATTAGTGGAAATCTGAATCAATTTGAAATATTTACTTGAGTGAAATTAGATCGGCAACACAAATTTGATGATAATTTGGTGGAATATGATCATCATCATTTTGGTGATCAAAATTAATTTGCTGTGGCTGTTCATCATCATTAGTTGATTGCCAATGTAATTGTGGCCATGAATTACTTAATAATGACCAATTATGATTCTGATTATGTTGTAATTCTGATGATGATTGTATTGAATATTGTTGTTGATAATAATAATCATTACCATCATCATTTGTTGTTGATTGTGTTGAATTTAATGATATTGATGGCAATTGATATTGATAAATACCATCACGTTGATGTTGTTGATTTATATCAAATGATGATGTTGATGATGATTGTAGAAATAATTCCGAATCTGATGCAGAACGTATTAGGAATGTTGACATTTTTTTTTCTTCAATTTTCAATAAAGAATTGGCATCACTTTTTCATTTCTATTTGTTGATCCGGGGTACAAATCATCGAACAATTTAATAGCAACAGCATAACAATTGTTATTGTTGTTGTTGTTTTATTAAAAAGATTGATTTTCATTGAAAAAAAAGCTAAACCTTGTTGCTGCTCATTGAAAATCTGATTGTTCGTTTGGATATTTTCAGTGTATGTATGTGTGTGTGTGTGTTAGTTTGTCTATCGATCGTGATCATTTTGTTGATGATGCAAGAAAACGAAATAAATACATACAGAGGTTTGTTGTTGGCATAACATATTGGTTGTTGTCGTCATCATAAATTGAGCTTGTCATTTTTTTTTGCCTGTTGCTCACGAGCTGCTGCTATTGACATTGGACTTATATTGAATATATAAAAAAATGTAAATTGGAAATTCAATTTAGAAAAATAATAACTGGAGAAAGCTAGATAGATAGAGATTGAAAAAGAAAGTGAATGAAACGAAATGAAAAACAGGAAAAAAAGGGATTTTTTTTTTTTAAAGAAAAAACAAGTTTCATTTTCAAATATAATGAGCATTCATTCACTCATTGATCGTATCTAGATCGTTTTTTGTTCTTGCTATGTGGCCATCATGTTTATCAATTATTCAAAAAAAAAATGCAAAATGAAAAAAAACAAACAGACACACATGCATCGATGATGATGATGACGATGTCCTTTTTGACCATGCGATTGGTTAAAAATGGGAAGAAAAAAAAATCTTGTCAAGTTTGAAAATTTGATCAATCGTTTATTGAAATAATTTTAAAATTGATTCGATTCAATTTAACACATCAATTTTTTTTTTTTGGTTGGTTGGTTGGTTGTAGGCGTAATATAATAATAATAATAATGTGTTGAAAAAATAAATAAACAAAAAAAAATTCCGAATCTGAATAAAATGAATGAGCAAAAATAAATTTAAAAGTAAATAAGATGAAAAGACAAGATGAAAACAAGACAAAAAAAAGAAAAAAAAATCATGGCAAATAGTGTGATGGTTTTGTTTGAGTAAATTTTTTTTTTAAAATTTCCATTTCATTATTCTCCTATACTAAACATATCAATAATATATCACAATGAACATCTTTCTGGATTTATCAATGTTGATTGATTACTGTCCACCGTTATTCATCGTTGATTTTATTGTCGAGGTAGTCGATGTTACATATTTGGAACAATTATTTATAAATAATGATCTTGAATCTTCAGGCAATTTATCGATAATTTGATCCATATTTTTTTGCAATTTTTCAATCATTTCTTTCGATATATCCAGCTGACCATTAGTGGCACAATTAATATTATCTTTCAGTTTCAATATCAGATCAACAATTTCAATTTCTTGTTTATCATTCAAAAGATTGGCCAGATTTGAATCACAAATTGTTTCAATATGTAATGATTGAATTTTTTGTGTGGCTTCATTCAGACGGCTACTATACCAACAAACAAAATTTGGTGAACGTAAAAAACGACGATAAAGACCATTCCAATCGCCTTTCACCATGGATGTTAGATGTGGTCCAGTTGCTTCTAAACTGTTGATAAATTCTTCAATTTTAAAATGTTGCAAAATTGGTGGCCGTTTAAATGGTGACAGATTTTTAGCTAATGGCATCAGGCTAGCAAAATAACGTTCCAGTGGAATGGAAAAACTTTGTGTCAATTCAATTAGAAATCTTCGTAACATTGCATTTTGTACTTCCGATGGACGATTTGTATCAATTCCTTTCAACAGTTTTTTCAATATATCACGATCTTTTTGTAAAAATGGTTTATATTTTGTATATACTCCGGTTTTCAGATCTAAACTTTTTGAATTTATCTTTAAAACTTGATCGATTGTGTGTGAGAATTTTTTCAGATTTAAATTTCCATTTTTTTGTGTTTGTTGTGGATTATGCATCACGACGGGATTTGAATCCAAATCATTCGATGTTGTTGATGACTGTGGCAATTCATTTATCTTGATCAAATGTGGCCAATCATGTAATGTTTTAACGAAAAATGGATTCGTCACCCCCAGTATGACCGGTGGTCTTGATTTCAAAGAAAAAGATAAAAATCAATTAACAAAAAAACAAACGAATGAATAAAAACTTACGGTGATTTTGTATGTGTTGTATATTCTTTAAATTCTGAATCATGTATAGTGAAAAATGGACGATAATCAGCACCATAACGTAATGGAGCTATCAATGCAATCAATGCCTGAACAATTTCTGAACAAACATTTGGTGTCTGCGACATGACAGCGATCGGTTCATTTGTTAATACTAATTCCCATAATAATTGTACATGCGTAATTATCGGCAATAGATTACGATAAATATTTACATCATTCGCAACATTTAATGGTTGTGCGGATGAAGATGATGATGGTGATTGATCTATCGATGATGATGATGATTCTTCATGTTGATTATCATGACGATAATGGTGATGTTTAGATTTTTTCGATAAACGTAATGAAAATGTTTTCAATAATGAGGATGATCCATGAGATGAATTTGATGATTTTATTATTCCATTCTGAATTGGTGATTTTGTTGTTGTTGTTGTTTGACACATATTCAGTGATGATGAATGACGTTCACCGGGTATTAATACCGATGTTATTGTGCCGAATAATGGTAAATTTAATATTTGATCCGTTTCTGGTGGTGGCCAACGATTTATATCACCAAATGCTAATAAAATTCGTTGAAGATTTTAAAACATTCGCTAAGAAAATGAAAAAATTTACCTGCTTCCAATGATGGCAGGCCAAAATCAAAATATTTTGGTGCCAAAATTTTCATAATACGTTGATAGAATGATATAAATGGAAACCATGTAAGTATTACTAATGATTTTTGAAAATAACCACGACGAACATTACGATCTTTTACTTGACGAAAATAGACGAAACCATAGAAATAGGATTTATCCACCTTGAGTAAGAGAAATTATGAAAATTAAACATTTTTTTCTGTTCATTCATTTGACATACTTGAAGTAATGATAAACATTTAGAGTTAAATTCATCGTAATAACATTCATATTTTGTTCGTATCGTTTTCGTTGCCAATGCCAATGATGATGATTGTGGCTGGCAACATTTTGTACGGAAATGAAATTGTGTATCACCCATACAACCGGAATTGGAATCGGGAAAAGATAGATAACAAATATTCGACATCTATAAATGATAAACAAATAAAAAATTAATCAACAGACAAAATATCAAAATAACAAATACTGAATCTCAATTTACCTCTTTTTCAGTGAGTTGAGCATGTTTAGGATATATACACTATATACAGACGAAAACAAAAACAAATTAATCAAAAGTAAATTTTTTTTTTCGTTTACCTCGATCGATTGACCAATTTCAATATCAAAATTAACAATAGCAATACAATAGATCCATTTATTGTAATGTTTATCGTCATCATCATCGAGATCATCGATGTTGTTGCCATGATTTTGATGATGATGATTATCACAGCCATTATTAACATTATCATCATCATTGATAATAATATCAACATTTTCACTGCCAACAATAGCCATTCGTTCATTTATAATAATTTGTTCATCATGTGATAATGGTGGTGTAATGGTAAAATCATTTTCATTGTCATTAGAGGTTGTTGTTGTTGTTGAGAATTTCAAATTCAATTTTGATTCATTGGAATATTCCATTTTTCGTTCATTCATCTAGAATAATCTAAAGACAGTGAAAAAAAAACAGTCTTATCATCATCATCATCATCATTGGATTAAAGTGAATTTTTTTCAATTCATTTTCATCATCATTGAATATATGAGAGGGGTTTGAGTGAGACGCAAACGCATACAAAAAAACCAGAAAAGACAACAACTATATTTGACCTAGATATTTGATTGACTTGAAAGGAGTTTTTCTCGAAGAATATCGATGATTATAACATTTAAGCACACACACACACACACACACACACACTTGCACCTTTATATGACAAATGACGATGAAAATTTTTGTCAAAAATGATGACTCTTGAGAATTTCAACTGAAAATTATTCATTTGATTTAGGTTGAATTCAGTTATTTTTTTCTCTTTACCACAATACTATGGATTTCCTTTTTTTTCAAAATTGCGTTTATAGAAATGGGGAAAAAAAAAAGAAACCAGGACAGGTAAGAGAGAAAAAACCGGTATTTTTTTGTGTATGAGCGAAATTTTCAGGTCAAACCAGATTTCGGTTACATTTTGCGGGTTCTTATTGTCTTGGCGCCTTTTGTTATTTATTTTTTGGATTGGATTTTAAATTTGAATGAAATGAACACGAAAAACTAAAATAATCAGCAATCATTCACTTTTTATCAAGAAAAAAAAAATGAAAAGTGAATGAATGTACCATCATCATCATCATGTGATTGCGGTAGACATTTTATCAAGTATGAATGAATTAATCATACAGAGAGACAGAGAGATGGACTTTGAATATATTTTTTTCTCTCTTCAAACGTGTCAACGTTTTTCAATGATAACTTTTTTTCATTAACATTGGCTTCCTGCGTAAATTTTTTTTATTTCATTTCATTTGTTGCTTGTTTTGTTTCAAGAATTTGATTGAAAAATTCTGTTTTTATTCTCGAATATGCAGTCATTTATATTGGCCAAACAAAAAACTTACAATTTAAATGAATCGTTGTTTTATATTTCGATGTCGTACGGGTCGATCGATCAGCTACAGTATTCACTAGCCATATTTGATGATGATGATGATGATGATGATTGGAATTGGATCAAAATTGATTGTGAAGAAAAAAGAAATTCAAAACAACAACAACCACGACGATAAAATGTTGTGGACAACTTAATAAAATTGACAAAATTCAACAATGACTACGACGACGACGACGACGAAAATTTTATTTTGTCGTTGTTTAGCCTTTTTGTTGTCGTTCCAAAACATTAATTTTTTTTTTGTTTTGTTTGTTTGTTTGTTATGCGAAATATTCGTGTAAATATAAAACAACAACAGTGTCTCCGTTTGTTTGTTTGTTATTTTTTTCTGTTTGGATTGTGTGTGTTGTGTTTGTTCCATGGCCAAATGATGATTATATTATATGGATGATGAATGGAATAGCAGTGTTGTAGTGGCAAACGAAATATCATCTACAGTAACACTTTGATTACGCACACAGAGAGAGAAAGAGAAAACAATCATGTTCCACAATTGGATTGTTATAACACAAAGTGAGGATATATTATATCAATGTATGACCGTATTCAACAAATTTTGTAACAATATTTATCAAAAAAAAAAAACACGCGTGTGCAGAAAAAAAATATGATTCACATACATACATTTTATTGCTAAATGAATTTCAATTGAAATTTGAAATCTTTCATCTTTCATTTTATTATTACATAAAAAAAACAGCCTACGGTTTTCATTCGAAAGAAATTCGATGAAATTCTTGTTGTTTTTTTTTTACTTTGAAAAACACAGAAACACAAAACTCGGGTTTGGCATTGTTTAAAAATTGATTTCAATTTTACGGAAATTTAGTTTTTTTTGCCATTCTAGATTACGTCATCCATGACATTTAGAAAAGATGAAAAAAAATACTAAATTTTTCGGGGTTAACCCCATGTTTGTTTGTTTGTGTGTGTGTGTGTAATGGGTTTTTTTCTGCTTTGCTTCAATTGTCTGTTGAATCAATACAGATTTGACCAATTCATCAACATTTATTTAAAAAAATATACAACAACAATGGATAATTGAATTCAAACCAGAAAAACTGAATTTTCGCTTGAATGAAATTGATGAGCTTCACTTGACTTTGGCATATGGTGTGTGTGTGTTTTGTATTTTTGCTTCACTTGATTTGACTTGTTGTTGTCGTGGATATCGTGTGTGTTGTGTGTATGTGTTCGTGTGTCTGTATTTCGTATACGACGCATAGCATTTTTCTTCTGTTTCTAAGAGTCCAACAACAACTTGTTGTTGCTGTTATCGGTTTTTTTTTGTCAATTTAAGATTTCTCACTCTCTCGCAGTTATTTATTTCTCTAATCGATACAAAAACAAACATAAATTTCGCAAAAAAAAACTCACAAACAAATGGATTAAATATAAAAAAATCTGATGATCTGATTCACTGTTTGTTGTGTTTGTGTAGGCGCTATTTCATTGTTGTTGTTTTTTTTGTTTGTCTGTTTGTCTCAAATTTCAAAAATTTATTTCTGTTTTTCTCTCATCTGATGACGTGTTGAATGTTTATTTTTCACTTTTTTTTTGTTCACACAACAATTGTTTTATTATTTCATCGATTTCGATTGTAATGTTAATCGATATCGATGTTGATGATGATGATGATGATGATGATGATTTTCATATCAAAACCGATCAAATTATCAACAACAACAAAATTATTATGGCTAAAATTTTATTGTTTTTTATTCATTTTTGTGATCTACATAATCGATAATGGTTATAATTGTATCAACAACAACAACAACAAAAATGAAACAACAACAACAACAGCAGTGAAAACGTGGAAAAAAAATTTAAATTATCAACAAACCATATTATTCATGCAACAATTGAAAAATGATCATCCAAAATTAGTGCAATTAATATCGTTAGGAAAATCTGTAAAACAGAATGATATATGGTTATTACGTTTATCTACTGAACAAAATCATCGCAATGAACATTTTGATGATCATGAACAATTATATAAATATTATGATCAATCAAGACAGTTGCTACGGCCAACCGTAAAATTATTGGCCACAATACATGGCAATGAACCATTGGGTAAACAATTATTACTGGCATTGGCTGAATATTTGGCAATTGGTTATAGCCACAATAATGACCAAAGAATTGTTCGTTTACTGAATACAGTAAATGTGGAATTAGTACCAATAGTGAATCCGGATGGATTTCAACAAGCCAATGAAGGTGATTGTAATGGAATCCGATCGCCCCGATATCGTTGGAATGGACGTGAAAATGCCAACAATGTGGATTTAGATCAAAATTTTTTCATCTCACTAGATGATGATCGAATGAATTATTCAAAACAATCAATCGAACCAGAAACATTGGCCATTATGACATGGATTATAACGAATCCATCATTGATATTATCAGCCAGTATTCATACTGGTTTAAAAGTTGTTTCATATCCATTCTATTATCAACATATGAAAACAATGGATGATTTATTATTTAGAAAAATTTCAAAAAATTATATTGATTCTTATAGAAATGCACAAGATTTTCTTAATAATAGCTGTATGCAAAGTGAACATTTCATCGATGGTATTTCCATGGGCCATGAAATGGAACTGGATGATCCAAGTGATGATGATGATGATCAACCGCAACCTATTACTGGTAAGTTTTCATTTCAATTGATTGATTTATTGATTAATTTATCCTTTTTCACTCGATCACACGCACACACACACACACACAGGTACAATGTCAGATTTTAATTATCTAAATACAAATTGTATGGAAATTGATCTTTATCTTTCTTGTTGTAAATATCCCAATTCATCTGTATTGGAAACAGAATGGCTTGATAATCGTGAATCTTTATTGAAATTTATTGAAACAGTATGTTATAAGAAATTGTTTTATTTACACAAAATAAAATCGAATCATTTGTTCTGTTGTTATTTTTTATTTCAGGCACATTGGGGAATTAAAGGAATAATTTTGGATGAAAATACACATGAACCAATAAAATCAGCAATAATTTCCATTGGAAATAATGATGGTGGTCATAATATAACATCATCATTACAAGGTGAATATTGGCGTCTATTATTACCTGGTAGCTATTCAGTTACTGTTTCTGCATTTGGTTATGAAACAAAAACATTGCCCATAACTGTTGACAACATGGATCCAACCACGGCAACTATTCTGAATTTTACATTAACACGTCGTTCATCATCTTCATCAGCCACAAACATTACATTAGCTGATCATAGAATCTCAGATTCGATTGAAAAAGAAGATTTCATCAATTCATTATTACCGGATTTCGTAACACCAACCAGATTTATTCATCATAATTACGTTGAAATGGAAAAACTTTTACATGAATTTCATAGAAATTTCAGCCATATAACAAGACTTTATTCAATTGGCAAATCAGTCGAGAAACGTGAATTATATGTATTGGAAATAAGTGATCGGCCTGGAGAACATGAAATTCTTGAACCAGAATTCAAATATATTGCCAATATGCATGGCAATGAAGTTGTTGGACGTGAAATGATTTTATTATTTGCAAAATTATTATTGGAAAATTATGGTCATCATAAACAAATTGATTGGCTTGTTAATAATACACGTATACATCTGATGCCAACAATGAATCCAGATGGTTATGAACATTCACGTTTAGGTGATTGTGATTCCCTTCATGGTCGTGGTAATGCAAATAATGTTGATCTGAATAGAAATTTTCCCGATCAATATCGTACTTATCGTGAAAATCGTGTACAAGAAGTAGAAACACTATCAATGATGAATTGGCTACAACAATATCCATTCGTATTGTCAGCAAATCTACATGGTGGTGCATTAGTTGCAAATTATCCTTTCGATGGTAATAATGGTACTGATGATTATTATAACGGAACACCAGATGATCAATTATTTCGTCATCTTGCATTAACTTATTCAAAGGTTTGAATTTTTTTTTGTTTTATGAAAAAATTTCTTAATTTCTCCATCTTTAGAATCATCCACATATGCATAAAGGCCGTTGTTATAAGAAATGTGCCGATAATGATCTTTCAAATGAATATTATCCAAACGGTATTATAAATGGTGCCGATTGGTATGCTTTATATGGTGGTATGCAGGATTGGAATTATCTTCATACAAATTGTTTCGAAATCACCGTTGAATTGGGTTGTCAAAAATATCCATTAGCTAATGAATTACCGAGATTATGGCAAGAAAATCGACGACCAATGCTCGTATTTATTAAACAAATTCATCATGGTATTAAAGGTGTTATTCGTGATGCCACAAACAATGGATCCATTGTTGATGCTGAAATTCATGTAAATTGTTCAACACATACTGTAAGATCAGTATCACCATATGGTGATTATTGGCGTTTATTATTACCTGGTTCATATAAGATTACTGTGACTAAACCAGGTTATAAACCGGTAAGCCGGATAGTGACAATAATCGACAATGATAATAATAATAATAATGAAGCAATACCAATGCCAATGATAATTGATTTCATATTACATCCATTACTTCGTAATCAACGACAATCTAGTAGTGATTCATTTTTCATATTCACCATTATCGTATTGATTATATTTTCCATCATATTTTTTACATTCTGTATGTCAATCGTATGGTGTCCAATGGTCATTATAACCATAATGGATCGTACAAAATTACCATTCAAACTATGTTTTGATTGTACAAATCTACGACAATTACTTGCAGTAACAACAACAACAACAACAAACATAAATGGGCGAAAAACAAATACATTTTATTATTCCAAATTGAATAATGATATCATTTTGACCGACGACGACTATGATTATGATGATGATGATGAAGAAAATATCATGTTGAAAAGGTGATCAATCAATTGATTGATTTCTACAACAACAACAACAACAACATAAAGATCATATCGACTAGTCACAAAAAACAACAAAAGAAAGAGAGCAAATATTTATTCAATCTGAAAAATGAAAATTGCTGAAAATTTATTTTTTTACTTTTTACTTTTCTCCTGTATAAATCTATTATTTATGCAAAATAAAATTCATTTTTGCGTTTCAACAAAAAAAAAGAAACGCAAACTTGAAAACCTTGGATTTTTATTTTGCCGTTATAGGCAAAAAAAGAAAAGAAAAGAAAAGATTTTGATGAAATGCAAATGTTTGCAGTAGCAACGATGGCAGTGATGGAAATTCCAGAAATTTTTTTTTATTATTTTTTTTACAACCGAATCATCACTGTATTTACCACTACTTTAGGATAGCGTATGGCGTACCACTTAATTTCTCGTCGTTGATTATTGCATTTTGTTTTGTTTTCACTGCAATGCCATGATTTGATCCATGGCAAAAGTATTTTCCAACTATGAATGTATGCGTATACCAAAAAAAGAAAATATTTGAGTCTCGAGAATCAACAACAACAACAACGATGAAATGGAAAAAAAACAAATCTAAAACGTCATCATCGATATGAACCATTTACGATTTTTATCATCATCATCATTATCAAGTAAATAATGTGGCAGTTTGTGTGTAAGTGTGGAGGGTAGGTCATATAAGAATTTTTTTCATTTCTTTTTGTGAAAAAAGAACCATTTACGGAAAAAAACCCAAAATGTTGATCTTCTCAACGGGTTTTTTTTTCTTATCGCGCTCCAGATAATTGAATGAAATGTGATCAATCAATCAATCAATCACCAACAACAAAACAATTGTCAACAAATGAAAAAAAGAGACAATTTATCTTATATCAACATAGGACGTTCCACGTTGTCATTTTTGGATTTCGTTTCTTTTGTGAACATTCAAAAGAAACGAAACGAAATTTTCATCAAATTTCAAATGATTTGTAAGTAGAAAAAAATTGCATGATTTTAGATTCATTTTGATTTTTATTCCATTTATAATTAGGAATATTTCATTCAATAAATTTGAGATGAAAAAAAGTGCAATTTCGGCTTGAATTTACTCAATAAAACGTTTGCCTTCCCATAAAAAAAACATTTCAACAAATTCAAAATTTCCCGGTGAATTGATATTCAATTGATTTCGTTAATTGTGGCCAAAGAAAATTTTTTTTGTTATATTTTTTTTCATATTCCGTTGAAATTTATCATCATCAAATCAACCAACAAAATTTTGTCCATCGAATCGTTTAAAATTTTACTTTCAAATCGGTGAGCGTTTCTTTTTTTCTGTTTATATTAACTCATTCAATGTTTTTCACCAAAATCATTTTTCTCGATTCTTGATGATTTCTTTTCTTTAAAAATTCTGTTTATTGTGCAGAACACACACGCAGACAGCGTAATAAAGTTTATTTACGATTATTTGTGTGTGCGTTTCATGAATTCAAATTGCTATTTTTAGTAACAACAATGAAAACCAGACTATACTGATTTTCTTTATTGTTCATTTCAAATGCTCTGATTCATTTCCGAGAATGAAAAAAATGATTTTTTTCCTACTGTTTCTGGCTTAAATTCAACAAAATCTAAACAATTATCATCCGGTGCGAGAAATGTAACAATCTAAAGATTAAAGAGAATGATGATTCATTCAATCAATGAGAATTTATCAAAACATGAATCGAAAATCAATGAAATAATGTTGTAAATCTTGAAGAATTTCCTACTTTTTTATGTGTGCGTGTGTATGAAACGATTGATGATTCAAATTGTCAAGATGATGATTAAAAAATAAGATAATGGTCACGAATTAGTCATCATTGTGTAGAATTTCGTAATAACCCTCTCCGCCCACACACACACACACACACACTTGTATTATGTACCTGAATTTATGAGAAAGCCAAAAAAAAAGATTATGGTGATATGGTCGATGACCAATCTCAGTTCAATGAACATGTGATAGATGATGATCATGAAAATTAGAATAAAAAGTTATCGAAAAGGTCTCCACAGCAGGAGAAAAATCAAAATTTTTTTGTTCTTTCAAAGTTAAAAACCGGTATATGTAATCTATCGATGATGTACACATTTGCCACATCTCACAAACACATAGCTGGAGATAGATAAAGAGAGAGATCGAGAGAGAGAGAAAATCTTTCAAAACTGGGTGTGTATGAATTATACAGACACACACGTTCACATTATTGCGATTCTTTCTATCGATTCGTAAACATTTTTTTTTTTATTTGCATAATAATTTTCGAATCTAACAAACAAATTGGCATCTAGAGCACCATCATCATCATCATCATCGTTTTAGTTTTCTTGATGATTTCTTCATCTTACCAATTGAATGACTACGTTGATGAATCATCATCATCAAGAGAAAAAAAAATTCAAGGACATAATCAAAAAAAAAATCATTTGATCAATCAAACGTTTGGATCAGAGAATAAAAAATTTCTAGAAAAATTATGACTTTCAACCATCGCAAACAACAATTAATATCATTCATATATTTATTCATTTGATTCACATGAATACAAAAGAATAAAGAATCTCATCATCATCATCAAAACTACAGATTGAAAAGTCAATTACACCACTGTACAATGTGTAATTATCTTATTAAAAGGGTGTGTAGAAACAACAACAACAACAACAACAACAAAGAAGCATCCATTATTATTTTGGCGCCATTCTCCAAAAAAAAAAAATCATTAAATCCAATCTACCATTTTGCCTTGTAGTTGAAGAAAAATTTGTCATTGGAAAATATCAACAACATCAACCACATCGATAGCATGGTAGTATTTGTGGCGTCATAATATGGTGTGCATGTGTACATGCATTAGCTGTTAATCACATCATGGTTACTGGTTCTCTTTTCTATTTTTGTTGTTGTTCATATTACGCGTCCAGTGAAAGAAAAACAGATATATAGTGGAATGAATGAAAAAAAAACAAACGACGATATATCGTTATATGGTTAAATCAACTTTTGAATTTTGGTCGTTTTCTTTCTTCTTTAACAGTATGCCTCTGGTGTTGTGGTATATTTTTGTTTTTCTTATTTTTTTTTGCATTCACATCATCATTAATGTGTGTTTTGTTTAGTGTTCAGCAACAACATTTTGTTGTTATCGTGTTTTTTTTTTCTTTTGATTTTTTCTCAAATCGAATCGAATCAAATGTGTCGTATATATGATGATTGATATCGAATCATTTGATCATGATCCGTTTCCTGTTCAAAGTTTCTAATAAAAGTTTGTTTTCGTTAATAATATACACAATACTACTACCCTGATGACAAAGTTCAATTCATAATGATCAACCAGAAGAAAAAACAACAACAACAACAACCAACAATTTTCATTTGGCCATCATTTTGAATTTTATTTTCTCCTTTTTTTTCTTATTATTATTATTATCAATCAGTCGATCAATCAATTGATCGATCGATATATTTGACGACAAAATAAACATTGTACATTTCATGTCTGTCATGAGTTCAATGTGTTTTCATGTGTTCAATTGTTGATTTTGTCTAAAACTACCACTATAGTTGAACTTGTTTTTGAATTGAAAAAATGGGTTAAGTTTAAAGTTTTGAAATATGATACCCAAATATATGAAATTTGTTTCTCTCTCTCTCTCTCTCTCTCTCTCTCCATGTGTATGTATGACCAATTTTGATCAGATCAAATTAAATATTCGGTCATTTTGTTTGTTTCATCCTGTTTGTTACATTTAAAAAACGAACGAATTTTTTTTTGTTCTTGTTTTTTTTTCGTTATTCCGGTTCAGACAAATCGTTCAGAATTGATTTTTTTCATTTTGTTATCATCAAAATTTCATATTTCGTACATGTCAACAAACTGGTCTAAATCTATCTTTTGTATTGTTTGTTTTGTTTATTTATGTTCATGGTTTGTTTGTTTGTTTGTTTTTCATACATACAGAAAATTAATTAATTCGCAACTTATAATGAATCATTCAATGTGATTGAATCATAATCAAGTACATTACAGCATGCACAGTATTCGCGAATTTACATTACCGCTATATATGCAAAATATTTCCGCTGTAGTGTATTTCCTAACTACATTTATAATATTCAACTAAACTCAAAACGCATTTACATTAAACTAAACTCATCTGTTCGAATTGAGGTTCATCATCAATGACGTTACCACGCCACCACATTTCTCCCTCTACCCCCCCAACGCAAACCGGAGAACATCAAATTTACAATCATATGGAAAAAAATAAATAAATTACAATTCTTGAAAAATCAATAATTTCATAACGAAAAAAAAAATTTAAAATTTATTGAGCAATGAAATGTTATTTTTCAAACAAAATACCATAAACATCGACATTATGATCAATTGAGATTTTGTTTTTTTTTATTCTTCTTTCTGTACAAATTCATTCTCCCCTAGTCGTTCCTGACTAGTTCTAGGGGAAAAATTAAAATAAAATATTATTATTATGATCAATTGAAGTGAAATTATCCATTTTTTTTTTTTTGCCAGAAAGTTGAATTGAAATTGGAATTCGGTGACAATTTGACAATGGATTCAACAATTTTCCCTCCAACGAAACACTATCTTCAAGATATTTTATCAATGCCGAATCATCAAATCGTTTAAAATTGTTCGATTGTACGGTTACTTGGCCGAGAGGTGATCACAAGCAAGACATGAAAGAACGGATAGGATGTTATTACATTTATTAAAATTTTCCATTTCGATGTTTACTGATGTTCACCAAATCCTTTGATGATCGGATGTTCAATAATCAATTTCAATTTCCATTTTTGTAATCGTTCTGACTTTGTGAAAATCATAACAATTCCCTGACATAGAATTCCACCATTTTATCATAATCAAAATTAACGTAAAAATTGCTTGACGAATATACCAGATTCAGTGTTAATGTACCATCTTGATATTTAAATTTTTTTAACAGTATCCAATGGCTTACCATTAGTTTTCAATAATTCATCAATGTTGCTTGAACGAACAATAGATTTGTTTCTCGAAACAGAAATCGAATTACCACCAGAAATATTGGAATCATCAATACTATTAAAGGTTGTTGTTGATGATGTAACATCATTCAGAATGGATTTTTCTGGAACTTTATTCACAATCTTTACTGATGCTTTTGCTTTTGGTTGCGTGCTCAAATCACGTCCGGGTCACCAAATATGTAGCGTATTTCTCAACTACATTTATTCAACTGAACTCAAAACGCATTTACACTAAACTCATCTGTTCGGATTGGGGTTCATCATCAATGACGTTACCAAGCCACCTTACTATACTTTTTTTTCGTAGTTTGTTCGTTTGTGGTTTACTTGGTTATCAATGTTTATCTATTTCTTTTTTTTGTTTCGGATGTTGATATAAGAAAAACAAAAATATCTGGTGGTTGCCTAGTCAACCTTAAATGTAAAATTATTATTATTCGCATCCATAGTGACATGTTTATTAATTATCAATGATGATGATCTGATCTGTTTGTGTGTGTGTGCAAACATTTTTTTTTCTCTCTGTGCAGTGAATGTTTTCAAAAATCTAAATTCCATGACAATAATCATCATCAAGATCATCGATGTTTTTATTTTTTGGTCTTTTTTCGTTGGTGTTGTTGTTGTTGTTGTTGTTTTGTCAAATGGAAAAAAAATTTGTTAAATTATCACATTTTTTGGGCGTCATCATCTTTTATCTTTTCATATCTTAATGAATCATTTATTTATATCTATTAATAATTGGATTTTTTTTTCTTTATTCTCATTATTTATAGTGTAAGATAAATTCAACAACAAAATTAACACCTGTATTGCAGATGCAAACAATCGATAAATGTGGATTAATTTATTAGCGAGAAAAAAAATCATAAAAAAATGGCCATCTTAAATCACCGATTACGGAAAATATTCATATTATATCTCCTATTACATATGACTATTGATCCTGGTATTGATTGTTGGTCATTTGAAAAATTAAATTTTTTCCGCCCCCGTCAGCCATCATCATTGAATCTAATGAAACCGGAAAAAATGAAAACAACAACGCCAACGAATAAACAATTGTCATATATTGATAGTGAAAATATATTTCATTTTGTTTTAAATCCAAATAATGACACAATTAAAAATCAACAATTTCATTTGATCAATTTCACTATATCTGATCAATCATCACCATCATTCTATACAATGTATCGTACGAATGAAAATGAATTCTTCATCGGCAGCAATAACATTGTTTATCGTGTTGATTTAATTGAAAATACTGCTGATGATGATAATGATGAAAATGAATTTAAATTTCATCTATTTGGACAGCTATCTCTTGGACCATATGAAATAAATAGACAATGTATGCAAACAATCGATAATAATCGAACAAATCGACAACAATTGATCGATAATCAAATTATACAAATATTTCAATTTCATTCAACAATATTTGTTTGCGGTACCAATCGTTGTGGCTTGTGTGATGGTGTTAGAAAAGATTTTTCAAAGACAAAAATTTATGCATCAAGTATAAAAAATTTTTCCGGTGAATGTCAAGTTGATCTTCAGGTAAGTTCAATAATAGTCGCGTATCAATTTTTAATTTTTTTAATCAGTCAACCACACAATTGCCATCATCACGTATAAAAATGGCTATGAAAATGGACAATAATAATGCAGCAACGAATTATGATGATTATTTGAAACCGATAAATTTTATCAGCACATTAAATGGTCATCATGGATCATTGATATTTTTTGGTAAACACGATGATATTGATGTACTGTATACCGCTTATTCGAATGATGGACGTGATAAAAGCCTACAATTACCATTCATAACAGCACGTGTTTTGAATAACAATGGTTTTCATTATGTTCGTCATGAAGGAAATGAATGTTCAAGAATTAAATTAGAATCACAAGATTATCAATTTAATTTCATCGCTGGTTTTAATTATGATAATTTTGTCTATTTTCTATTCATGGAACATCATGAATCATCGAATAATCAACAATTACGTCTAGGACGTTTATGTGAAAATGATCCGCATCCATTTTTTTCCTATATGGAAATTACATTGAAATGTAATGATTTTTATTCATCACGTGTAGCACATTTATCACTTGCATTGAATGGTGATGAATATTTGGGATTCAAATTGAATTCATCACAAGAACAAGATGCACAATTGTTGATTAGTTTTAATAAAAATTCTGAACACGATGGTGAATCATTAGTATGTCAATTTTCAATGGCGAAAATTTCTGAACATTTTCTTGACGGTTTTAACCGTTGTACATTGAATGGACGTGGAAAATGGCTAAGAAAACTGACAAATTATGATACCGTACAGTGTAAAGAAACTACATTCAATAATAAATTATCTGGCGAACAGAATCAATGTCCATATACGAATGCTAATCGTTATATTGATTATGATATACCATTAGATGGTCAACCATTGATTAATATCAAAAAAGGTTTGAATTTTTTTCAATTCATTCGTTCATCTAATTTAATTTAATTCGATCAAAAAAATAGATCACATAACTTCATTGGGATCGATTTTTATCAATAATCAATATCAACATTTATTCGTTGGCACTACAAATGGTTTTCTATATAAATTCCTACGGAAATTGAATAAAAATCATGAATTAAAATTTAATTATCGTTTAAAATTGGATGAATCATTATTATCATTGCAACAGGTGTCATTTGATATTGAAACGGCAACATTTTATCTATTATCTTCACATCATCTTTATCGTTATCCAATAGTATCATGTTCATTATATAAAACTTGTTCCACTTGTTTTCAATCTAAATCATATCATACAGAATTATGTTATTGGCATAACAATCAATGTGTGTTGAAAAAATCGATTGATAATAATAAAAATCTCCAACAACCAACATGTGATCCTATTGTTCAGTCATTTGAACCAAAACAAGGACCAATTCAAGGCGGTAGTATTGTAAAATTTTACGGAAAGAATTTCGGTGAATCAAAATCAACACCAAATAGTTTCATACAAATCAAAATTGGCCATATACCATGCAATATTATCGATGGTAATGATACATTTGTTCAATGTCAAATTGCACGCAATGATTCAAATCATGAACATGATGCAACGATATTATTTTATGCACGAGATATGCTCGATTTTTCTAGACGACAATTTTTAATTAATGGTGAAATTGAATTGAATGAAAAATTTAGATTCTCCTCACCAATCGTATGTGGTATACATCCAACATTTGGACCATTTGCCGGCGGTACACAGCTGTTATTATTGGGTAAATATCTTGATATCGGATCGAACGTATCATTGAAATTAGGCGATCAACAATGTAAAACTGTAAGTTGAACAGGATAATAATTTTTTTTGGTCAAATTTTAATTCATTTTCATTTGAAAAAAATTATGTAGCTGACCAGAGGTCATAGATATTTTATCTGTGATACAATGCCATTGAATAATCATTCAGTGAATCAATTATTACATCCAGAACATAAGACCATTCAATTTAAAATTGATAATTTCGACACAAATCTTGGTAAAAATCGTGATTCATTCAGTTTACAATCACCAGAATTGATTTTCGATAATAAAATCAATAATATAGACACGTGTGAAGATTTACAACTGTTTTCGAAACAATCAAATGTAAAACCAAGACAACGACGAAGACGTCGTCGAATACATCGAAATCAAAATCAATTTCTGATGGAATCATCATCACTAGTGGATAGATTTTTGTTTCGTTTTCATAAATTGATTCAAGAAAATCAAACAATCGAATTTGACAAAATATTTCAATATAAACGTAATCCGAATCATATTAAACTAGATGATACGAATGCTGGTGGTTTTTATTCTGATTATTCTACTTTGAATTTTGATGGTACAAATTTTCAATCAATTTTGTATCCTGAATTGGAATTAATATTCAAATCAATAGACGATTCATCATCATCATCATCATCATTCAATTTAAATCAGAAAACAAAACACGTGTTTACCCAATGTAATTATCAACATCCAACCAAGTCACGTTCATCATATCTATCATGTTACATACCACCATTGAATTCATTAAATGTCGATGATTCATATTTGCCTTTACAAGCACAGTATATATTGCATTTAGATGACAATATTCAATCCAATGGCTCCGTAATATTTCATCCGGATCCAAAATTTTATCCATTAAATATGACAACCGTATCGGAATCGAATCGTTCATTGGTATTATTAGGAGAGAATTTATCAACAGATTTTCCAATTAAAATCATCATCAATGGATATTATCATTGTTATCCAAAAAAACGTGGTATCAACCATATTTATTGTGATGTTGATATCGCTGGTCAAGAATTAGATGATCTTATCGATATTCCAATGAATGTTACTGTTACAGTTGGTTCGAATACTACACGGTATGTTAATGAAATACGTATGTATTGATGAAGAAAATTTTTTTTTCACTTTCTTTGTAGTTTGGGTGAAATGGTATTCAAACCATATGTATCGGCATTCAATAAATCCAAAGCAATGATGCCCTACATTGTAATTGGTTTTCTAATCATGTTGACAACATTATTGATTGGCCTTTGTTTCATTTGGTTATACGTTCGGGATCATGTGAAGAATGAAAAATCAAATTTTAATAATAATACTGGCTATAATCTAATCGAAAGACCATTAACAATGTCCGAAATTGAAACACAAAATTTACTTGGTTTGTTTTATCATCAATGGATTTATGAATGGATTTTTTTTCAATATTTAATTCTTTTTTTCAGATGAAAGTTTTGAAGAAATTGAAAATGGTTTAGAATTACGTGAAGAAATCCAAAAAAAGAATTTAATATTAATCGATATAAATCGTTTGAAATTATTGGAACCATTGGGTGAAGGAAATTATGGTTTTGTATTCCGTGGCCAGCTGGATGATGATGAAAATAATGTTGTGGCTGTGAAAACAGTCAAAGATCCAAAATTCAAATGTTTTCTTTTGGATGAAGTGAAATTGATGAAAGATTTTCGTCATCAAAATGTGATGTCATTGAAATATGTGACGATCATATGTCCAATTCCACCATTGTATTCAGCACCATCATTGGCACTGGTATTTCCATTAATGCATCGTGGTGATCTTCGTAGTTATGTTAGTGATGATTCCAATTTACCATGTTTACGTGATCTGATCAATTATTCGACACAAATTGCTTCAGGTATTTGTACATTTTGATTTTTAGACAAAAAAAAATTGATTTTTCTGTTTTTATTCTGGCAAAAAGGAATGGATTATCTATCACAACAAAATTTCGTGCATCGTGATTTAGCTGCACGTAATTGTTTATTGGATAAAAATAATAGAGTTAAAATTGGTGATTTTGGCCTATCACGTCGTTATCAAGAAGATAAAACTTATTATAGAGCAACGAATAACGAAACACAATTACCATTACGTTGGATGGCATTAGAATCATTGACCGATAATTGTTTCACTACAAAATCCGATGTATGGTCATACGGAGTATTGGTTTGGGAACTATATACACGTGGTAGAGTACCATATCAAGATGAAATATCGAAATCAGCACCACAACCAGATACATTAATCAGATATCTTAGTAATGGTTATCGTTTACCTAAACCATGGATACCGGATATATTCTGGATTGTTAATATGCGTTGTTGGCTACCAGAACCAGAAGCTAGGCCAACATTTGCAGAAATTGTTGATAATTTATGTGAAATCACTAGATTATTTATTGCTAAACGTGCCAATATGGATCAAAATTGCAATAAATTATCACCACCATTGAATGGAACAACAACAACAACAACATTGAATTCTACTAATCCATCACAATTTTTCAATAATCCAAATCAACAATCGCCATCATCCACTGTATTCACATTGAATACACAATTCAATAATAATAATAATAATAATTTTTCACTCAATTTTGAAGATCCTTTCATAAAAAATCGTTTAACAAACATATTTGAATCATTAAGAAATGAATATCGATCAACAAAACAATTATTAGATGATGATCTTTATAGAGCGCGTTATGATTATTGTAATTTAAAACAAAATGATGATGGCCATGGAAATTTTCCATCCAATAATAAAAATACATTACGATCTAATCATAATCATCAACAACAACGGCAACAATCAATCAATAGTGGTGGTAGACAACAAAATTCATCAATTCAGCAATCATCTTTTCATCATCAACCAGAAGATTATGATCAACAAATAACAGAACCATCATCATTGCAACATCAACAACAACGACAACCAATGCATGATCCATTATTTCAGAAAATATTTGGTGCAAATACTACAGATAATGAGAATAATTCTCGCATTCAATCAATGATGATATCTAATGAAAATGATCAAAGTCCACCACCATATTTAGAGGCAACATCATTACCACCGAATACACCTACTACAATGATGATGATGGCGAATCAATTTGATTATAGTATACCAAGACCACAATCACTACCACCACCCCCACAACGACAACAACAACAACAACAACAACAAGAGACGATATTTTCTGCTCAATCACCATTTACAACAATTAACAATAATCAATCAAATTCAATAAATGAGAATGATAATAATCCAATGATGGTGATGAAACAAGAATCGGATCATAATAAACAAATGATTATGATGAGAAATGAATTTTCATCTAGAGGTGGTGGTAGTGTTGGTGGTGGTGGTGATACATTATCACCAACAAATCGTCTTTGATTAGATCTCTCAAGAGTCTTGTCTAATGAATTGAATGTAAAAAAAAAATTTATGGATCTCATCATTTTATTTTATTTTTTATTATTATTATTATTATTATGATTATTAAGAGTCATCAAAATCAAATTCACACCCACCCACACACCCACACACACACACACACACACACACACACACACACACACACACACACACATTCATAAGCAGCTAGCTGTCATAGATTTCATCGTGTGTGTGTGTGTTTGTCTATTTTTGAATATATGAATGTTTCATTTTCATCGTCATTTTTTTTTTGTACTTTTTTTCTATTTTGACAAGAAAGAGAGCTTATTTATTGATTTTGTTGAAATATTTACAACACAGTTGGTTAAGTTATGCAATAATTTTTTCGGTTATAATATTGGCTATTCAATTATTGTAATTATTTTATTTCTGTTTAGATGATTCGATCCATTTGATGTTTAAAATATTTTCTGATATTAACTGTCGAACCATATGATATTTTATGTCTATGTGCTTCAATCGAGATGGAATAGCAAGTTGTGTCAATTGAACAACTGCAGCTTGATTATCAATTTCAATTCAACATTTTCTGTTTAGATGATTCGACCTTCGTTTTCATGCATTTTGATGATAGCACAACGACGATCTGGACAATAAACGACAAACAAACAAAAATCAACTCTCCCCTTTCGACAACAGAAACGACAAAATCTTTTTGGCACAATATTCTTCGTTACTTTTTTTTGTTCGATTTTGCATCTGAGGAACACACACAAATTCCACGATCATGTGAATTCAGACCCATTGAACCACCAGAGTGTCAAGCTTATTTCAATTTATCATAAACTTCATATTTTGTTTGTATTTTTTTTCATGTAACCACCAATGTCACATGCCATTCCAGAAACAATATTTTCATTGACAGAAACAACTGGTTTGTGACTAACATCTGTCATTTTACCAGTATGACACGTTGAACAATAAGCAATATTATTACGAATATCTTTCGGTAAACCAATAATAGACTTGAGAGCAACCATCCTTTCCAACACTGATGTAGAACAATGGCACAATCTTTCATGCCATATCGCAAAATCATCAGAGGAAGCAGATGCCATGGTTATATTTTTGTGGACAGGACGAACATTTAGTTTATACAAATTTCGAATCTCACTAGTCTGTTCTCCCGTTAGAATTGGTTCTCCAAAACGATATACTGTTAGTTTTCCATCTTCTTCAACGACCTTCATTCCGGAATGAATACGAGGATTGGTTAAATTGCCAGATGATATCAAATTAAACGGTTGATTTGGTATAAACGCTACATCTAATAATTTGATATCTAACCAAACAGAACCATTGAAGAACTGACATAGCAATGTACCAAACTGTACATTCTCTTCAATGCCATGTATTGAATCAATACGAACATTACTTTTACGCACATCAGTCAACAAACTACGATCATTCACTATATGATAAGAAGCACCACTATCGCTATAAAAGCTCGAATTATTTGATGGCATTATTCCAGTCCAATTAACCAAAGTGATTGGATTAGCGGCGGCGCCACTTGGATCAACGTTTTGTTTCGGACGTCGACAATCTTTCGACATATGTCCAATCAAACCACAATTATAACACTTGCCACCAAAACGCTTCTTCTTCGTTTGTTTCTTTGTTTGTTTGGATGACGATGCTGATTTACGATTTTATCACCGAAAAAAAAATTATTTTAATTCAGATTTGATAATTACGAAACATTTTCAGAATTTTATCATCATTAAATGATGATGATGATGATGAATGATTGAATCGAAATGATTCAATTGGATCGTTGATGGCGGGCAATGTATTTGATGATGATAATTGATCGTCATTAAGCATTGAATTTGTTATTGCTTTTGCTCGATTACGTTGATTGTTATTATTCATCCAATGAATTGATGTTTGATTTGTTAATGATGAAAATTTTTCATATGAAATCGATAAACCAGATCGAAGCCAACGATCATATTGTTTACGTTTATTCACATCGATCAATGTATCTTTTGCTTGTAATAATTGACAAAATTTTTGTTCACGTTCTTTACGATCACGTTCATCATTGTTGGTTGCTTTATCCGGATGTAATTCCAGTGCACGATTACGATATTCGGCTATTATTTGTTCAGTCTATACACAAATGAAGAAAAATGATTTTTCATTTTAGAAAAATTATAAACCGATTCACATACCGTTGATCCTGGATCACAACCCAATATTGTATAATAATCAATGGATTCTTTATTATTATGATTATGGAGAATTTCATTGACAAACATTTTGACTTTTGACTTTTAAAGAGTTGTTGTCGTTGTCGTGGTGGTTGTTGTATTGGAATGAAAATCAATGGAAATTGAATTTGATTTCTTTTCTTCTTTTGGTTTATATAGTGGTGGACGAATCGAATGAATCGATGACGGAAATTATGACGTAAAAAATTCTATATAGTCATTTTTTTCTGGTTAAAATGAATTGTCTATGTGCGTGTGTGTGTGTGTAATAAGTAATTGAAAATGATGCTGAATTGATCCAGAAAAATCGATGATAATGATGCATCGTTTGTATTCGTTCGTGTTCGTCATTTATCTATTTTTGTTGAGCATCGAATCACACACACACACACACACACATCATTCGGTGCATAAACGAATTACGAACGAAAAAAAATCCAAGGCCAAATATCATAGAGTAGAATGGCAAGTTTTTCTGTTGCAATTTAACAGCGAAAAGAGACAATTTCATCTTTTTTACAATTTTAGCTTTTGAAACATGATTTTTATTTCAATTTAATTAACATTATTTTTAGTTTCATTTTCATTTTTATTTGGATCATTTACAATTATTGATTCAGAATTAGCTATCGTTATACGTTGTTGTTGTTGTTGTTGTTGCTGCTGTTGTTCTTGATCAGCAATGGCAGCATTAGCTAAACGATCAGCTTCTTCATTACCCGGCACACCAGAATGACCGGGTACTGAACGCCAAATTACTTTTTTCATTTGTCGAATCGATTCATCCAATGCCATCATATCATAACGATTTTTCACTTCCGAACCGGATGATGTCATCCAACAATTACGTTTCCATTTATATAACCAAACAGTTGCTGTTTGTATGACAAAATGCGAATCAGAATAAATGATAATTTCATTAAGGCCCAGTTGTTTGGCTTGCCGTAATGCATATATTGCTGCCCAAATTTCAGCACGAATACTAGTCTGTCGTCCATCGATTGTAAGACTTTGATTCTGTTCAGGTGAACCAGGCCAATAAATACCGATACCGGCACAAGCATCTGGTGCGCCATTACGCCAACATGAACCATCAATATAGACGATTGATGATGAATCAGAATCTAATGATGTCATTTCGATATTATCATCATGATGATGATGATGATGATCAAATTTTGTTGTTTTCGTCAACAATTCGTGATCTTGTAATGGTAATGGTGTTTCTATCGGTGTTTTCTCTAAATAAGCTATCGCTTCATTATGTGTATCAAAACGTCGATATTTTGCATTCGATATATTATCAATTTGAACTTTACATGATGGCCATGAACGATAGATACCAACACGGCGGCCAACAGCTACAGCATAGAATTTTGGTTCATGAAATTTTTTAATCTTACGAATTTGTCGAATAATCGATGGTAATGCATGATTATAGAAATAGCCATATGACATTTTCTTTCACTGATTTTAAAACATTGGAAATTGGAAAAAAAAAGATTCACATCCACAAAATCAACAAGAAAAAAAAATGTGTTATAAGTGATGAAATGAAAACAAAATATCCTACCATCTAGTGGTCAGCGATCGAATGAAAATTGAAACAGCTGAAATACTTGTGGCATTGAACTTCAATTTCATCTAATCTAATCTAAAATAAATAAAAAAAGGGACATCATTTATGTGGTCAGCTTGCTCAACAATTATCAACAAAATTCAACGCTAATCAATTTATCGATGCAAGTTATTGCCATGTACTTCATGTGAGAACAAAAAAAGGTACATTTTTTTTTCCTTTTGCAAAAATTCTAATTTTCATTCAAAAAAAAAAAAAACAGATTTCTGGTACCCGTAAACAGAAGTACCTATAGTAACGGATCATCATTTGATCGAATTCGAAAATTATTTGATCTATTTCATCGTAAAATTTGATCTTTGTATCCATAATATTGATATAATTTGATTATTGAAATGATCAGGATGATCATCCTCAATGACGACAACAAATGTGGACGAAGACGGTGACGACGACGACGACGACGATGATGATGATGATGATGATGATGAATAGCCTTGATCAAGCCGTTTGTTGTTGTGGTTGTTTCAATATTGATCATCATGATAATGATTGTTTCAATTATGCGTATGTATCGTATGTGTGTGTGTGAATTAAAATGAAAACGTTTGCTGATTATCAATTAGTACAAGAAGAAAAAAGAAAAAATTTTCATGCATAAAACCAACACAACACATAGACCAACATTTTGAATTTTCAACGTTTAGCCATTTTTTTTATAAATAAAAAGAGAGAAAATTCATCATCAATCTTTATGAATGAAATTTTTTCCTTTTACATAACTTGAAAAACCAAAGATTCTTTCCAGCCAAACAACAACAATGTTATATCATCATCATTTAGCATGTAGATCATTCATAATTGTTCGTGGTCACCATTACTCAACAAATTCATTATTCAAATATCATCATTTATCACGATTATTTCATCTGAATCATTATCAAAAAAAATTTCATTATTCATCATTATTATCTACTCTACGAAGAACATTATCATCACAATCATCGACATCAACAACAACATCGGATTTAAAATTTGCACGACCAAATGTTTATGATACAAATTCCATTACGATAAATGGTTTAAATAGTAATCTGGAAAAATTACAATACATTTCCACGTTGATTGTACAATTATCAACTGTACGAGATATTACACAGGTAACACACACTCACACACAATCGATTACCAATCAATTGATTTTATCATGTTATCTCCATGTTATAGAAACAATCAGAACTTGCATTAGAATTATGTAATATTTATTATGATTCAAATCCATTGGAACGTTTTCGTTATCTTTGTTTTCTATCCGATGAATTGTCCACAACTATTGATGTTGCTTCGCAAGCTAGTTCAAGTTTTCTACAAACCCAGCAACGTCAAGAACCATATGATGCAGCATTACTGGTTGATCGCCTGCAAAAACAGATACGGCCACAATATTTGGATCTATTTCGACAAATATCACGACTGCCGATTGGAGTGAAATTTTTAGTCGATTTACGTAGCGATCTAATCACAGTGCTATCACATCCACAACTAGTTTCAGAATTGGGACCATCAAGTAAAGTTTATCTCCGATTATTATCATCACAATTATCCGATCTACTTTCATTGTGGTTTAATGCCGGTTTTCTTCGGCTTGAACGTGTAACATGGGATTCACCTACATCTATTTTACAAAAAGTAAGTTCGAAAAAAATGAATTGAATCGAAATTGAAAAATTTTTTTCATTTTGTTAGATAACCGAATATGAAGCCGTTCATCCAATACGTAATTGGTTGGATCTAAAACATCGTCTTGGCCTATATCGTCGTTGTTATATGTTTTCACATTCATGTTTGCAAGGTGAACCATTGGTTATTTTGCATGTAGCACTGGTGCCATCCATTTCATCATCAATACAGGTTTCATTTGTTTACTGTTTGTTGTTGATCAAAATTTTCAACTTTTTTTTACGTTTTTAGGAAATCATTTGTCGAACAAATCTTCAACAAGGTAATGATAATGATATTACCACCGCCACATCATCATCAATAACATTGAATGGATCATTATTATCTGAAGATCATCATAAACATCATGATGCATTAAGTTCACCAATAGATGGTCCCACCTCATCGTCAACAGTGACAACAATCATTAATGGAAAAACATTTAAATTACAATCATTTTCACGTTCACCAAAAGTACATCAACAGATTGAAGATCCAAATCTGGTTGATGCTGCTGTTTTTTATTCAATATCATCAACACAAAAAGGTCTAAATGGTATTGATCTTGGTAATCAGCTAATTAAACAAGTGGCGGGTGGTCTAAAAGCTGAATTTCCATTAATGACACGATTCAGTTCACTGTCGCCTATACCAAATTTTACTGAATATTTACTCACAGCTATTCAAGCAATACAACGACAAGATGATTCAAAAGGTTTTCGTAAATTGTGGATGCGTTATTCTGATTATGAACGACTTTGCGGCATATTGGCCGTGAAAGATGAACAAACATTCTGGAATCGTCTGATACAATTATTACGTTCTGGTAATTGGATAACGGATCAGACATTGGTCGATTCATTTCGTGAACCATTAATGCGTATCTGTGCTCACTATTTGTATCACGAAAAACGTCGTGGTTATGCATTGAATCCAGTGGCAAATTTTCATATGAAAAATGGTGCCGTTATGTGGCGATTAAATTGGTTGGCCGACATATCAACACGTGGCCTTTCGAATTCTTGTGGAATGATGGTTAATTATCGATATTTTCTTGAACGCCACCATGAGAATAGCCAAATTTATATGAATGAAAAAAGAATTATAACTGGTGATCAATTTGAAAAATGGTTACCATAATCAATCAATCAATCATCACCTTTTTAATTTGAATTTAAATTATGATAAAAATTTCAACTTTTTTCAAAAAAAATTGATTTTAAATCACATGAAACTTAATTTCGTGTGTGTGTGTTGAAAGTGTCTGTCGAATGTGAATACAAAAGAAGAAAGCGAGATGATCGAAATAGAAAATGTTTTCAGGTGGGTCTGTGTGTGTTTGTGTTTGTTTGTTTGTGACAAAGAAAAAGAAAAATGAAATGATAAACACAGAGAAACAAACGAAAAAAAACAAAAACATGTGAAAATAAATAAGTGTGTCTGTCGATATTGCTGATATTTGTGTGTGTGTGTGTATGTGTGACTTTGGTATTCATCAAAAAAGAAAGAAAGATTGGAATGTGTGACATCTATTTAGAATCGAAAATTGTCGAAAACTGATATTTTAGTGTTCGGGTGTGTGTGTGTGTTTACAAAATTTGACAAAAATGAATGTAGAATGATTATCGATAAAAGAAGGAGAAAAAAAATCAGATGTGTGTAGTTGTCTCACTCTCGGTCTGTTGTTTGTGTGTGCCTCTTTGAATAAATTCGATTATCGATAATCGAATTCAATTATGTATGGTGTAAATTAGTAACCATACATAATGATCAGATCAGATATGAATTTTCAAACGAAACGAAAAAAAATGAAAGATAAATTATAAAACTAGATATATATGAGGAAGGAGAGAAAAAAAAGATAGGAAAAAAAACTTTCATTTCCATGTAATATTGTAGCCATTCCAAATTGGACTAGGTGCTAAATAGACACGATAACCACGATAGATGAAACCGACAGTTCCCTGATAACCGGTACGCGGTACGCCCGACTAAATAAAATCAAAATTTTGATTTACTTTTTCGTGAAAGAAATAAAATTCTTTTTTTCTATATATATACCTTAAAATCATCCATTAAGCCGAACATTTTGGCAGCTTTTTTAAATTGATCCCTTGTTTCGTATTGTATACGAACCGAATATTTTGATGCAATTGGTGATCTTGTTGTTGTTGTTCCATTGTTGCCATTGACATTGCTATTGTCATGGCCATTGATTGATGGTCGTTGTTTTTGTATTAAATCATTATCATAAAGAATAGGCAAACTTTTTATATCATACAATGAAATTAATCGACTATTATAGACTTGTTTTAAGAATTCAACATCATAATTTTCCTGTGGCAGAAAAAAAAAATTGAATGAAATCATCAATTATTATTTCAAATGTATATACATTTCTCACATACCTTTAAAAGATAAGATAGATTCATTTTAGTAAAAGGCACAAATTCTTCATTCAATTGAATGAATTTTAAATGTTTTTCGAAAAATAAACCACTAGAAATGACAAAAGAGAGAGATAGAGAATGATTATTTTCAATTTTAATGCAAGTTGAATAGATTCTACTTACTTGGAAACACCTTTTTTACCAAATGTACGTGTTCGTGATATTTCCGGTCGTATACAGGCTCGATTTCTTCTCTGTTCTGGTTCACGAATCCAATCATCCCAGAAACTAGTGATAATAAAATTCAAACAAATTAAAATTAAAAAATTAATTTCCCATTTATTTTTCAAAACTTACGCTTTAGGCCATTTATGTTGAAATTCAAGCCAAAGATTTTTTGTCAACATCCAACCAAGACCGGGAAAAAAATCCGAACGAAACAGTTTGGCTATATGAAATGAGATGGTTAGAGAAAATTGATATTTTCAATTATAAAATAAACACATACTTGAATCTTCTTCAATCAACGATGATTTACCATTATCATTCCAAGCTGAGATACAATAAAGGCTAGGATCAGAACGTAGTATGGGATATAATGCAAGAAAATATTCAAAAAAATCCGGCGCAATATCGAGATCATCTTCAACAATCAATACGGTATCATAATTCAACGTATTGAATGTATAATTTAATGCCCAACCATAATGGCGGCTAATTTTGTAATAACCTTTGAATTTTTTCTGATTCTTTCCTTTCAATATGATATCAGATTGATCTGGTTGCTGTATGAATGTCAGCCTATCACCATATGATTCAATTATTTCTCTTGTAGGTTCATGATTACAATCTTGGCTAACAACGATGGGAAATATTTCCGAATCATTACGATATTTGAATAATTGTTCCAAATTACGTTTGATTGTAATTCTATTGCACGCAAATAATAATACACAGATAATGGGTTTCTAAACAAAAGAGAAAAATTTATGAAAAAAAATTTAACAAGAAAAAAAAATCATTTCTTACCTTATTCGATGATTGATCAATCATCAATGAATTTAGCAGTGTTTTATCATTAATCACCTCATAAATAGTTTTATTCATCATTTCAGCTAATTTGCCAATAGTTTTGAGCAAACGTAACATCACTTCTGTTGATTTAGTTTGTTGATTGAGATCATGTTCAAGTGTTTCGATTTTTCTGGAAATATCATCAAAATCGATAATTTTTGTTTTTGATTTAATTGTAAATTTGTCTGCCATTTCCGTTTGTTCATTATTATGAGAATGATGATCCGTGGTAGTAGTAGTAGTAGTGTTTGCAGGAGTAGTAAAATTTTTTACTTTTTTACGACCATCAACCGAAAAAATGACATTATTATTGGCACTATGATTATGATTATTATCGGTAATTATTATTTTTTCACTATTTGCACCGCCACCACCGGATTTATTATTTTGACTAAATGTTGATGATGATGATGATGATGATGATGATGATGATGACAAGAATGATAATGATGATGATGATGATGAATGATCAATATTATTAATGGAATTATCGTCGTTATCACCAGTGTTGTTCACATAACCACTACGTATAAACCAAGGAAATGCCTAGATGGAAAATTGTAAACAGGAAAAAAAATCGATTAAAATTTGAATGAACAAAAAAAAAAAATTTCCAATTAATTAATTGAATTAATTTACCGATTTCAATCGTTGTGATTGTGGCTTATGGACAAATAGATAGAGCTGTATAGTACACCAGCCCATAAAAAGCAATGTGCCCATAAGCAAAAGTTTCTTTTTTCGCATGGCATAATCTTTTTTGGGATTTAAAAATTTTTTACAAATATTGTAGATTTCAATTTCAACAAGCGAATTTTTTTTTGTAATCAGGAAAATCCAACTTTCGACCTTTCGATATTTAATCTTTTGAATGGTGATTGTGATGACGATGATGAAAGTGAAACCTTGAAAAAAAAAAAAAAAAAATGTTCAAATCCAAAATTTAAAAAAAAATCAACACAGTGGCACACACACACAGTGACAAACAAAAAAAAAAAAAAATGTAACGATAATAAAATACACACACATTTGTTGACGTAAAACACACAGTGCCAAGATTTTTTTCAATGTCATTTTCCCATTATAAAAATATATAATAATAATAATGGTTGACTGAATATCTCTCTCTCTCTCTCTTGATCTCCTCATTTGATATTTTTCACCTATAACAATCAATTAATCAATCAATTAAACTTTGGTACACAAAAAGTCAAAAAGAAAAAGTTTGTGTCATTATGTGTGGGCAGCAGCAGATAGAAATAATCAATATTTTTGATCTTATAAAACACAAATGGCCATCTATCTTTTTGATTGATTGATTGATTGATTCATCTCAGAATCAATCAATCAATTTAGTATGGGGGGAAAAAAGACAAAAAAAACAACTCACAATTTAAATTTTTGTTTCTTTTCTATGGAACAAACACACACACACACAAAGATTTATTGACATCACATACACAGTGAACACATGAACATTGAAAACACGTTGATTCCAATGTCTCTTGTGTGTGTGTGTGTGTGTCGGTGTTGCCAATAACAATTATCAAAGTGGGAAAAAATATAAAAATTTTTTCTAATGATGATGAAATTCATTGATTAAATATTTTCAATTTCTCATTGTTAGGTATCTATGACATGACTTTTCTTATTTTTTTTTTAATTTTATGGTTGATAATAATCTTTGTGCAATTTTTTTTTCTTCTGATTTTGATTTTTCTTTTTTTAGCCTTAGATTTGATTGCCATAATCATCATCATTACAAGATTAACCCAGAAAAAAAATCAAGAAAACTACAAACAACCAACAACTACATTTTTCAGATAGAAAAAAAAACATAAATGTCTCCGGTCATTTTATTTTATTGTATATTATGGTGGCAACCATCAACACCATCACTGGGCACGATAACCATCGCCACGTATATTTTAAAAACATAAACAAAAAAAAAATTGTATATGTGACAGGCATCCATGAATAACAACAATGAAATGTGGTGATACGGTTTTTTTTCACCACCATCGTTGTTGTTGTTGTTGTTGTTGTCGTTGCTATATTGGTAAACAAAACAAAAAAAAATTTCTAGCTTTTCAAATTCAATTTGGTCTTGTCATCATCATCATTTGTTATTTATTGTAATAAATGGAAATGGAAATAATAAATTTATGGAAACAACAAAAAAAATCGAAATGATGATGGCAGATGTTTTCATTCCTGTGATGTATACAACAACAACAACAACAATAAAGAATCACAAAGTTTTTTAGAAAATTTTCTTTTTTAGCCTTATCTAGCACAATTTGTTTGTGTATGTGTGTGTGACAAATTATTATCATCATTCATTCAACACGTTTTGAATGCAAGTTCACGAAATGATGAAAAAAAAGAATCCTGCTCATTTGTGTTTATTTCATTAAAATAATTGGTTTTTTTGTTGTTGTTGTTGTTGTTATCGTTGTCGTTTTTTTTCAACACAAATTCACACAACACCCTAATAAGATATTCATGATGCATGTGAGTATGTGTGTCTGTGTGAATTTGCAAAAAAAACCAGATCAATAAATATTCAATTAAATGATGTTGACTGTCACATCATCATCAACATTATTTAGAATTTGACATGAATCATCTGGTTCTTTGTCTATAATGATGTTTGCTGTTGTTATTTTTCATTCATTCTTCTCAACACACAATGAACGAATTTGATTTTTGATTTGTTGCAGAAAACAACGCACAAAATTTGCATAAAAAAAATTCGTTTTTTTTATCTTTCTTATGGATCAAGATAATGGCGTTTCTCTCTCTCTCTACTTTTCTCGATTTTTGTTTTTATTTATTTATATACATGGCCATTTATTTCAACATGGAAAATTTTCATTTATTCATTCATTCATCCAAAAAAAAACAACGATAATGATGATAATAATAACGTAAAACAATGACAACAACAACAACAACAATATATCTATCTAATTTGAATATGAATTAATCTAATGACCATTATGATGATGATGATGATGATGATGGTAAAACAACAACAACGACAACAACAACAGCCAAGGAAACAGGAAAAAATAATAATTTTGAAATCAAAACATAAATTATTATTATATCACCATCATCATCATTGTCGTAGTTGTTTGGCCAATTTTTTTTTGTTCAGCATTGTTTTTTTTTCAATACTAGTTCTGTTCTGTCATAATAATCATCATCATCATACGAATCAATCATTAATTGATTTTAATCTCACAAAAAAAATGAACGGAAATGAATATTTCTTTCATATAGATTCATTCAGATGTCGTTGTTGCTGTTATTGAATAAAAAATAACCGACAAATGGACATTTTTCATTCATTCATTCAATCAATTAAATTCAATTGATGATCATGATCATCAAGTAAATTGAATTGAAAGCAAAAAAAAAGCTAATAATATATGTAAATAACCTTGATTGGTGCTAGCCTAGCCTTATTCAATTTCGGACAATTAGAAACAGAAAAAAAACAAACAAACAAAAAATATAAATAGTCTTTTCATTCACATTGTGATTCACATTCATTTTTTTTATAATGATCATCATCATCAATTATATTAGAATGATGATTGATTTGATTCATTTCATTTGATTGAATCAATAAAATAAAACCGCAAAATATCGATTATAAAAAAAAACACTTGGATGAATATTTGAATTGTCAATTTGAATAATTGACCGGTATTCTTTCGTTCTCTTACTCATGGCATGTGGCATTTTTTTTCTCAAATTTCGTTTTTTGCACTAAAAATCGAATGGCACACTTACCGAAAAACAGAAGCGATTAATATTGCGATATTCAATTTTATTTTTCGTGATAGACCGCCACACATGAAACGAAATGGAAAAATCAATTAAATTTTCGAAAATTGAAAAATCATTGAATTTGTTGCCGTTGTTGAAACCGAACGAATTGAATATTTTTTTTTCAAATACGGATATTCCACTATAATCAACACACAATCACAAATGTTGGAGAATAAATAAATTTTACATAATTAGAATTTTTTTTTTTGGATTTTAATATGAAGACGACGAAGACGACGATGATGATGATGATGAAATCATCATCACCATCATCATCAGCATCATATAATCAATCAATGAATTTGAGATAGAAAATTGAAATTTTATAATCAAAAAGAAGATAAAAAAAAATTCACCAATGTCAAAAGTTTCAGAAAATTTAGAGGAAAAAAAACTGATTGACTAGTAGATAGAAAATGGAACTAAAAAAACTTTGCTTTGCACTTGCATGTATCATCATCTGAAATGGCTCACAACGAATTCATATAATCCATACACACGCACAACATACATATACACATTTGTGATGATGATGATGATGAGCATGAATTCACCAGAAATTATTATCAAACATGAAAAAAAAAAAAAATCTTTTTTCCTTTTTTTTTTTTGCTATTATCACATATATTTATATTCATCGCGTTTACCGCTACAAAAAAATTGGCGGTACATCAGTGTGAAAAAAAAAATTCATACTACTACTGCTACTACTATAGCTGCTAAAAAAAAAATTATATTTCATTTTTCTATTACCAGAACAAAACATGACCACTACTGTAAACTGTGTAAACATGTTATTAATAATTTCTCTATACTTCTTTTTAGGCTTGTGTGTGTGTGTGTGTGTAAACTTGACACACACACACACACACACACACGTAGCAATGTTGACTTCTCTCTCTCTTTTTCCTCAATTCAATTTTTCTAGTTGCCACCGTATTTTTTTTTTTTTTGTCATTTCATTCAATTATCAATGCTACTACTGCTATTGTTACTTTGTGTGTATACAAAAAAAAAAAAAAATAGTTGTAGCACACAAGCATTTATGAAAGAAATCAACATTTTTTTTTCTACAGGATATTTTCCATTATGTTTTCTACAGTTTTTGTTTTTTTTTCATTCAAAATCAAATAAACACTGTAAATCTATTCAATAACTTTGCATTGGGATATGTGCTGCCATCTTAGAGAATATTAAGACGTTCTAAAATATTTTTCCAACACATTTCTATGCTTCCAAAGAATGTCTTTTCGATTTCGAATTAGTACAATAGAAAATAGTTAGATTAATTTACCCGAATGACAACACACACACACACATATAAAAACATGATGAGCCAGTACATAAAAAACACAAGTAAAATGAGCAACTTTTGTATGCAATCGTCCATTTGCTTTTTTGTTCATTTTATTGATTAGTTTCATTCTCGTTTTATTTGGTAATTAATTTTTTTTCTCTCAGCTAAGATTCATTAATTTTGATTTTTTTTAATTTCAGATCTCTCGAATCAATTATATCGTAAACATTATTGTAGAAAAAAATGGAACCAAACAGTGATGATCCTAATATTCCTACTTATAAAACGCGTGTATGTCACATTTTGGAATTTACTGATATAGAAAATTCAACTTCATACAATTGTTTTGAAGCAGTTAATGATCATGGAATCCCAATAATGGATGTTCCACTTGTTTTGTATTCTACCGAACCAATTGAACTTGAGGAGGATGATGGAGGTTTAACTAACGATCAACAAGTTACTTTTACTATTCATCGATCACCAAGAGAACCTACTAGATATTCAGCTACAGTCTATCTTGGTCCGCCGGATAATCGACGAAATGATTGTTGTGTAGTTTCTATTCCTGGACTTGTACATTTAATTAGACAACAAAATGGTAGTTTCGAAGTTAAACGAATTATCAATAGTGTTAATTCAGTACAATGGATTATTAATTATATATAAATTGCTATACCAATAATGATAATCCAATGTAACGTCAACTGGCTATTTTTATGAAGATTAATTGTTAAACAAATTTTGTTAAATAAAATTCCATTTTGATTATCTTAATTTCTTTTTTTCTTTTTTACATTCATTTTTTCCTAGTATAAACGTGTGTCAATTTCGAAAATCTTGAATAAAACATACATAGAAATTGGTTGGTTAATGAATATATCTTATAGACAAAATGAGTATGTCTATATTGAAACTTTTCTTTTATTGTTTTGCTCATTCAACTATATATATATGTATTGTGATATGATAAGATGGAAAAAAAGACCGCCCGAAAAAAAATGGACGAAACGAAAAACAAAAAAACAAAATTCGATTTCAAATTTCGAAGTTCTTTTAGATTTTTATTTGAAACAACAAATTATAAATGAAAATAAATTTAGGGTTAACAATTTCTTTTCATTTTTTTTTTGTTCAGTTTGCTCATTTTGATTTGATCAATATTGAAAAATGATATATCGAAACAAATAAAATGATCCAAACATGGCACTGATAATCAGAATGAGAAAAAGTAGATAGATAATAGTGAAAATAACGGGAAAATGTTGATTAAAAAAATTCATTGCTTCCCGAATGATACGCAAATGTATTTCCATTTGTTCATTTGGTGACAATTGATCATAATTGTGTGGCACTACGATACGAAGTGTTGGTCCATTTCCATAATGTCGTCGTTCCATCCTTATCCGATAAATGAAATGACCAAGAAATTATGATGAAAAAAACTTTTTGTTGTTGTTGTTGTTGTTTCAAAGCTAGAAAAAAATTCGTTTACCCGAACAATAACGAAGATGTATACAACGTAAAGCAAAAAAAAAAAAAGTAAAATGATCAACTTTTGTGTGCGCTCCAATTACAGCAACCGAAAATGATGAAAATGAAAAATGGCGGCATCCATTTTTTATACTGATAATAATCAATAGCTAAACGCATGCCTGGAATTATGCTGCAAATCCAACACACACACACACACACACACTTGTAGCTTTGTGTAGAGTTCGATTCCGTTTCACTCGTATAGATATTATTAATGTAAAATTCGCAATGTAATTACAACGATTTCGAAAATTATTCGGACTCATTCATACATGTACTCAGGCATATACAGACGGACGTACAGACAGGTATAGCAAAGGATATTCAACATACACAAGCATATATGTACAAAAAGAACAGATATAAATCTTTAAACCAAACGCAGGTTATGTGCTGCCATCTGAGAGAATGTTAAAACATTCGATAAATTCTGATTAAAAAATTCGATATTTGAAACAAAAATAAATGAAAAAAAAATGAATTAAATAATTAATAACTTGAAAAATGAGAACATTAGGAAAAAAATTCCAATTTTAATGAATGATTTATTCTATAGAATAAAAAATTTGACATTGGCAACATCAACGCCATCTAAACGTAATGTTAAGGAGTTACAAAATATTGTCTGTTGAAACACATGTTGCCGATTTCGAATTCTATTCAATCTTCATCATTATTTTAACTTTTTTTTGAATCATCAATGATCAATCATTATCTAAATTTTGCATTTGTGATTTATTAATCATCCATTATTACTGATTATTTGTCAAAATCCATTGTCACTATTTACACATTCACATTCACTTGATTATAAATCAAGATTTCTGATCATCAAATGAATTCTTACATGTAAATATTTCATTCGATTGATAGAAAAAATATTTTGTTTTCAATTCTAGAATTTTTATTGATCATTTTCGTTCTTTATTTCATTTTAATTTTTTTTTTTTTTTAGTAATCGATTGAAATTTTGTCTAGTTATATATCTATCTCTTTATCTAGTCTATTACAGCTAATCTGGTTTACTGATGGATATCGAAAAGGAGAAGAAGGGCAAAGGGAAACCCGATTATTTAGTGGAAAAAATGTGTGCAAAAAGATTTTGGACAAAAATTCCAAATTTCAAAAGAAAACCATCGTATGTGTATGTATATTCGGATGATGAAGATTCGAATATAAATCCATCGAATGAGGAAAACCATGTTCTTGATGCTAATATTGATGATGCTATCGTCAATAATATATTTGAAACCATTTTTCCAGAAAAAGGATCAAACAAAGATGATGAAATTAAAGTGATGGACAAAATTTTCGATGAGGAATTTATCGAAAAAATATTGAATGACAAGCGACAATTGAATATTAAACATCTAATGACCAAATACAATTCTGACAAACAATCGATTGGTTTAAATACTAGAGCTAGACGTAGAAAATCCAAACTCAACTTTTAACATCAACAATGACGATGATATTCATGCTGATCAACAAATTAAAGAAATGAATGATCGAATATTTGAAAAAATAATGATTTCAAGGGCATTCATTTTCCAATAGATGGCGTCGTATACCTCTAAATTTATAAATTGAACATATTTTTCATTTTTCAGTTTCATTTTCATTTTTTTTAAATCAACTGTTTGTGTTTGTTACCATTGTTTCATTTATAAAAAATGTAATTTATTCTGCGAAAAAAAATTGATAAAATTGTGTTTAATAAACGAGTTTTGTTCAATTTCTTCTTATGCATTATGGTCTGTTGTATTCATGAATATTACAAAATAAACGAAATGATGAAGAAAAAAAAATTTCATTTCATGGTTCCAGAAACCAATCAATATAAACCATTGAATAATGAATATATTGAATGATCCAGAAATAAAACAACAACAACAACGACAACAATGACATTTGTAACAAAAAAAAAAAAAAAAGAGGTGACAAAAAGGTCGACTGGATCATTCAAGGTTCATTGTGTTTTAAAAATATATATATATGACCATAATACACACAGGCACAAATACAATTGATCCATAGAACAACAACAACAAAAAAAATGCGGGCAAGTTTGATTGTCACAAATCGAATTGTAACCATGATGATTATGATGAAACAACCAGAAAGTGAGAGAAAGAGAGAAAAGAAACAATATTACACACAATAGCCAATTGTTTGTGTGTGTGTGTCAAACAAGACAAATTTTTACGGTTATTTTGATCCAGTACATGGTACGATGGTACGATGTGATTGGGATAAGGAAAAAAAGAACCAAATTTTTTTTTTTTAAATTTTTATCCAGAAATTTTTTTTTTTCACTCCATTGTGTGCGTGTTCGGTGCGAGAAAGCCAAATCTTTGGCTTTTGTTTGTATGATTTGAATGGAAATTTGAACGTGAACAAAACAAA